TTAAAAATTTGGTATTTGAGTGCATTTATAAGGCACCGAAATATCTGTAAAATAAATAAAAAAAAACTCATAACAAATTTACCCAAAACAACTCCCTGAATTGTTATTCTACGCTCTTAATTATACTCTAAAATGGATTTTAACGACATTACGTATACGCCGCATAATCCCAGCGAATTCCCGCTTCAATCTGGCAACGCTGGCTGCCCAAATCCAAACAGCACACTCTTAATTCATGCTGATCTTGTGCCCTCGTCAATGTTGTTGTTGCACCGTAATTAAAATATTGCACTTGTTACTTTTTCCAGTTGCTGCCTCTCTCTCCCACTCTGTATCTCTCTTCTTAGCCTTTCTCGTGCCCACATACATACATACATATATTGTGTTAGCTTGGGGACCAAAAACAACAACAGAGCAGAGGAAAAGGAGTAGAAAAAGCACAACAAGCATGCTGACAACATCGACTTCATCGTTCGCCTGTGTCGTGTATTAAAACTTGTTCATTGGAATTTTCTAATAAATCAATAAACGCAGACAACACAGTGCCAGGAGGGTGGTTAAGGGGGGGCTGGAGAGGTGGAGATGGAGGTGGCCAAGGGGCGCTTATGGCACACAGCTGGCGGCATCGACAGACAGAGGGGCAGACCGACAGATAGCCGCACGCATCTCGCAGAGATTGCGCATTTTAAAAATAGCCGCCGCACATTTTTTGAGGTTATGGAAAATTTCAGTTGTTGCCTAGTCGTTGTGATTATTTCTTGCTGTTTTCCTTTCCAACTTGATCACCAGATCGCGATTGTAGGCTATGGCCAAGCGGCAGCATTGACAACACTTTCACACAGTCATCGATGATGCACATAGAGAAAAACAGAGAGCTCCTAAATTAAGATCTATTGAAATTGAAATAAAGCAAACACAAACTAATATTTGTTTTATTTATAATAATGTAACATTTATTTTCAACCGCTAATTTTGTCAGGTCTTTTAAAAAATAGATAATATCACTAATATGAAAGCTAGAGAAAGATTTATATTCCTATCTGTCCAGAGAGCCTACATCAATTTGATATCCACCGTGTGATACCAATTTTTTTTGTGTGGAAATTGTCGTTTGACGGCCTGCATTTCCGTAAATAAAGCGCTTGGGAAGTGGTAATTAAGTTAACTGTGGGCTGGCCACAACAATCTGGTAAATGCTGTAAATTGAACGTAAATCGATTGGCATTTTTTACATTTATTTTCTCTAGATATATATATTTAACGATCGTCTCAATCTCGCTTCCTATTCTTTTTTTTTATTGGCATTATGGCCTTTCGATGCGGTAATAAATGCGACCGGGTTGATTTTGTGTTGGTTTTTGTGCGTTTATCGCGACAGCAACAATGTTGCCACTAAATTTTCCATGTTCCAGGCAGATATGCTAATAGGTCTAATAGCTTTCGATTTGGCCCGCTTTACATGCGACGAGTCCGTTCGGCACATTCTAAATGTAAATAAAATGGAAATTCCTTAGAGTGGCACTGGCACTAGGCACCGGCACCGGCTGCGGCAAAAAGCGAGGCAAAAACTTGTAGAACAGGAGGAGGCACTTGTTGAGAACTTGGCTGCCTTGTTAAACGAGCCTGCAACACCCCAGCAGCAACATCACCACAACCAGCAGCAGCAGCAGCAACAATAAACAATGTTGCAATGCTTAATTATTTCAGCGGCAAGGAATTCCTTGGCGCAAACTTGAACTGCTTCTGGACTGTAGATGTTGCATGTTGTGGCGAAGCGTAGCAGTAACTCGATTGCGCTGCCTTACACTTGAGGTCGTCTGCTGCTGAGTTTTTTTTTCATGTAGTTTCAGGCAGCCAGAGCAAGATGCAGCCCACAATCTCAGTCACGTTGGTCAACGGCACCGCGGCGTCTGTGGCCAAGTCCCTTACACCCAAAGAAATGCCGACTAACATGAAAATGTAACTACTTTTGGAAAAACATTTGCTTAGAAAAGGAATAAATTAATATTAATCGTAGGTCGCAAAACAATAAAGTCTTCAGCTTAGAAAATTTCTGGTTTTAATCAGTTCCCAAAAGGAAGCAAAAGTCATTACTTACTTTATTACTTCACGACTTCCTGCTTTTTTCTTTAAATGTATTGCTGCTGCAGTGACTGCTGTTGTGGTCTGCCGCACCTATTTGTAATGCATTAATAGCCGAGAGGCTAGAAGCAAGATCCCAGCCAAGAGGATTGACATTAAGCTGCCCATTCGGCATATGGAGAGATCAGTGCTTTTGATAAATGGCAAGTTGCAGGCCGAAAATATTAATGCCAACATCGCTTAGGCATAATTGTTTCAATGAACATCAATATCGAGATGATGCAAGATCGAAAAAGGTTGAAGCAGCAATGGAAACTTTATGAAATCGATTGATGCACTCGAAAAAACACGAATACTTCAAGTTACTGAGTATTGTGCTTAAGGCAATGTCCTCTAGCCTCTGTGGAATTTCTTAATTTAATTCAAAGATATTTCGTACGGAATTTAACTATATCCCTCGAAGGGGAGTGCAATCGTGGCCAGATCATTGCCAGAAAAGTTCACTGTACTTCAATGCGTCTCCTCCGAACACACATCTGCTTCAAATTAAGAGATTCCAACCGAAGACTTAAGGAACTGAGTCACTGGCATTAGTTAAGTCAATTTCCCAGCAATATGCAAATAAGCTTGTATTTACTTTTTCGAAACTTTTATCTCTTTTTTTTTTGCCCCCAACTAAGGCATGTGACAAGAGCGTTAATTGAACTTTGCCTATATTATATTTGTTCGGAGTGAACTTTGCCATTGTCTAGACAAATTAAGAGCAGACACAAACGAACGAAGCCAACCAGCGAGCGAACGAAATTTATGTATGTCGCCGGAGGCGTTGAACACAGTGTTTAATTGTTGGCTTTGGGGCCACGCGGCGTATGCGCAATGTTCGATGCGTTTCGCGTGTGATAAGCGTCGTCGGCTTGTCTGGCGTAGATCGGTGGCAGCTGGTGGTGTTCGGTGGTCGGTGTTCGGTGCACAGTGTTCGGTGCTCGGCGTTCGGTGCTCGGGTGTGATGTCATAAGTCAACACACATCTGCCAAGAAGAGGAATCTATGCTATAGATCGGATCGGGGATCGTTAATTAAAATTTCCAGCGAGTACTTCATTAGCATCATCGCCAGCTCCGGCTGCCACGCGCTGCTCAGCTGCCGCGCTCCAATGCTTAATTAATAAATCAACGCGACACTTGCACTCCATGGCCGTATCTGCTGCGATGCCCAGCCGATTCCGATGGCGATGGGTACGGGAGGATGAGATACTCGCCGAGATTGTTGCCATGCCGTATGCACGGGCAGACAAATTGACGCGACATTCCACAGCTGGCCATGTGGGAGGGGAGTTGCTACTGGTGGTCACTGGCCACTGGCTAATAAAAATGTTAAATATAGCCACTGCCGATTGTGATGATAGTAATGATGGTGATGACATCTGCTGTGCCGCAGAACGGAAACGGAAACGTTTCTAATCGCCTGCGACAGATCTTGGAGTGAAGCCCTACTGATCCGATCCGTCAGTGGGCAGTGTTTAATTGAAGGCAGCCGTCAATTGAAATACTTACGCGACATGTAATGTGAGCTAGCACTTCCTTGTAATCTCTTAAGAGATTATCAATTCCCTGTGGCGACCTTATTTCAATTCCATTACAGACCTATTAAGTTGATTTAAGATGTGTTCTCTAGGGGAGAGATATTTCTTAAACGGTATTAAATTTTTGAAGGGGAATTTTATGTAGCTTAGTATTCTATGCAGTTTTGGAAATGTATTTTTTGTTTATACCGGTTTTTTCTTGGGTTTATAGCATTTTATTTATATAAAAAGGATTAAGAAAAGCAAATAACTAAGAAATGAATTTCAGATTTGAATAATATAGTATAATATATTTGAAGCCTTAAGAAACTATATAACATTTATATAAAAATATTGCTTTAAATTTCAAAGGTCTTTTTTTACTTGGGCTTGGGCATTCCAGCTTCAAAACGTATGTTTACAAATTCCTCCCATTAATGGATGCTTGACTCTATCTATCGTTCACTTCTCCAGCGCATGACATTGATATCTGCGGACAATTCATCATTGAGACAAATGACTTTTGTGCGCAGCAGCTACCTAGATATCTCAGATCAGTCATAGTATAGTTTCAAAGGAATCAGAACTTAGTCATCTCTCTGCAGGCAGTTAATGTACTAAATGTACTACGAGTGCGATGTGTGGGGGGAGCCGAGTGTAGTTAATAACAAACCTAATCGAGCAAAAATAGCACAAGAGAGTGACTGGCGAATGTGATTATTTAATAATTGTGGCAAATGCGCGGCAAAATAATTATACTAGGCAGCGCTTACTGGGAGTAAACAATAAGAAGCGTTGATAGAAGCGAGCGGGGAAATCAAACAATCACAATTAGAAAAATATGCAGTCAAAGTGTTAGTTAGTTAGTAGTAAAAATTGCTAAATTGCAACTGGGCGCGCGTCGCGTTTTAGTTTTCCAGCTGCTAAAAATAAAGCGAAACAAATAAATTTACATTTTTAATTGCAATTATCGCTGGCTATTGTTGTAGTTGTCTGCCGCCGCTAGCTAGCCTGCCTGCCTGCCTGGCTGCTACTGTTTGCCTTTGGCGTTTTAAACAATTAAGATGATTTATTAGCAGCGCATTTTTATGAGACGCAGTACAAAAGAAATGGAAATTACTCAGATATACTTATGCTTTCTGCGGTGATCGCATACACATATTGATTTATCGAATATCTTTCTGCCACATAATTACGATCGCGACAGTATTCCACAGCCCTAAAAATGCAACAGTTGCCGACTGGGCTGGCGATTTCGTAACTAGGAAATGATGGCACCGCGAGGCGAGAAAGCTAATTGCCATTTTATGCTGTCACTTGAGAGCGTCGCAGAGCATAAAGATCACAAAATATTTGAATTTGAATGGATATTAAAAATGTTAATGAAAAAAGTCGTAAAAATTTCATAGAGCAAAATTAAAGAGGAAAATCGTAAAAACAAATTTAAATGACTTTTGCCCGTCGTGGCGGTTCAAGAGCAGCTCCATTAACGACGAGCTGCCCCACATATGTGAATGGGCGGGCGGCGGTCTAAGGCACGACTAGAAAATGCAGATCCATCACATTGGTACCCGTGTGCCCGGTGAGCACGTGGTAGTCACCGCCGGCGAGATTCTTGTAGAAGTTGTAGCTGTCGCAGTTCCGCAGCGTCTCGGCCAGTTCGTCGAGCGTGTGATCACTCAGGTAAGCCTCTATCACACTGCTGTCTCCGATGGCTCCGGCTGCATCTGTGGGTCCATCGATGCCATCGGTTCCGGCACTAAGGAAGGTGCAATCCCTCATTGCCTCGTCGCGATGCAGGGCCTGCGACATCAGCAGGGCCAAATGTTGACTCCGTCCACCCAATCCCTGGCCTGTGACCTGGTAAGACATTAACAGATGTTTACTTGTGTTCAATCTTTATAACAAATATCAACTCACCTTGATGACTGGCTCTCCGCCGCATATGAGAAACAGTGGCTTCTTGCTGGCCAAGTGCTCTTCTAGAGCTCGTCGGAAGCCTAGAAAACTGCTCTCTCCGAACGAGTACTTCTCCCTGAGCTGCTGGTCATGTATACCCTGGTGCTTTGCCTCCTGGATGCCCTGCAACAGGCGCTGATAGTCGCCAGCCACCTGGGACACATCCCCTTGAACGGCGCAGCTAAGCATGCAGGGAATGTAGCCGAGTTTCTCTGCCTCCTCCGCAGCCTTCGTGGTGGCTATCACATTGCTGCCCACCACAAACACCTTGTGTGGGGGCAGAGTTGGGTTCACCTGTTGCTCCGAAGACTCAAACACTTTCTGAATCTCCGGCGAGAGCTCCTCCCACACCTGGTGCTTCTTGAGGATTTCAGCAGCAGATGCACCGTTCACAGGTTGAATTGTGGGACCGCAGGCTATCAGCTCCAGGGGATCTCCAATGATATCGCTGAGTACGAAGGTCACGAGGAGACCGGCACGGCCTGCAAACGTGGCCAAGCGGCCGCCCTTGATGTCTGAACAGGCTATCCTCACGGCATTGAGCTCTTGGATACTGGCACCACGCTTCATCAGCTTGTCCGCAATGGAACGTTTGTCATCCAGTGTTAGGGGAGCCCTAGGTAGGGGCAACAGAGCAGAGCCACCGCCTGAAATGAAAACGAAGAGCACGTCCTTGGAGGTCATCCTCTCAGCCAGCTCCTTGATAGCGTGGGCTGCTTTCAGGGCATTCTCGTCCGGCAGATTGTTGGGTGCTCCCTCGTGGATACTCAAGCCGAATGCCACGGGTTGATGGAACTGCCTTAGCGTGTTTACCGGCACACTCAAGACACCACCGGCCGAGTACTGCCCCAGATCCTGGTGCACCTTGTTGGCCATTCCCAGGACAGCCTTGCCGAATCCCACGATGTGGCAGGTCTTTCCACTGATGTCCTGCCCTTCGCCATTTAGTTTAATGCTAATCTGGCTGGGATTCTCACCAGGCTGCGGGCGCAGATCGAATCGCTGGAAGTCCGCGAATATCTTCTCCGGATGCACTGCGTTCACCGCCTGGACGAAGATCTGGCGCACCTGATCCCAGGTCTGTCGCTTGGCCATTATGTAAGGTGTCGGTGTAGATCACGGCCGATTGTAATCAGCGATGATGCTAAAATTCCAGTTTTTCTTATCATTTTTGAAAACAGCTGTAACTAGAGATGGCATTAGCATCGATTAATTACAACAAAAATGTATTGATGGCAGCACTTGTGTGTTGCCAGACCCATTGAAAGAACGTCGATAACAGGCTATCGTCTTGTCTCAAAAGCTGACTGCTATACCACGAAAATTTAAAACTATTTTACAAAAAAACTGTTACGCCTTAGGAAAATTATAAGCTTTGTGAATTTACTTGTGTAAAATGTTTATTATAGTAGTTGTCAGTTGTCAACCAATTCTTTTCTAATTAAAAAAAACAACAAACAATTGTTTATAAAAAATTTACAACAGGATGTTTTAAATATCAAGTAAACCCCAAACAGTAAAAAGTAATAAAATAAAACTGCATTTCATAAATCATAAAAGTATCTTCACAACCAAACACTTTGATTCCGACTTTTATCTCGCATTTCGTCTTTGCAAGGCTTGGCCTAAAAACAAAATAAATAGTTGTTAATATTAGCACTTTAGCTGCAATTTATTAAACAAACCAAAATTTTATCAATTCTTCAACTTAGCAATTGACTTAAATAATTTGCTGATAAAACGGTTTATTGATTTGAGATTCAATTGATTACTTAATATATCACTTTCTCTGATATGAAAAAGAACAACAAAAGAAATATTTAAACATTAAAACAATAATAGGTTTGCTTGAACAGAAGTAGATTATTATTCTTTTGATTTATTTTTTAGACAAATAATATATTTAAATAAGTTATATTAATTGAAATTTGTAATACACATTTTTCTTAGTTTTTAAAGAAAAAGCTTCGTAACACACTTTGCTTTTCAATAGTTACAAGATAGATAAATAGGGTTTACAATATTAAGTTCGAATTTTAATTAGGTTTACTAGTTATCTGTAGTGTACAAGTTTAGTGAATGTTAAAATTAAAATTTTAATTAGGTACACTAATCGTCGCTGTAAAGTAAAAACAAAAATGCAATCGAAACTTGTTTCTTTAAAAAAAAAAGTCTGCGTTATCGGTGTTATTACGTTCTCATTGTATAAGAAACACTGTCAAAGCTTATGTACAATTTTTGTTTTTTAGAATTTTAATTAAGTTTTTTATCTATATAGTAAAACCCTTTAGTGTTCGTAAAAGTTTGTTTGGTTTGCTAATTAAGAACAGAATACACACCTAACTTAATCCAAATGGAAATATGAAATGTCAATTTCATGCCACCTAACATCTGAATAACTATGACCGCTTTAATGCGAATTTTTCACCCCCTTTAAATCGTAAAAATGTATCTAAAACCTGGCTTTTGAGTTTTCTTTTTATTTCCAACACAACCGCCTCGGCAACCACGCGAACTTCAACTACTTTCGTTCTCGGGCGACACCGATCGAAAGTGACACCGCTCTCCCGCACCTGTGTGGGTGCTTATGTATGCCAGCACCCAATCTTCGCTAGACCGATCGCGGTCCCCGATAGCCACGCAACGCTCCACCTTAAAAAGCAGCCGCTCCCGGTAGCCAAAACTCAGTTTACGCACAGGCTTAGAAGTTTATGGGACATGAAGTCGACGGCTTGGCTCTCTTTGTTGGGTAAGTGTATCAAAGAAATGAAAATCTTTGGCAGCTCTGTCTAATATATGGAGCATGTTTGCATGGACAGCTTTGGCGTGGAGTGTGGACGCAAATCCTATACTGGGATTGTTAAATCCTGAGTGCAAAGTCGTGCATGGCGAGTGCCCCCATGAAAATATTACCTTTTGGCTGTACACAAAGTAAGTAAATGTAAATGAACATTAATTTTAAATTTATTTACCTCTTTTTCAAAAGCTCCACCCGAGATAATCCCGTCTTGCTGAATCCCCTTGACCTCAATCCCTGGGACTTTCAGCCGGCTCGTCCCGTTAAGATCTTGATTCACGGCTACACGGGACATCGTGACTTTTCGCCCAACTCCCACATTCGACCCGTGCTGCTGGATAACGAGGACGTATACGTAATCTCCATTGACTACAAGCCCTTGGTGCCCGACCCATGCTACTTCTCTGCCGTGCAGAATCTTCCGCTGGTAAGCCAGTGTCTGGCCCAGTTGATCAACAACCTGGTGGATCGGAACATAGTCCCGAATGAGAATATTCACATCATTGGCTTCAGCTTGGGTGGTCAGGTGGCGGGTCAGACGGCCAACTATCTGAAGAGGAAGCTGAAAAGAATCACTGGACTAGATCCAGCCAAGCCTATGTTCGTCCTGGCCGGAAACACAAGTCGATTGGATCCGGGAGATGCGGAGTTCGTTGACGTTATCCATACCAACGTTTTTGGCAGAGGAATTTTGAGTCCCATGGGACATGTGGATTTCTATCCCAATGTCGGCAGCATTTTACAGCCCGGTTGCAGGGAGGAGAGTCCCGATAGTCCTGGCAGCTGCAGTCACGATCGCGCTCCTCAATTCTATGCCGAGTCCATAAATTCCACCACTGGCTTTTGGGGTCGCCAGTGCACCAGCTGGTTGGCGTATATTGTTAATCTGTGTCCAACGACTGGAAAACAGGAACTGATGGGTTACCACGTTTCGCAGGAAACGAAGGGTTCTTACTTCCTTGAGACGGGGAAGTCAGCGCCCTTTGCCCTGGGCAAACAGGAGGATGTGGACAATAGCCAGACCCTGGCCCAGTTCAAGCTGAATCCCGAGCTCAACGAGATCCCGCCGGACTATGAGCCGCAGCTGCTGGAGGCTTTCCTTGAACTTGATGCCTTGAAAGCCGTTTTAAATACGGATGGCAGCGATCTGGACAAGCAATTGAACTGGATCGGTCGGGAGGATGATGAACCCCTGGCGAGAGCCAAGTTATAAAAGAATCAGGGGTGGAATTATATTTATTATAAAAAAAATCAAGCAATTGAAATGATTTTATCAATTCAATTACTTTTAGAGAAATTGTATTTAAAAAAATAAAGTTGATAACATTTTATAGCGAAGTGGTACTTTAAAAATTAATATTTTCATTAAACTACTTTTTAATATTCGGGAAAATATAATTTAAATGGATTTTAATCCTTGGAATATCAATACATGTCTGAAATAATACTACGACTACTGCATTTTTATTATCTAAAAAATAAAAAGCCATACAAAACTTCCGCGTTAATAATAAATACCAAATGTTATCACAGACTGACATGAGCTTACCATGTACTTAAATTATTCTTTTTCATTATTATTATGGTTACCTCTCGGAGTAACCTTCCTCTTCCATATGCAAATTTTTCATTCTCTAGCGCTCTAACGTAAATATTTTCATTACCAGTTTCTAACGCCTAAGCCCACCCGCAGCGACCTTGACCCACTGCCTCCCCCGCTCGCAGCCTTGACTCTTTTATCACCCAACAGTGTGTGTTTTTTATATGGGCCCTCATTTTGCATGCCATTTTTAATGTTGGACCGTGCAAATTAAATAGAATCGGCATTAGAACGCGAGCTTAGAGCAACTTGGGCCTTAGCCATGAGCGAATATCGCACTGTGATCCTCCACCTTCTCCTCCTGGCAATCTCTGGTTTCTGCAAAGGAGAAAGGCAGCTGCGCGGTTGGCTACCGGAGTTCTGTGTCTTTGCCGATCATGAGTGTCCCAACTCGCGGGTTACCTTCTGGCTGTATACCAAGTGAGTTGTGTTCAATCGGGATATATCATGTAAAGACGTAATCTCTGTGATCTTCTAGCCAAACCCGCAATGATCCCGTTCAATTGGATCCGCTTAATCCTCGGCCAGACCTCTTCGAGCCTCGCTTGCCGCTAAAGATACTTATACATGGCTTCATAGGCAACAGGAGTCTGACGCCCAATCTGGAAGTGAGGGATGTGCTGCTCCAAACGCAGCCCGTCAATGTGATATCCGTGGATTACGAGACATTGGTTCGATGGCCCTGCTACTTTCCCTGGGCGGTGAATAATGCACCCATTGTGTCCGAGTGTCTGGCTCAAATGATAAACAATCTCCTATCGTCTGGCATCTACAGGCGAGAGGAGATCCATTTGATAGGCTTCAGTTTGGGTGCCCAGGTGGCTGGCATGGTGGCCAACTATGTGAGCCAGCCACTAGCCAGGATTACGGGTCTGGATCCGGCAGGTCCGGGTTTCATGACTCAGTTCTCGCTCCAACAAAAGCTAGATGCCAGCGATGCCGACTTCGTGGACGTCATTCACACCGATCCTTTCTTCTTTTCCATGCTTCCGCCGATGGGTCACGCCGATTTCTATCCGAATCTTGACCAGCTCAACCAGCGGGGATGCAGCTATATAAGTAACTGGAGGTTTTTCAATTGTAATCATTACAGGGCGGCGGTCTATTATGGAGAATCCATTGTCTCCAGAAGGGGATTCTGGGCGCAGCAGTGCGGCGGTTGGTTTGATTTCTTCACGCAGCGTTGCAGTCATTACTCGAATATGCCCAATTCCCAGATGGGCTACTTCGTCTCAGAGGAGTATGAAGACGTTTGTTTAATTCTTACAACATTATTGAAATAATATTTTATATATTTCAGTGCCTCGGGCTCTTACTTTCTGAGCACCCACGAAGTTTCGCCGTTTGCCAAGGGACCACTTATTGATGTCGAAATGGATATAGCTGAATATCGCAAATTATCAAACTTGACAATTAACTGAGATTTAACTTGTTATATTTGTTAATATATTTTTTAAAGTTTTCTAAGTTAAAAACGAAATAAAGACAAATAATCACGCCTTAAACTAATTTCAAATAAGAACTTCTCTATGAAATATTTTTTTTTCTTTTATGAAGGGAAAAACATTTTTAAATTCATAATGCATATTTTATAATAAATATAATACCCCATTTTAATATTTTCCAATTAATAAAAACGGCTTTAAAGATGTTTCTTATTTAAAATATTTTTTTTAATTTATAAATTAAAATCCTTTATTCAGCTCTCGATTAAAAAAACCAAAACAAACCAAAAGCTTCTGGCGCTGAGCGTGCTTAAAAGCTTCGAGTGAGCACGAATAAACGAAAGACTTTGGACACGAACTCGAACGTCAGTTGCTCGCCAGAGCGCCATCCAAGCGCACGTGTCCGCAGAGTTCGTGGTGGAGAAAGCCGCCCAGATCGAATCTCCTCGAGAGACCGCGCGCGGGCCCGCAAAAAAATATAAAAGAAGTGTGGTAAAATATAAAACCGAATCAATTTGAGGCAGCCGGAATTATGCCTCGCCAGCTTTGTCGTCGTCTTGCTGTGCACTGAAATCGAAATCGAGTCCAATGACCAGCTCTCGAGCTGGTGCTTAAGAAAGAGTTTTGCACTTTAAGCCACAGCCGTCGCCGGTCAACGAGCAGGCCTTGACCCAAAGCCTAGCCAGCCCAGAAGAGTTATAGCCCAGTTATATAAGATCACTTTCGATTGCAATTAAAACCAAAAGTACCGTGAATTTGCAAAAAAATATAATAAAAGAAAACAAATTGTAATAATATGTGGCTCGAGTGTGTGAAGAGACCGCGTTGTGCATCTTTTTGGCTGCAGCTGCTCTGCTGGAGTCTTGCCCTGGCCCGCCTGGAATTCGCCGGTTCGTATTGTCATGTGCTAAAAGAAACTGTGCGGGCTAAGGAATGCCCAATGCTCAAGCGAGATAAATTTAAGTTAAACTTTTACTTTCGCCCTGTGGTTTGCTGTTTGGCACCTTTATTTTTTTGGCCAAAGCCGCCATGCCTTTCTTTTGGCCCTGTCATTGTTGCGCCAGTTGTTGTCGTTGTCGTTGCTGTTTATGTTTCTGTTTCTGTTGACATTTCAAATTGACGTCGGCATAAATTTCAGTTTTAACTAGTTGCACAATAAATTTAGCCACCGAGCTTGCTTTTCCCTTCCGCGCAGCCATCCAATTGTGACCTTGCCTCACATTATTGGTCAACAATAATACTCGTATATAAATATCTCCGAGAGCATCTCTCCGAGTGTTGCACCTACAAGTGCACACCAGTTGGTAGTGGCTCATCCATCCCACACACATAAAGAGGTATACTGCCTTGTCACGGTGCGACTTTTGTAATCCCTCGCGCCTCGTTAATTAATTGGCCCCGACTACCGTTTTGAGTTTTTTTTTCGCTCTTGGCGCTCTGGAATCGCTCATAATTCGGGTCTTATTTTAATACTCATATTTATGGATGTGCCCCTGTGCCTTGACACTCTTTGCAGGTGTGTTTGTTTCGCAGCTCTTGCGATATTTACTGCCAGACATTTGTATTGTTGTTGCTGCTGCCGGTGAAGGTGTCATCGCTGGGGCCGGCTAATGGGGCGTATGCGCGATGCCGGCGTGCGTGTCACGGACTCACCCGGATTCGGAGGGCCAGGGACAGGTCCACGGTCTTTTGGAATATAGAATTATGGGTTCAGGCGAGGGCTATAATTAATTACGATTGCAGGTTAATGATCCCAGCGAAACCTTAGCAATTATAGCCCCAAACTGGGCCAACAATCTAACGAACTTGAGGCAAAGAAATATAATAGGCACATATTAAGCAATTTAATAAGAATTTTGTGAACATGATAGAGACAAAAGCAAAGCCTTGAAGCTAAGACACATAAATCTCGATATCGACTTGTATCCGGGGTCAATTGGCCAATAATCCCCATGTAAAAGCCAAAGACAACAATGTCCATGACTCATGGCAAACAATTCGGGGCTATAAACAAAAAACACAAAAACCCATAAACAAGCTGACAACAAACCAAAAAAAAAAAAGCGAAGAAAAAGCGAACCAACCCAAAATCATCTTTCACTTAACAGGCGATGAGTATCTCGTATTTATTTTGGTTTTACTTTGTCGTGGCCAACGTCTAATTTCGTTTCTCTCCTTCCGCATTCGACGGCTTCCGTTTCGGGTCTGATTTGTGTTAGTTGGGCAGAGTTTTCCCCCACAACTGCAATTTCCCCCATTGGCATTTTCCCGCCAAAAAAAAGTATAAACAAACCGGAGGAAAGGCATTTAATTGGCATGCGTAATGGCCGAAAGAAAATGAGAAAATAGAAAAGAAGCAGGGAGGGGGTTAGCTCACTTTTTTTCAGCTTACATAAGACAAAAAAAGCGATTGTGAAAAACAAATGAAAACAGAAAACCCGAAACAATTGAGGCATGACCATTGCTAATTGAAGAGTGGTTAGCGGTTACTAAATGCCGATTTTGTGGGGGAGTATACATTATGTTTACCTGTTGCCGCTGCTGTCTGATGTAAAAATACGCCCGTTGCATGATTAATTCGTCCAGCTGCTGCTGGGTCTACCGATTTTCTGAATGACAACATATCAGCCGGTAACCGCAGTGTGTCGGTGGGATATTACATATATATGTATGCCCTATAAGGCAATAGCTACCCGTATCTGCGAATATTTCCGTGACCAACCAACCGACAAGAGTCTGCATCTGCAACAGTTTTCCCATACCGGTTGCATGACTCCGGTTCGCGGTTATCGCCCAAAGTTCGAGTACGAGTTCGAGTTCGAGCACTCCAAGTGGAGTCCAAGTGGGCCAATTGGTGGTTGGTAATTGGTAGTAGGTAGTAGTTGGCATTTGGCGCCACCAGCTGAGCCAGGCTGAAGGCCGATTCTCTTGGCTTTCGGTTAGATTTTTAATTTGCCAATTTGGATTCAAAGCGCATTTTAACGACTTCTTACGCATGCGGTGAGCTAACGTTGCTGCCAGTGACAAAATAGTGGCTTAAAAATGGAACTAGTTCGAAAACTAGATTTTAATTCATGAAATTCAATTAGATGTTTGTATAACAAAAATTAAGTTGTATTAAAAAATACAGAAATTTCACATTCTTAAACGCTGTATTTGGTTTTCAAATAAAATAGAGGAATCTAGGACATACTGAGACACTTTAAGTCATGTTTTGATTTTTTTTAATGTCTAATTTAATTATATAACTCTGCAAGTTAAGTTTAATATATCTAAATAAGTCTGTTTATAGTTTAATGTTAAAAATAGCTGTATATAAAAAGAAATATCTAACAAGATCCTTAGGTTTATAAAGGAATGTATATTTTACTGAAGATAAGACATCTTCTAGTTGTCATTTATCTATTTAATTTTCGAATAAAATGTCAAACAATGACTATTATTTTTCGATCATAGTTTCTTACTTACAATTTAATTTACCTTAAAACTAACAAGACAATATCTTACTAAAAAGCTCAAGCCGCAGAACCGCCTATGCAAAACTAGCTCCACACAAATGCGAACCATGCGACGCACATCTGTTCCCAGCCAACGATCTTCAAGTGTCGGATAAGCCGATCTCAAATGGGTTTTCCTCGTGAATCAGCGAATAAATTACGCATATTCATTCCGCATCCAGTTGTGGTTGCCAGCTCCAGTTATATCATGAGCAGCACGTTTTGTCAAAAATAAAAAAAATAAAGCCAGCAAACAACAAACAAAGAGCGTCACTTCCGTTTTTGGCGTTACTTTTACTTTCTGCAGCCGCAACATTGGTGCGGCCACAACCGCAGCCACACATATTGCAACTGCAACAGCAACAGCAAAGGCATGACATTTGCAGCGTGCCAAATTGCAGGCATTCAATGTCGCTGCCAGCGGCTTATGCAATTAAATGTAATATCAGAGAGCGAAACTAGTTTGTCAACTCGAGTGGCATGTCTTAAAGCCCGAATCTCACATCCGAATCTTCTACACAAAACTGTAAACTAGGATTTAAATGATCTTAAAACTAATTTAAATTATTTTTAAAGATTTTATCTTATAATTCATCAACCTTTAAAAAAGTATCTCCTATTCTTCCGTCACCGTAAAAATTGCATTTTGGTTTTTTAATTAATGTCAAATGAATAAACTTATTTAATGAATGTGCTTTTAATACTTTAAATTTATATTTAATTATTTTTATAATTTATTATTTACCTTGCAATATTTTTTTCTGTGCAAACCTCCTCACAGCTGGCCAAAATGCGGGAGTTGTGGCCGCTGCAGTGGCGGCTGGCCAAAACCAGACGCAGGTCTATGTGACGGAATCTTGTCTGCAGAAGCCGTACCGCTGTCCGCACCCGAAGATCCAGTTCTACCTGTACACCCGGCGCACCCAGGAACAGCCGGAGTTCATAGATGTCCTAGATGCCAACGCCCTTTACTATACGCACTTCAATCCGCGGCATCCCACCAAGATCATCATCCATGGCTTTGGCGGCGGCAGAACTCTAAGTCCTAGCCCAGATCTAAGGGAGGCCTACTTCAGTGTTGGCGAGTACAACATAATTATCGTCGACTATGCCGATGCGGTCAAGGAGCCGTGTCTTAGCCAGATGGACTGGGCTCCAAGATTCGGCAGTTTGTGCATCTCCCAGCTGGTGAAGTACCTCGCCCGGCATCCTCGTGGCGTCCAGCCAGATGATTTGCATTTCATTGGCTACAGTGTGGGTGCCCATATCGCCGGACTGGTGGCCAACTACCTAAAGCCTGAGGAGGGCAAACTGGGCAGGATCACCGCCCTAGATCCAACGATATTCTTTTACGCGGGCGCAAATAACTCTCGGGACCTGGACACAACCGATGCTCACTTTGTGGATGTGATGCATACCGGAGCCGGGATTTTGGGACAGTGGCACTCCAGTGGTCATGCGGATTTCTACGTCAATGGCGGCACTAGACAGCCCGCCTGTGTGGGATCGGCGACCTTATTCCGTGAGTTTAAGACAGTTTTTGCTTGGCTAACATAACACTAATTGATTGACCCCCAGAGACCTTGGCTTGTGATCACACGAAGGTCACACCGTACTTCATCGAGTCCATAACCACGACCCGGGGCTTCTATGCGGGTCCTTGTCCCAATTTGTTCACCTACCTGATAGGCTGGTGTGAGCCCAAGGACTCGGAGTATGTGCTGATGGGCGAGCACTGTTCCCACAAGTAAGTGAGGTCGAATTCTAAATATATTTAGATTTCTAATTTGAGATTTCTTTATTTCGCTGACAGAGCTCGAGGGAACTACTACGTGACCACCAATGCCAAGGCGCCCTTTGCTCGCGGCTTTCCGGGCAAGGGGCGTTCCAATGGGGAGTACCAGGGAGTGCGGAGATAATGCTGAGCTCTATAACCCATTAGATCGCTTCTATTCATTAGTGCAGGCGGTTTCTCAGATTTCATTTGAATCACTTTGGTTGGCCGCCTGTATTTCTGCATCTTTTACACCGTAGCACTCATGTGATTTTAGCTTGTTTCCTAATTGTGTAAACCGATTATTTGATACCTATTTATTTCATATTTTTGTTGCTAGTTCTAACTGCCGCCATTGTAGTTCCGGGACTTGTACAAATTACTCGTAAAAGATCTAATCATTAAGTCGTAGGCTGAAAATAGTGTGGAATAAAATCGAAACACATTCGATATTTTTATACCCTTGCAGGGTATTATAATTTCAGTCAGAAGTTTGCAACGCAGTGAAGGAGACGTTTCCGACCCTATAAAGTATATATATTCTTGATCAGCATCAACAGCCGAGTCGATCTAGCCATGTCCGTCTGTCCGTCTGTCCGTCTGTCCGTCTGTCCGTCTGTCTGTCTGTCTGTTTCTACGCAAACTAGTCCCTCAGTTTTAAAGCTATCTGAATGAAACTTTGCATATAGTCTTCTATATACTCTCACTGCTATATATGTCGGAACGGGCCGGATCGGACGACTATATCATATAGCTGCCATACAAATGTACGATACATTTCTAGAAAAAAATTTATAACTTTGCTGTTTTTCAAAATTTTTGCTCCATTTTTTAGATATGGCCATTTTATATTATTTCTGAATTTTGGTAAAAAATTTATGCAAATCGGCCGACTACATCATATAGCTGCCATAGGAACGATCGAGAAATAAATAGGAAAAAAATTATAGCTTCGTTGTTTTTCATCGTATGTTTATCTACTCTGAGATATAAGCTTTTTTTATTATTCTAGAATTTTGGTATAAATTTCATAAAAATCGGACAACTATATCATACAGCTGCCATATAAACGATCTGTAAATGTAGAGAAAATGTAAAGCTGGGAATGTAAAACTGTAACTGTCAAACTGTAAACATAATAAGTATAGGTAAAATGTAATGAAACTCTGTTTTTGTAAGTGTTTTCAGCATTTAAATCTATAATATAAACATAAAAACCAATCTGCAAGGGTATACAAACTTCGGCGTGCCGAAGTTAGCTTCCTTTCTTGTTTGGCATAATTTTTAACATGTTCGTTTTATTGAATTCCAAATACATTTCTTTAGGTATAATTTTGTTCTGTTTAATTATGATCTGTAAACATGGTATTTCGTATATTTCAGACCTCGTGAATGGGTTTCAGTTCCATATTTCGGTTAACCAAATGGAAATTACATGTGTGGCCAATTATATATATTATCAAGCTGTATGTTAAAATGAATAGTTTATTACTGAATCCCGAGCTTAGTGGTTTTTCTTAACTTTTAGAAATATTTATTGTTATTTTTGTTTGGTTTTTAATGAGCATACACTGAAATAGACAAGTATATATTAATTAATTTGGTTTAACTACCATACAAATAATACAACATGGGCGGGTGTTGCCAGAAAAGGGATCTCGTCGCTTCGTTATGTTAGTTAATTTAATTTAATTTTGATTTAATGTTTAATACTTTTTGTATACAGAACTCTCAGTAAACACAAAGAATATTTTGTCACTAGATATATACACAGTTCAAGTACTCGATTGTTGGTTACAATCACTACATTTTTATTTTTAAATTTACTTAACCATTGGATACAGTTCCCTCTCTGCGGCTCGCCGAAGAATGGTTTTAGCTTATGGATTGAGTATTTATCTGAGTTATATTAATAGCGATTTATACTGTTTACGGCATTATGACCTTGTGCGCCTATATTTCCGGATGAAAGTGCCTGGTTGCCTAGCGAATTTATGGGTTTTTTGGTTTTACTCATAACATTAATGTTTGGCTAGTCGTTAAAATACCCTAGATATAACCCCATTCCATGGTTTAACATTATTATGGGTGCGCTTGTGTAGTTTTTAGCTATGCAGTTGGTTTAATTTGGCATTATGTACACTTAAATTACTCACAAAAGCATTTAATGATGGCATTCAACTACTAGATACATAAAAATACTTATTTACAGTGCGTCGCGTAAGTTGCAAGCAAAAGACTTAGCCGTGGCTTTTTGGGTAACATATACCTATGTCGTTATTGTCCACACAGCCCCGAGAGCTTGAGTATCTCTCAAAGAACAAAAAAAAAAACAAAAAATTAATTAAGGTGAGTTCGTGGCAGGTGAGAGTCTCTTAGGTGTTCGTCTCTCCTGTAAGAATCTCGAGTTAAAATGAGACCATACTCGTTTGAATATGGTTTAACAGTATCTATGATTTTATGTACAGAATGGATTTCTTCACTATTCTAATATTACACATACGCCCCAGTGGCCAACATTTTGTTGAATATTCCGCAAAAGGCATTATTCGCTCAAAACTTTCGCCTAAAATGAAAACAATAAAATTAAAATGTAACTAATTAACTTTTTAGAAGCTTATTCGTCTAAGTATTGTCGCTTTCACAAGCAGTGTTAATTGTTAAATCTGCTGGGGAAATGCATTCCCGCAAAGATAACATTTAAAATTGTAATAATTATTTGCTATTCGATTTAATTATTTAAAGTAGCTAGTCGAGTATTTGCGTAAGTATTTATTCGCTGCGCTGTACAAATTACGGTATAAGAATTGACTCTTTTAGTTAGAAAATTTTCACACTTTTAATACATAGTGATTTACTTGTGAATAATTTGTGTTACCATTAAATAGTTATCTATAATAATACACGTTAATATAGTTTAATGCCTTGCGATAATATACACACGATTAGAAGTAATGAAAGTAAGTGCGTCTAATTTTATGCGTGTTTTGTGGCAGTAATTGAATTTTGTAATAGTACTAAAAAATAAGTTATAATAAAAAATATAATTGTGCAATAATCAACATAAAGAAATAAGTGCTAATTGTGCATTTAAAAGTTACATTTGTGCGCTTAAATCAAGGTTTTGTGCAACATTAAAAAACATACATAGAAAACGAATGAAATCATATAGGTATAGTCATAGTTTATAATGTAAAATAATGTTTTCTGAATTTATTTACAATCTACCGAGTACGTTTTATAAATTTAATCATTTAGAGAGATTTAAAGAGTATTAATGTAATATAATTTATAAAGATTTTGTTTCAGGAAGAAAATTAATTAAGAAAAGTTTTAAAGGTTTCAAAATTTGTAAAGAAATAGATTTTCATCGAAATAAAACTTAAATTTAAGTTTAAATTTTAATATTATATGAAATAGTTTTCAAAGCCAGTAGAAGTTATAGGAAAGGACTAAATGTATTGCATTTAAGAAAACTTTTGAAATTCAGTAGAAGATAAATACAGTGTTCTGGCTCTAAATCCAAGAAAAAACTGAAACCACTTTATATAATTTATAAGAATTATGTCCTGCTTATTATGTAGTGAGCATATGAAGACCAAGTCTGAGGTTATATGCGCCTACCACTATCTACTTAAGTGTTATGATTTTAGTACCTACATCATGCCTTGCTCATGTCGAGAAGTTCGGTGAGACAAACAAAACTTAAACGTGTCGTACATATATATTCAACGGGAATGGGGTATTATGTATATTCGATTAGCTAGTTTTTTTATGGTTATCATTCGTGGCGAACATCAACAATTGCTTACGTTTGATTAAAATGTTCCTGGTGCTTATATGCAATAATTCTTTACACAGAAGATAATATCGTCAACGGTAATAAAACTTGCAGCTTGCACTGGCTAACTGCAGAGTTAACAACAATCTTTGGCTATATATATATATATATCTATATAATTCTGCATACACCCTTTATACGTATATATTGAGTTAAATATAAGTATTATTTTCTTTGAGACGTGGTGCGTGTCTGGATTATGTGTGGTTTATGATATACACATGTGTTGAATATGTCGAATATATATTCCAGTAATTTCCCTTTCTTGTGTTTACCCATTGCTATGCATTTTGGTTTCTTTTTTGTGGAGCTTGTAAATAGAAATTCGCGGAAGCGATGCCCTAAACTATGCTACGTCTGTGGGGGCATAGTGGTTGTGGTAATGGTTTTGGCTAACGGTATTGCTGTCTCTGCACATGTAGTTTCTCTGTTAGGTACATAGTTTCATTGTGTTAGTGTGGCATGTGGAACTCATTCTTTATTCGCTGAAAACTCATTACTCTTTAGTTGTATATGTAGTTGGTTATTTTCAGGGATGCCCAGGCCACTACCTCTCTTGATCCGTATAGATCGGAGAACTATAAAGGTCCACGACTGATCATCCCTGACTGAGAGATTGTCGGACATGAGGCCTTATTTCTGTTAAGTTTTAATATAATTTTAAATATTAAACATATATTTATCAACGGCAAAGAGCTTTTCAATTGTATCCAACACATTTTCAGACCAAGGCCCCAGGTCCACCAATCTCTGTCCAGTTCTACTCATTAGTTATATGTCTTTATATTTATGTCTCGCTGCTGGATCAAACTCAATAGGAGAGAGTGATTTGGGAAAACTTTAACGACACACCAAGAATAAACAATAAACCTGTAACGACTTCCAGCCATAACTAAAAGCTATGATATTTATATGGATGACCGGAGTGAGGCCCTTACTGCTGCTGCTGGTATCCCTGCGGATCGTAGGACGGCATTTGTCCACCAGAGCCAGCATCCTGCGTATACCCGTACGTGTTAGACACATCGCCATACGATGGCGGAGCATCCTCCTCGGTGATAGGTGCAGTGGCTCCGGCCATGGCAAACGGGTTATTGGCCACATGACCGGTGGCGCCGTAGCTAATGGCACTCGACTGCTGCATCTGGCTTTGTTCATTGTACTCGGGGGCGCCCTAAGTTTTGGGATTTATTATTAATATTTAAAAAAAATATATACAACTAGAAGTGGTTCTTTCACTCACAAATGATGTCTCCTTCATGTAGTTGCCCAACATGCCCGCTTGACTGGGATCCGTGTTGGTTATAGCTCCAGCCGGTGGCGCCCACACTTGCTGCTCCTCGGCCGGCGGCTCTGCCCAAGGCTGAAGTTCCCCAGAGGCGAAGATACCGTAGAAAGTGCAGCCAATTAGATGAACACAGGCGGCCAGAGTGAACACTGTGGTCCAGCAGCCAGTGGGCTACAGAAAAATATTAGATTATTACTCATTTCTAAGAACTTAAGTTAAGAATTTTATTTAGCTTTGTATATAATTCTTATTATTCCTATTTTATAAGAGTTAAATTTGTTTGCTACTTACATTGGCCTGGATTAGACCATCGAGGGCGTAGGGCACTATGATACCAGCCAGCGTGCCAATGCCGTTCGAGAGACCCATCAAAATACTAGCATAGCGAGGAGCAATGTCCAGATGATTGACATTATAGCCAGAAATGGCAAAACCGCTGAAGGCCACTCCGCAAGTCAAGGCGAACATGGCGCCCGTCTGTAGAAGATAAAACCCAATAAAAATCCTGGAATACCACCCAAATAACTCAAACACTCACCGCCGTTGAGGAATGGGCCACGAATAGGAAAAACAGACCCTCCATTCCAAAGCCGCCACAGTTGAAAAGCTTTCTCACATTCGTGGTGGACAGGATACCGTTCTTTCGCAGGTGATCCGCCAGCATGCCGCCGAAGGGAACTATCGTAGTCATGATCAGATGTGGCAGCGAGCCCACGAAGCCCGCCTCCTCCACCTTGAAGCCGAACTTGTGCTTGAGGAACGAGGACTGGAACAGCACCAGGAGGTAAAAGTTCCAGGAGCGGCAGAAGTTGGCCACGATAATGGCATAGACTGGCATCGAACGCATCATCTCCCGCCAAGGAGTTGTAGATAGCGACGGCATCGATGGGTGGGCCGACTCTCCCAGCGACTTTTCGATGTACTTCAGCTCGGGTATACTGATTGCCGGATGCTTGCGGGGATTCTCGAAGCAGAGCCATATCCAGAACATGTACCATATAATGCCGAACACGCCGTACGCGTAGAAGGGCGCCTGGTAGCCCACTGCATCCGCTAGGAGGCCGGAGAGTGGAAGGCCCACCACCACGCCGGCATAGGAACCGGAAAAGGCCAAGGTGGCCAGGCGAGAGCGCTCCATTGGCGGCGCCCAGAAGCGCCAGATACCGTGACAGGCGGGATATGTGACGCCCTGGAGAATGAGGATTCAAATGGATTAAATAATTAATAATTCCTTTAGTATCATAATAATAATAATAATAATAATCAGTTTGAGACACACACAATATATAAAAAAAAATCACAATTTCATTGTATTATTTATTCGTGTTCTGATTCTCTTTAAAAGGAATTCTTCTTCTGATACCTTTTTTTATTAACTTAACATATGTGAATTTATCTAGCTTATTCATCGCTCAAATTTCAAGTGGTTTCTAATATTTTCACCAAAAAGACACATATGGAAACATCCAGCAACGCTACACGTTTTCCCCAAAAGAAAAATGACAAACTCCCCCAGTCCAAACAACACAAAGAAATCGCATTAAAATAAATGCTTTTGTTATTTTTCCTTTGCCTTCCGCAGAGCCCCACCCTTCGAGGGCTTAGGACATGTTTCCATTTCACATATTTGCTTTATCATAAAGCAAAATCTAAACCCCATTCCAAACCCTCCCTTTCTTTTCGCAACATCACGCAGCCGTAATCCCTGGCTTTGATCTGTGGCAAAATCGAATTCGGTTGGTTAGTTGGTACTGGTTACATACCTCGAAGAGTCCTTGCAGGACGCGCACGCAAATCACCACATGTCCGTGCATCAGTGTCATGGCGAAGGGAACGAAGAGATGCAGCGTGGCGGAGCTGACGATGGACAGGCCGAAGATCTTGTTGGCCGGAAACTTGGAGGCGATGAAGCCGCCGGGAATCTGCGTCACCAGGTAGCCCCAGAAGAAGGACGAGTCCACATGGCTCTCCACGGCAACAGTCCAGTTCATGAATACCGTCTGCAAATAAAACCGGAAACGGCATTAGGGGGTGAGTGTTGAGCTCAGCAATCATTAAACACTGCCGCAGGCCTTTATTAACGAGCGTCAAGGCGGATGGCACACACAATGCTCTCAGTTTCAAATGGGTGTCTATTTTATGCACTGTGGGGGCGTGGTCCGTGGGTGTGTGACTTTTGAGTGATGCCCACACACACTCGCCCTAATTGACAAGTGAGCTGGCTTCTTGCCAAACGAGGCGAATTTGATGGCCCCCACGCTATGACGTGAATTTCTGCTCATTTATTGTCGTCAATTTGATCAATTTAAAACGTGCATAGGGTTTAAAAATAACAAATGCATTTTTTGAAGAAATTATTTAAAGTAATTCGCAATGAAATTGCAATGAGTGTTGATATAAAAGAAGTTATTTTACTAAAAAATCCAACCTCAGTTAACAACACCTATTCGTTGTTTATTTAAATAAAAAATCATACTAAAAGAAATCGTATTTAGTGTCAGCAATATTATTATATTAAAAACAATCACGTACCCCATTATGCTCGCCCTTGAGCTTGGCGGCGGACATGTTGCAACGCATGCCGAAGGCGATCATAAAGCCCACGCAGGCCATGGTGGCGATGGTATAGCGGGCCGGCATGCAGGGACACTCCGCCTTGCAGTACTTGTCGATCTTGCGCAATGGTGGGCGTTCGATCTCCTCGAAGGAGGCGGGCGAGTCCGGCCGGTCGTCGTCGTCGTCGTAGGCATGGCCGCCGCCAGGACCTCGTCCTTCACGGTCGCCGCCCTCCATCTCCTCGTAGCCGCCGTGACCGCCGTGATAGCTCTGCGATATCTCGAACTTCTCCATATTGGGCTTCAGGCTGAAAGAGAAGAATATGAAATATATAAGTCTGATTTTAATAGGTGCAGTGTCCTTACATTATCTTGAACAATTTTGATCAAAAAAACAATTGCCTCTAAGGACATAACTCATGCCAATTATAGCGGTGGCAGGTCAAATCAACAGGTCAACGAGAGGGCGTGAAAACACAAATATTTTCGGCTTGTTAGCAGCAACAGCTGCCAGCCTAGCCTCACCATCACCCCAAAAAATGCAAGGTGGTTGTTGTTTTTCCCAGCCAAGGTCCCCAAGGAATTGCGGTGACTGAGGGTAGGAATTGCCGCAGAGCTTGCCCTGCCCTGTGGCTGGGAATATAAAATTCAATTTTATTAAGTGCTGATAGCATTGCCAGGGGTATTTAGAGTTGATTGGAGCAGGTAAGAATCTTAAATCGCATTTCCAGATTTGATTTCCCAGTCAAACAGGTGCCGCCAGTTTAAACACAGTTAAAAGACCTTGTCGCCAGCTGATTGATGGATGTGTGCTCTGGGGTGGTGACCCACTCCCACTCCACTGGTATCCATTAACCCGGGATAAGTGACACATCTCAGCGTAGATAGCCATAGCCCCTCCATTGGCATTTTTCTTCATAAATATCCAGACAAAGTCCCCCTAAGTATGCAATACAAACTAATAAGCAGCAGCCACCAGCCGAAAACAAGCCACTACAGTGGATAACTTTGTCGTCGAAGTGGAAGTCGCCGCCTGTCACATAACTCAACTGTCTGCCGCCAAAGCTACCCTCGTCTGGTCACGCAGGAGCCCCTGGAACAAAAACGGAAAAAGGAGAGACCCAGCTACATGGATCTCCTTGCGTCCTTCGCACATCGTCTCCTGCCTTGACCGACTTTAAGGCTGACGCCAATTTTATGCGGCGATTTTTATTTGCCCTTCGAAGGGCAGAGGCTTGCGTAATATCCGTCATTAGGTTTGCTCTTTGCCAAAAGAGGTTTCGATTACCATTTCAATGACATATTTTAAGACCTTGACATTAAAGGTATTTCGTGGAATATCTGAGGAATTTTATAGAAGAAATCTAGGTAATTTGATAATAAAATAATAAATAATAAATAGAAAGATACGTTCTAGGGATTTGATTAAGGAAAAAGAATGCTGTAGGCATTAATTTTAAAGGTGCCTAAGAGTAAGCATAAGTTTAGACACCTTTTTATTATACTTTTTAAAGATAGAGCATCTCCTCTTTGTCTGTTGTCAGGCAATAACAAATTTCTGATTAGGGAAGGGAAGCCCTCGAATAGAGCAAGTTCTTTTTTTTGACGTCTCGCCAACTATCCTTGGCGCTAAAGTTTTTGGTTTGATTGTCAGTAAAAATGTTACAGACTTTTTGGCGCCGCATAGATTACGGCTAACTGGCGCCACAAGCCGAAGGATGCGCAGCATTCTCTTTTGACTTTAACGCGGCCACACAGAAAAAGAAATGTAAATGGGGCAAACCCCGAGAGATATAAAGTACTATATGTATTAGTTTGTTTGCCCCGACAACTGAGATGCTCCAGCACTTGTGTCGGGTTGGAATGGATGGTAATGGTGGCTGTGATGGCGGTGGAGCGCCTTGTCAGCGACACGACCGCGTCTTCAATGACAATTCTAATTTCATTTTCACTGGCAAGGATAAAGGAACTGCTTCAGCTGTCGCCCCCGAAGAGGCATTTCAATTTCTTCGCGCCGAGTGCCACTCGAGGACTTCAGCCGCAGGTCCTGGCAACCGCTCGTAAAAATCAATTTCATTTGCGTGTGCCACTGCAGCAGCCCTTCGCTCCGTTGGCATGCAACACATTCCTTAATGAAAACGATGTGCCACCTATTGTTCCAATTTCTAATTTGCACCCAAGGTCCTTGAGAAGCCGTGTGAGAGTGTGTGAGAGTGCATACCGCTACCACGCACCCACGCATTCATTGAGTGTTTGCCCAATATGCTCTACTATGAGTACAACTTTATTGATCTCGAGGGCGGCAAAGGTGCCGGAAGCCGGAGTAGAAGTCTCCGGACACGTGCTGCCAACGTGCTTGGAATTCCAGAGACATCGGTGAGCTTCGTCGGCATGCCAGCGCGTCCATTGTTACCGGCATCAGGACTTTGGCTGCAACTGCCCGGCTGCTCTGCGAGGAACTCGTCCCGGCTCACCTTTAATGACTTGTTAAGCATGCCAATAATTTCACAACTTCCCTGTGGCCGACACGTGCCGAAGTTTCCCGACGCCGGCTAGTCGCAAGTGCGTATCAATATACATATTTACTGCATTATCCTGGGCGGCATGGTCAAGTTCATCCAACCACGAACGACGACCAGCCTTGCGTTAAATTAAATTCGCCTTTTTTTTCGTTGTCTCTCTAAAGTCCATTTGATTGCAATCATATTTCATTCTGGGTTTAATGCTCATCGTCATCACGCTACACTGGTCAACAAAATTAATCTGTTTTGACATTCTAACACCCTAGTCTACGGGTAAATAAGGTAATCTTGAAAAAAAGTATAATCTAGTTTAATTTAAAAATATGTTAAAAGTCAAATTTAACATTTACAAAACCAAAAATATTTTGTAAACATATCCATACAGTTCCTAAAGTTTTATTCTTAATATTTATTAACTTTGTTTTTCTTATTTATTCTTAGAGAAAAATATAAATATAAAAGAATATTCAAAGTAAAATACAAACACAGAAAATACGTTTTTTAATCCCTTTTAAATATTAGAAATAAAACCAAGTCAATATTGAAAATTAAATATCATTTTGGAGACTAAAGGTAGTCTTACAAAAAGAGGAAAAAATAATGTATTAAAAGGTTTTAAGAATGCTTTTATCATTCCTCTTTGTATTTTTCTGTATTATAAATAAGTTCAGATATAAATGGGTACAACCGTTTTTAAATATAAACTTTCGCTTTGATCAAAATTTAATTTTATCAACTAAATATATGTTAAATTTAAAATGTTCAAGCACTAAAACCCTGCTGCCTAGTGTGTTATCGTTTTGGTATATGAATATTAGTATCATAGTCGGTTCGATTCGATTATCCTGCCACACTCACCCGCCAAACACGCCCGTCGCCTTCTCCTTAAACGCCGTCAAGCCCTTCATGGTGATGCTGCGTTGTCCCCGATTTCCCTCACTCCTGACTCCTTACTGCTGACTCCTCCCTGCGCCTGTCTCCGGATCGCTGAGTCCTCCGCCTGAGTCAGCGTCTGTGTTGTGCTTCGCTGCCTGTTCCGCTGTTATCACTTGTGCGCATAAATGTGTTGTTTTGCCTACTTCACGGCGGATTGCCGTGTATATAACCGTGGCGAATCGGCGGCGGCGGTTAATTTCCGTGAAGCCAGCACAAATTTGATGACTCTATTTTCGGGTTGGCTCGCTCGCTCGGTCGCTCAGCAGGGGCTTTTCACTTGGCCGCCATATAACTTCGCTTTTCGACCAGGAAATTTGTTGCATTTCCAGTTACAGTGCCTGCAAAAGAGATTTGTACGGGTTATTAATGTGTCCAACGTTTTGTGTTCTGTCGCTGATAAGCAAAAGCCCCGTACAATTTCATCATTTTGCACATTTCTTGTAAGCGGCTTATGTTCATAAATTTCCTCCGGGGGATGACGGTGATAGGTTGGGTTTCGGGGAAGTTTTGTGGGTCGGGAAAGCATTTTGTAAATATTTCTGGCTTTGTTGGCTATTTTGATTGCCTTTTATGCTTCATTTAGTGTGTGTGGCTGAAATTTGAGTATTATTCTGGTTGGAACTAAGCCCTTATTTGAAGGGTTAGCAAGTGGGAGTTGTAAGTCAGTTGGGGTCTTTACGAAAATTGCTATTTTAATTGGAACTAAAATCAGAATATTTAAAGTCTCTATGCTTGTGTCCTTAGGGTAAAATTTAAAACAGTTAAAAATAATTTATTTCACTCAATTAAATCAAGACAAAAAGTGTCATGTCTTAGTTTGGGAACAAAATCTTTCCAAAAAATTAGTGTAAATATTAAGGAGTATTCATTTCAAGAATTTTAATTACTTTAATTTTCAAAAAATATTTGATTTCTAACTTCTGATCCTATTAAAACCAAATATTAGTTTGAAATATTCCAAATGAGCTCTTACTAAACTTAAGTAGCTTAGAAATAAAAAAGTAAAAGGAGTGGCACAAATATTACTTGGGTTTTTAAATCTTTTAAAAATATATTGTTGTAATGTTAAGTATTTAGATTAAGTTGAGCTACTTCAAAATAAGAAAACAGTACTCTAGTCAAAATGAAAACATCTTCTTTTAAATAAAAAAAAAACCAAACCATCTTTATGACTTCATTTAAAACATTAAAAACCGCTTGCGTAACCCATATAAAATTCTCAAAAATACTCCCACGGCTTACTAATACTCCCACAAGAATTTTTCCTTATAGACATCTTTCCGCCTCCGAAAAAAAGGCTCTGTACTTTTGACCTTACTTCGTTACGTCTACTTACATGCCACACTACAGTTACGTAATCCATTTTGCAGTTGTGCGCGGTTATGTAATCGTCGTTTCAGTTGAAACTAAGCAGAGTTTACGTTAGTTATCGGTTTTGTGCTTAAATTATGTTTCGTTAAGCAACAAAATTCGTTATTTGTTATGAACTATTTTGTTGTTGTTGGTTAGGATATCACAAATAAGGTACACAGATAACAGATTATATAGATTGATTAAACACTACGCGATACGCTGGAAGTAGGACAATATAATATATAATGTAATTAAGTAATCAAGGACAAATTCAGTGATTTTAAATGATTTTAAAATTTAAGTTTGAATATTTTTAAATTTATTAAATTCTGGAAGATCCATCTCACATTTTCTGAACAACACACGCCCCGCAAAGTAAATAATTTAAAAAAGAAAAAGCAAAACGGAAGTAAAAACTTTTGAGTAAACCAATTAAAAACTTAGAATGTGGGACGACAACATTCAGACAGAGTTTGACCACGAGACCGGCGGCAGGACGACGACGACGACTAGGATGGCGATCCGAACCCAACTCTGTCTGAAGACTGTGTGCCAGCCAGGTCGCCTTCAGTCGCGATGTGGACCCCAGTCGAGGATCGTCGGAGGACAGGTGGAGGGATGGTTGGAAGGCAACGCCAACGGATACATAAGCAACCGTCTCAGTCGAGGACTATCTGGGTATATATAGCTTGGCTTGGGAGTGGGTATGGTTTTGGGAAGTGGGAGGAGCGTGGTATATAGACTGGAATTTTTCTTTTCAAGGGTATTACGCGAAAAACTGTCACAAAACCCGTAATTTTACTAATATTCAAACGAAATCAAGCACATTTTTAAAACACTCTCGATTAGCACAGTATTATTCAGATTTTTTAAACAATATTCCAATATTTATTGATGTTTTTTCTATATATATTCTACCAGAATTTATACCCGCAGCTCCAGGCTCGCGATTTGGCCTCAGCAAGACAACGCACGAAGTGAAACTAACAGGGCTGGCATTCGCCTTTCTTGTCTGCCCAGATGGATGTCCTGCCGCCGGATTATGCTCCTCCATAGCATAATCGAGGCATCGATCCCACTCGCACTCGCACTGTGGTGAAAAGCTCTTTGAAGGCAGAACGGCGCCGTGCGCAGGCCCGAGAATCCGGACGGGCTGTGCCGGAATGTCCTCCTCGGTCACATTGGTCGAGGGTGGATGGCAACAGTAGCAAGGCGACTTGGGGGCCGGAGTTAGGGCTTTAGAGCCACCTGGCCGGGTTGGACCAATCAGAGGCCGGGGCTTTGATTTCTCCCATCTCCCATGCACATAGGTGGACCCACGGACTCCCTGGGTTGGCATGCGAATCTCAGTCGTGCGTGAAATGCTATTAAAACGTTGCCAGGCCATTTTCTATTGTTTTCCCACAGGCCCAGAAACATTTTCCCGTACATAGAAAATGTCAGCCATTTTGAAAATATTCTCTGTCTGTCGTGTGTGGGAGGCTCGAAAATAGCTGCAAGCTCAAAAGTTCAAAAAATTTCACACTTTGTGAATGAGCAATGTAGTTTTATTCCCATAAATTAGGCAACTTGATCGATTCGAATTTTACGTGCAGTGTTTTTTTAAGTTGGCCAAATATTATGAAGCTATATGAATCAAAGTAATAGCTTTCCATTTATTTATAAACAATGTTACTGATAAAAAATTGTTATTCTATTGAACTGTTGGACTTTAGTCTCTAGCACCCCTCCTTCCATTAATTTTAGTAATTATAGTATCTTAATTTAAGCCTGAATTATATCATTTGAACATTTTTAAGAATTAATGAGAATATAAATAAATAAGTTAATATATATATGTACGTAAAATAAATAATATAGAAAAATACGTTTCTTAAATTTTTGTTAGCCAAACTAACTTATTTGAAAAATGTTCAAATTCTAATTATTAATGCCATTTTAGCAAAATATTACATTTATAATACAATTTTTTTTATAATTACACTTTATAACGAGTTAATAATATAATTAAAATTATTTTTAACAGGTTGTATAATTTTTTCAAGCAACAATTTTTTTTAATTAATCGTTTAAATCGATATATTAAAAAGTCTTGGAAAAACATAAAGATATATAAGAATCCTCTAAGGAAAATCAGCATTTTCCTAATTTTTCTATTCAAATTACGGTAAATTGTAATTGACTTTTCACTATGTTGGATTAGCTGACTTTAATTGCTTATTTTCAGATTTATATACCTATACTTTAACCTTTTTATTAAACCTTTTTATTATTGCTAACTCGTCAAATCCAACATCTTGATTCCTATAGGAATATATAAGCTATATAAACAGGAATCTTAGAAAATGTATGTTATTAAATAATTGTACTAATAATACATTTAATAACATAACTAACATAATAATAAAACTCCAATAAGTGTCCTTGAAACGTCAGAGAATATTGAGTTACCATTTCGCATATGTGCAAAGTTTCCCCTCTACAACTGGCTACTTAAAGTAGCCAATAATCTTGGTCAACAGTGTGAGCAACTGCCTCGATTCTCAGCCAATTCATAATCCTGAAAAAATAAACCCATGGCTCCCATAGATTCCAGCTTCCGGTCCCAGTAACCCCCCATTACAGGACTCCCCCTCAGATAGCCGGGCGATGTTGCTAATACGACGCGTTGGTCTAACCCTCATAAGCATAAAGCAAACAGCCAAACCATTGCAACTCACCCAAAAGCTATAATAAAGTTGCGAAAGTAAACAGCAAAGCAAAATAAACAAGAAGCACAGGACGAGCAGAAAAAAAAATAACCGAGCTGGGAAATGAAATGAAAATCATCCAAAGGCCCGCAAAGGATTTTCTCCTTCAGAAAGGATACACAGGGAAGCGCAGACATTGGGGCAGACATTTTCGCAGACAAGACGGCGGCTCAACAACCAACAGCAGCCACCACAACACACTCAAGAGAACGATATTAAATTTCGCAAAAATGTGCCGATCCACAGAGCGTTTTACTATTTAAACAAAGCGATTAAGGGGATGCACAGCCAGTGGCTAAAAGCAGCCTCCGCATTGATTGACGTAAATGAAGAATAATCGAATTGTGCCCATAAAACTCTAAACTAAGTGGCGGCGTTTTCAGGCGGCGAGAGTGTCGAGTGTCAGGAAGCGACCACAGTACACAGTGGGACTAAATGAATACTCTACACAAATGACCTGATTAAAGGATTTAGCTTAGTGATTTTATCAGTTAGAAGATTTTCTTTTAACATTCATTTTGCAATATCTGATAAATAATGTAAGAAATTGTGTAATAAATTATAAAACACTTTTTAAATATATATATAAAATATAAATAAATAAATATTACATTTATTTTCCCCTATCACCCACTGTGCCGAAATCAGTGGACGCAGCATTTCGCCCGCACTCATAAATTGTCAGCGAAAAAGTGTCAAACTTGAGTTGACAGTCCCCTCCGTAGTCCCATCCTGATCCAGGATTTCCAGAATAGATGTCCTGGCTTCGCTTCCCATCGCACGTCAGCGGTAATTAGTGCAGCTTCGGCCGAAAGTCGTCTTCAATTTCATTGCGCCAGCGTAATCATCATTATCCTGTTGGGTTTGTTGTGTCGTCCCTCAAGCCGTATCCCGTTGTCCTCGCCTTTTTCCACTAATTACAAAATAACTTTTACAGCATTTTGCGCTGGCTGTGTCATCTTTGTGTTACTTTTTCGGGGGATTCCCCATGGTGTCTATGATGTATGGCTTTTCGTTGGGTGATTTACGGGTGAATTGTGGAAGGAGTACCCAAGGATAACTGTCTGTGAAGGGTTTCCCAGCGGTTTTAATTACCAGCTGAAAATGTGACGACTTTAAAAGCGTATGAAATTCAATTCGGAAAAGCACGAAAATAGGGATTTTCCCAGGGAGATTCGAAGCGGGAAATTGATGAGCTTCTGTTGATCCAGCAGACTCATGCTGTCAATCCACATGTCCTCCCACTCAATCACAAAACTAAACGCTGCGTTCGTCGATAAGCGTGCCTGCCACGTAGTAAGAGTAATAAACCGAATGCCAGGGAGGAGGTCAAAGTTCGGGGGTGCTGCCAGTTGAGGGTGTCTCTGGCCCAAAGCGATTCCTGAGATTTAATATTTATTTTTGTTTGTGTGCAAATAGCTGGAAGCAGAAGAGATATGAATGAAATGCGGACAGGAAAGGGGAAAAAAGAAAGTAACAGAGGCCTCAGTTCGATAGATTTTACTTAAATGTACAGGGTCTTTTTGAATTTTAGAAAAATATAATGTTCGAAGAGGTTTTTATTAAAGTTATATACATTTTTTAACAAACATTTTCGTATAGATATAGTTTTTTCTCTATTTTTTCCCAAATTTAAGAATAGCTTTCCGCCTCATAATTAGCATATGCCTTCACTTAGGGCTCAACTCTTTGTCTGTCCAACAGCAACAATGAAATCCATTAGGGTCATAGACAGAATATTTATTCATTTGAAACACATTTTTCCTTCGCTTGCCGCACAACAATGAGAGCGAAACACAAAAGGCAAAGCGCGTCAGTCAGTGCAACTTTATTTCAGGCTAGAATGCACAGGACCCACTCACGCAAGGACCAAGCACCCTCGGCAAGTTCCTTCTTCCCTCCCATACACTCAAAAAAATTAGAAGAACAAATGTATTTAAATAATTTTAGTAATACTACCACGATCTTGCAAATGTACTTTAAAGAAGGATGTTTTTCTCTGTTATCCAATTCAAGACATATTTATAATAACATCATGGCTTATACAAAATATAAAATTAAATTATTTTAATTCTAAAATTGTTTATTTTATAATGGTTATTTTTTAAAGAAAACTAAGATAAACTAAGAATAGAAATATATTGCAATATAGACCTAAATTATATAATTAGTAACATTTTTGTTTAAGCTTTTAAAAAACGAATAGAAACTAACTGCAGACTTTATATAGAATATATTTTTTTTTAATAACGGTTACATATAAGTACTTCCCTTTTTACCAGTGTAAGGACGCCGTGGGACAGGCGGTATACCGGAAGCAAATGCTTTTGTCGCCTGGCGTGTGCCGCTCATTGTTGGCGCTTTCGTTTTTTGTGTTTTGCCCTCAAAATGCATAAATATAAATGTGAATCTGAGGCCCGAGAATGTCTTGATTAATGTTGGCGTACGTTGGCTTTTACCCCTACCAAGTCGGCACAACAAGGGTGACCGAGAATGGGCAATAAAAATGTTGTCACACATCATTTAGCAACAGCGGGCAGTCCCAGCTACGACTTTTACGAATTTAAAAGCTTTAAATTAAGAATTACAAATTTAAAAACATTTCAATTCGCCAGTGGACACCTGATACTCGCCGCTTCTTCCCCTATTTAACTCCAGACGTTGCCATTGCCTGCCAGGCATCATAATGAATCTAATCACTTACGCTCGAGTGCATCAATTATGCTGCCATCAAGCATCAGGGAGAGGAGGGGCATCCTGTGAACGGCCTGACAAAATGACTTTGCGCCGGATTCCACTCACTCCGGCGGAGTGACAGGCGTGGACGTGGCTCCATGGTGCTTCCAGAAGAGACGACAACGTGCCCATTGTTAACTGTGAAAATTTGTTTGCAGCGTCATCGCAACAACAAGCTCGTCAAGTTGATAACTTTATGATGCTGAAATGGCATACATACGTATATATTTATGTGTATATTTATGCAACCCCAAAACTGGCCATGGAAAATGTGCAAATCTCAGCGTAACCGGGGTGGTAATATTAAAAAAGTTCGCAGGCAAAGTCTGTGGGGCAGTGGAAGTTGCTAAAATGTTAGTAGAAAGCCATAGAAAATATTGGAAATAACTGACCTGAAGTGGAATATTAATAAAGTTAGTTAAGCTTTTTAGATAGAAAAAGTAAATCTGAAACCTTAAATTAAGTTCTTGTTAAAACTGATAGCCAGAACGGAGTAATATCCTTAAAGTCCACTGGTCCCCTTGGTCAGCTGTGTGAAGCAACCGCAAAATGTGTTTTGGCTTCATTAGAAAAATATTAAATTTCCTTTCCTCCGGACTCTGGTCCTACGGAGACACAGGACTTTAATTGCTGTGAATGCGAATACTTAAAAGTTGTTGCGCCTTTTATGCGGTTGCCGTCAAAGCGAAACTCAATTAAGCTGCACTCACCATCCCCGTATAGCCACCCCCTGATTTAAAACTGCTGATACGGCGACAAGGACATCAATGAGGAGCCTTTGTCCTGGTTGCCCAGCAGTCAGCCACCGAATGCCTTTTCAAAGGCATTTTTAATTGAAATTATCCGATGCTACCTTTTGCCGCTGCTGCCCATCCTCCCTCTTTGAGTTTCCAGCTTAAATTTGCGTTTTTCTGCCTTGTTACCTTGCAAACTCTGATTGACATGTGAGCCAAGTCGAGTCCTGGTGCTGTGAAAGATCTTTCCTCCCTGGTTCCAACTTGTTTACAGCTTTGTGTGCTAATAGCGGCCCGAAGTCTTCGAACGATACGCCATAAATCCATGTTAATAACGCCGTCTCAAAAGGGGGTCTTAAAGGGGGTGGCTGTCTCAATTTGCAAGACTATTATGCACACAGAAAAATAATGGTAATTACCTAATTACAATTAATGAAAATTCTACGCTCTTTTAATAGGTTAATATATACGAATCTTTAGATATATATCAGATATAGTTTTAAATTTATATTATTTAATATTTTAAATCTCGCAGAAATAACTACTCACTTTATTCCTGTGTAAGATGCTTGCCAAAGAAAGGGAGATTTCAAACTCAAAGACATTTAAGTGGATTAAGCGACTTTCATGTTGTGTCCTCAGTCTTTGGGACATAAACCCAAATGAACGACGACAGTGAAACAATTCACTAGGCACGCCCGGTGCAAAGGACTTGAGCACGGCGAACGGCAAACGGCAGGATATAACATAAAAACCCGCAATATGCCTTCCCAGTTGCCACTCGAAATATGCAAATATAGTCCTTGTGCGTGGGCGTGGCTGCAGGGGCGTTGCAACAGCAACAGCAGCAGCATCAGCAGCAAACAATGAAAGTAAATGCCAAAACATTTTATTGATTATCAGGCAAAAAGGAAGCTTAAACAACACAGAGGACACTGGTTAAAGGATGTATAATTTTGGGTTGTAAATATAAAACACGGAAATATACTAGAAATATAGAATTTTACTTACTTAAATGGGACAAAATATTATATGGTTAAAACATTATAGTTCCATATTTAAAATTTTTAGATACATAGTTCCAATTCTTTGTAAATAAAATAAATTTACCAAATTCAATTTTTGAAAGTCTTGGTATTAAGGAATATCTTCTCTCATAATATTTTATTGGCAACCGAATAAAATAGTTTGGGACCACTGTATTTGGTCCTTCAGTTGCCATTAGTCGGCGCCGGCGAGTGTGCTACACTTTTTTCCAGTTGTCTGACGACGACAATGGGACCTCGAAATGGAGTCGTGGGCGGAAAAGCGGAGTACGGATCCCAGATTGGTGGCATGGGTAAGAGCATTGAGCATTTTAATAACCGCAGTGGAGGGGCGACCGAGCTAAGCTGGGAGCGGGAAACGAACGCCGGGCGGTCATAATTTATGCCACCCAGCGACGGCAAAAAAGGCATTGACAGTCGTCTCTCGTGAGCCGCCCCGTTGAGCGATTTGTAATACAAAGTTCCCTTTCCAGGGATTGCGCTTTTTGCGCTTGTGGCATGGCCCAAAGGACCGCCTCCCTTTCGATGCGATTGATATACGAGCGAAAGTTTAAACTTCAACGATAGAGATACACTAAGAAAATAATATATAAATAGCTTAAAACCACAAGAAATATAAATTTAGCGAAACATTTCATGTTTATATTGGTTTACTTAGTGAATTTTAGATCTTAGATACAAGACAGACAGAGAATTTACAGTCCTTAAATCGATTTTATATAAAACATTTTCCTGTGCAGCTACTCAAAAAGGGAAAAATCGAGAGCCATTGAATCTTACAGCCTCCGAAGTGGTCAGTGCGGCGTCATAATGCAATTGTATAATTTTCTTAAAAGCTCACTGTCGCTGACAATAAACGTAACAATGCTACGCAGCTCGAGTGCACTTACGGCCATTCAGAGATCACAAAAGGCATTACAGAAATTAAAAATGCCCCCAAATGGGCAATGAACTCCTCCGAAAAAACACATTTGGTCAGTGGCAGTAACAGAAGCAAAAACAATCAGGCAAATGGTGCGAATGGGACATTTTAGCTAATTGAAATGAGTTCGCAATGCAAATACGAGCTTACTTGTAGTAGTGGCTGGAATGCTTGCCAAAAAATAAATAGAAATAAAAGTGCAAATCCTTGGCAGCTTCGGGGTGTCACGTTTCAGCCGTGGGGCTTAGTTCAAAGCTCCTTATTCCTTCCATCGCAGGACCACCTGTGGCTGACTGCTCGATGGGATGCCGCCGTAGCCACTGCCATCACGTCTCAGGTGCGAAATGAAGATTTATAAAATGGCAAATTGATTTAACGTGCCAAGTGCTTCTTAATTCAACAGCAGCGGACCTGGCAAGTTGATAAAATTTTAATGCCTCCCTCAGGGGGCAGCACAGAAGGCGAGACAGAAACCTTACCCTCACGCTCATGTGGTTCAATTTCAACCCTCCAGAGGCCTGGTAATTGAGGGTTAAACTAGCGCTTTGTGGCTCATCAACAGGTAATTTCTGTGCCGGATTTTTATGACAACTTGCGGCTTGTTAGTTCGAATAAATAATGCATGAGCGCCAACACTAACCTAACGAGCTCAGCTCGATTCTCCCCCCCGAGGAAATTTACTGAAATTTGAATACTTGGCGGCATCACGTTTTCCGACTTTTCTTCTCGTTTCCCTTCTCTTTTTGTATTGCCGCCTTTTTTATTATTTTTTCCGCTTTTCCTCTTTATTGGTAATAGAATACATTCAATTCTGTTTTTGGCTTTCCTTGCGCAAACAGAACGCGGAAAAAAATTCAATTAAATGTAATCGCATCTATTTCCTTCTGCCTCCGTGACTGATTGTTCTAGGAAAGAAATGCTGAAAAAAATGGAAATTAAAATTGAATAAATAGCCAAATAAACAGGCTCTTTGAAAATAAATGCTAATTTCGCGCTTTTCCTCAAGTTTCCACTAAGAAATGTCGACAGCCACTTTCTTTTTTATTTCCCTTCACGCATCTTAAGTGGGCAGAGGCACGTGCCGAACCAAATCCTTTTAATGTGTCGCCAAAGTTGGGAAACTCGATATAGGAAGTTGTCAAACAATAAAAGAAAATTTGCAGCTTACTTTTTTTTTTAGGGTTTGGTATATCTTTTAAAAGTAGAGTGATGTTTGGAGGAAAAAAAAATCCAATGGTTACCATATACGTATCTAGGGCCTTTGGATGAATTATAAATAGTAATTCTAGTGGAAAATCATAAATTAAAATTTAAACAAATTCCAAAACCCCAGTAAAACTCTCTGTTGGCAGATCAAATTACGGGGCCAGAAAACTTTTCAATTACCATCAGATTCAATTAATAATACCACATCGCACTAACTACATTTTGCCATCCGTTGGCGTAACCAGCTTAAATGGGGAAAAAACGCTTTCAATTCAGCAAGGACGCTTTGAAATTCAATTAACCTCAAGTGGATGCCACAACGGCGGCAATCGCCATGATGAAGGCATAAAACAAAGGCAGACGCTGCGGTGGCATTCACACCTCATCAATGTCAGGCTTCGGGATACAGGATACGGAATGGCATGGGTGGGGTTGGATATGGCGAAGAAACACCCCCTGACTTCGGATGTTTGCCAGCGTTTAGCCCAGTCGATATTGCTGCCAGAGGCTATCGATGGTATATTAAACTTTCACTGCCGCCGGCTCTCAGTGGAAAGTGCTCAGAACTCGGCCTGATTAAGAGCTGAGCAAACAAATCACGAGCCAGCCGAGCCGGATTGTTTGCTTAGCCAGTGTCTAAACACCGCTCTCGACTGTTTTTTAAACTGTTTGCCATGTGTACCAGCAGCGGGGGAATCAACCCCTGGAACTCGTGTAATTAACATTTCAATCCTGCTCATCGAGCAAATGTATCTCTTGTGCTCCAATGCCTTCTATCATGTAACCCCCGCAGTCCGCCGACTCCCGGACCAACGAGATAAATAAATAAATTGTCTTTCGGGGCAATTGTTGCTGCTCTTTCGTGTTGACATATGCAAATTTATCACCGCCCACCACAATTCACCCAAGTTTTTTGATTACTTTCGAGCACACGAAGGCGGAACGGTATAGGTCTGGTTATTTGCCAACTTGATGGCGGCTTTTGTAGATGGTTCAATCCATCGATTGTTTGCTCTTTGCTGGTTTTATTACCTTTATGTTGAAATTAAAATAAATAAAACTTTAAGAATTAGCATAACTCTGGTTAAGAGACCATTTAATTAATCGATAACAGGTATAGCCCAATGAAAAATTAAGTAACTTACTAAATATTATAATTTTAGTCGGAAGCTTACAAACTTTGAAGGTGTCATTTCCGACCTTATTTATATTCTTAATCAGAATCTTTATATAACTAACTAACACAATTAATGCATTTTTGGCATACTTATGATCGATTTCGAATTTTGCCCTCTGATCAAATTTAAAACTGAAAAGCTTTAAAGATTTTATACACAGACAAACTTTATAATTTATACTTTTAAGAATCAATAAATAATACATTTAAGTGTTATTGTTATGATAGGTTTCTCATTTTATTATAAAAATCACATTTGTTTTCCAATTAAAGTAGAAACAAAACCACAATTAAAACAATTGGCTAATCATAGGGTCTAGATCGATATGGATTGATATGATGTTGCTATGATATTCTTTAGGTTCATTGAGAGATATAATAGCAGGGGAGAGACTCTGAGGCCTCCTCCCAAGCGGTACCAGATTCCAAAATTACGGAATCCTTTGATATCGAGTCCAGGCCACCGATAGCTGGATGCCACTCCTGTTGCCGTGGCCACATCTCCGCCAGCTCCGACGGCAGTGCTGCCACAGCGAACGTGCTCCAGTCCAGGGCATTTCTGTTGGGTTTGTGGGGATTCCCCTTTCTGATGCTTTCTGCTGTTGCTGCTGCTGAGGCTGCTTTTTCAGGACCTTCCACCTCCTCACGTCCGATTCCTGGGCGACGATTGTGGTTTGTGTGTGGCGCCAGTGACGGGGCCTTGGTTTTTATAGCTGCCGCCACCAGAACGGAGCTTTCCGCTGAGGGGGGAAAACTTTCGAGTTGAGTTTCCCAGCGCCGAGTGTTGAATTTCCCCGCAAGCGAGTGGCAACAATTGTAGCGGCCTAATTGGGTGTATATAGATACATGTTACTGTGGCGCTTAGGTAAATAACAGTCCACACTTATATATATAGAATCCTGTAGCCTGAGTGAGTGTGTGTGTGTGACCTTATGCACACAAGGACACCGGCGGAAAAGGAGGAGCCAGGACTCGGCATAGCAATGGCCGCCATTTGAGTGAATTTTGCTGAGCTTCGCATAAAATTAAATGAAATTTAAATTATGCCCGTTCCCTCTACAAAATAATCCTTTCGAGCCTGCGAGTAAGTGATTAAAGCCATTAACGAAATTATCGGGATTATAGAGATTTGTTCGCATCGAGATGCGGAGGCAGGACTTCGCCACGGGTGTCGGCAAGACAATGCCGTTTCCGTAATCCAGGGGCTTCAATTAATGGAGTGTCGTCCAAAAAAGGGGTTGCAGATGATGGGAGGAGATGTCGCTGACTGCCAAAAGGGGTGGCTGACTGACTGAGTTTTCGTTTCTCTATCTATTTTTTAACAGTGCACGCAGTCTACTGACGTCAATGGTCCCTGTTTTCTTCAGCCACAAATAGTTTTCCCCGTCAAGGCCGTTCTTTTTATGAGCTTTCACCCGTTTCTCCTTTTTTGTGATGAATATATAGTCAAATTTTTACGATAAAACCAATTATGTTTACAAATATGTACTTATAGAGAGAAGATGGCTATGAAAAATATATTGTAAAAATTTATTCTGAATAAAATAAAATTTTTTGTAAATCACAATGAAAGGGATAAATGCTCCGTATAAAAAACTTATTAAAAGGAATAAACCTTCGCAAAATGATGTAACAAAAAAAGAAAACCCAATTGAAGAAGCACCAAGAGCTAGCAGTGTGAGTACGATAAACGTTGAAGAAAACCCAAGATTACATAAATCTAAAAAAGAAGAGTTACTGAACAAACAAACATATATTTTACCTGATTTAACGAGAACCAGCGGAGAAGAAACTTTGAGATCGAAAACTGATCAAAAGGAAGAACACAATAATGATAAGGGAAATGAAGAGAAATTTGAATCGAGTTTAGAAAGTTCTATGGTTTCTGTTTACGCAGATTCCAGCGATGTGGACTTGACTTCCGATTTAAGCGAGGATCTTCTAGATGATAGGAAGAATACCATTAAGAGTAAACCGAAAAAACCTGCGAGTTCCCTTGATGCGGAGGAAAAGTTTAGGACGCATTTCCTAAAGAGTTTTCAAGGCATGCCAAGATTATCGCAAATCTCATTGGATGAACCTTCGAGTAAAACAAAAGTTAGCAATGAAAATTTACAAAATATTCAAGAGTTGACGGATATAAAGGAAACCCTGAAAACATCATTAAGTCAAAGTGAAGATAAGGATATAAAATTGCCATCAAAAGTAAATATTATTGACCATCTAACTGAAGAGCAGCACAGCTCAGAAGACAACTAAAACCAAAATATTCAAATTGTAGAATATATTGATAAAAATCTAAAAAGAATCCCCATTTATAAAACCATATGGAATAATAATTACCAAATTTAAAAAGAGTAATACAAAATCCTAACAAAAAGTTTGCTGCAATGTAATAAAAACTTTCATAGCAAAAGAATGATATATGTATAATGAATAAATTTCCAGGAAATTCTAGAAATTTATCTCCCTTTTCGGCCACTTCAAAGTCGGATCATTGCCAGGCAACCGAAGGGAAAAATGCCTGCCTGCCGACCTCCTCAGAAATTTTCGGACAACTTCATGACGCTAAATTAACTAGCAGACATTTCTATTAGCTCTGCGGAATGAATACCAAGGCAATTTACGCTTAATATATGCATGATGCTGTCCGCTTGATAACACTCGAAGTTTGGCACTGCCAGGGATGAAGAGGGATGTGGGTCTGTGAGTGTGGGTGGTAGTTGGTGGGTGGTGGCCCTTACAGGTTGTTGGGACAACGGTGCCGCCCCTTTGTTGCTATCTAACCTTATCTGAGGACGGCACGTGGAAAAGTTCCGTACGTTTAACTTTGGCATTCGGCTGCAAATGAATTTAATGACTTGGAAATGGCCGCCGACTGATTTTGAATTTTAATTTCAGAGAAAGAAGAGTCTTGTGAAGCGTGCAAGTCAAAATCATCATATTAATACTAATATATTGTAAAACAAGTACAACAGGTAGTGTTCATTATGATAGGCTTAAAAATAAATGTCTAGGAAAATATCATAAATTATAATTAAATAATTTATTATGAATTGCTATTAAAAGCAGTAGACATTTGGAAGCCCTAAAAAGGTGTCTAAATACCAGTTTTGAGGTACGATATATCTGTATTTCCTTGTTTTTATACCCTTGCAGGGTATTATAATTTCAGTCAGAAGTTTGCAACGCAGTGATGGAGACGTTTCCGACCCTATAAAGTATATATATTCTTGATCAGCATCAACAGCCGAGTCGATCTAGCCATGTCCGTCTGTCCGTCTGTCCGTCTGTCCGTCTGTCCGTCCGTCTGTCCGTTTCTACGCAAACTAGTCCCTCAGTTTTAAAGCTATCTGAATGAAACTTTGTATATAGTCTTCTATATACTCTCACTGCTATATATGTCGGAACGGGCCGGATCGGACGACTATATCATATAGCTGCCATACAAATGTTCGATAAATTTTTAGAAAAAAAATTATAACTTGGCAGTTTTTCAACATTTTTGCATCATTTTTGAGATATGGCCAATATATATTATTTCCGATTTTCGGTTTTAATTTTATAAAAATCGGACCACTATATCTTATAGCTGCCATAGGAACGATCGGAAAATTAATTGAAAAAAATTATAACTTCGTTGTTTTTCAACGTATTTTCATCTACTTTGAGACATGAGCTTCTGGTATTATTTCAAAATTTTGGTAAAAATTTTATGAAAATCGGACGACTATATCTTATAGCTGCCATAGGAACGATAGGGAAAGTAATAGAAAAAATTATAACTTCGTTGTTTTTCAACGTATTTTCATCTACTTTGAGGCATGAGCTTTTAGTATTATTTCAGAATTTTGGTAACAATATTATGAAAATCGGACAACTATATCATATAGCTGCTATAGGAGCGATCCGTAGATGTATAGAAAATGTAAGGCTGGGAATGTATAACTGTAACTGTCAAACAGTAAATATAATAAGTATAGGTAAAATGTTATGAAACTCTTTTTTTGTGTCTGTTTTCGGCAATATAATTTATAGTATAAATATGAAAACCAATCTGCAAGGGTATACAAACTTCGGCACGCCGAAGTTAGCTTCCTTTCTTGTTTGTTCTAAATTTTACATTTTTTTTTATAAACTATAACGGGTGTTAATCTGATATTGATCTTATCTAAATTATAAGGAAAATAACTTCAGGTTCTCCAATCCAAGCTCGCAATCAAATCAACATGAAATCCGACGCATATCAAAATAATAGGCCAAAATCAATGACTTCCCCTGGGGAGGTAATTTGTATACTGCTTTTTGGCACACTCCCAGTGCAAAAAACGGAAGGGTATTTAATATCTTGCCGGGAATATCTTCGGCTGAAATGCAACAGCCCGACAGGCAGGAGAACTGGGATCTGAGGAAAACAATTGCCAGCAGTCTGAGGGAACTCCCAAAGTACCTTTTCACACATGAGCGCGCCGGTCTCAGGACATGACAAAAAAAATAGCAGACGTTCCTGGGGAGGAGGATATAAAAACCCAAAGGCTCAGTCTCAACCTCAGCCTCCCCCGATTTCAGTTGTTGTAAATCACAAAGTGAAACCGAAACCGTTAACGTGTTGCGGTTACGCTGCTGACTTTGCTGTGTGGGACAAAAAAATAAAAATAAAAAAGAAAGCAAAGAAAAAATCTGAAATAGAAGGGAGAACTGAGGCAAGTCATTCCATTTGTGAGGCTTTATTAAATGGGAATTGAGCGGGGCCAACGTCCTATCGTATCCTGTCCTGGCTTTTTAGTGCGATTTTTTTTGCAATGTTTAGGGGAGGTCCTTGTGTGTGAGTTTATCAAACTCCTTACATTTGTTTTCCCGGCCAAACAGGGCCAGCTAGCTTCCCCAAGCAAACTTTTCTTATTTAATGATTGCTTTCAGGAAGAGAGAAAGCAAAATCGATGGGGGAAACCGAGAGCTGGTTTCGCATTTCAACTTGAGAAATGTGAAATTGTTCCAGTTCCTTATTTTTCCCTTCCGAAGATTTGTCAAATCTTTGACACAATGATGCATAACGTTATCTGAGATTTGCCGGCTGAAAAAAAAAAAGAAACACAACAATAAACACAAGCGACTTTGCGAATTAATTCTCTTAATGTTTGCGACTTGTAGCCATGGGCACTAAGTAGGATGCTTAGACCCGGGGAATCACTTAATGCGATTGCCAAAAGAAGAGTTTGGGGGCCAAATTTCTGTAAAATACTTTTGCTAATTGCTGCAACTCGTTAAAGATACATATGCACCTTCCATTGTGTATCCCATGGCGCCTAGAGTGCACTAGATAGCCATAATCGCATCAGGTTCCGCACGATTTAACAGCAACGCAATTCTGACGGGACCCAGACCAATTCCAGTCCGTTGGCATCGCAACTGATTGTCTGCTCTTGCATTTCCATCTAACGCATGATTTTTGCATTGAAAACAATTTTTAGATACGATTTTCCAATAAATAAAATGATCAAATAATTTAAATCGTATTAGATATAGTTTTTGTTTGATTTTTATTTCTTAGCGTCCTTATTAATAATAAGGATGAAGGATAAGAATATCATATCAACAGACAAGTCTAGTTAGTACTTTTTTGGTTTTTTGATATTAAATTTCCACCTTCTCTATTTTATCTGACTCGCCTCCGATTGTTGGTCGAACTTCAAACATTGTTGTTAAAATCGGTAAACACAAATTACCTAAATAATGTTTGTAGGCAAAGTTATCAAAAAATATTACGTAAGGGTCTTCTAAATGTATCACGGTAGATTCTTTTTGAAATGATTTAAGAAGACACATTACACTTTTAATATAAATAAAATTAATTAACAAACTTGATATTTATCTATTTTACAATAAATTGTAATCTCTATATATTATTATTATTATTAAATTCAATAAACTATATTTTTATTTACTGTGTCTCGAACTTCATTTTATTTTGCTCAACACTTTTTTGGCCTCGCATTGATTGCTCCACAATTGCGCAATTTCGTTCACTAAAAGCATTTCAAAAATACAGCACAATACTGCCGAGGGTTAGGGCAACTGGAAGGAGCAGAAGGAGTGGCTTCTTCTGTGCCCGCTGCCATGACGCATAAGCTCCGATAAAAACTGTTGTTCGATAAGCATTTTGTTTGCACTGCGCCGGGAGTTGTTAAGGAGTCTGTGCCTCAGACCCAAGTCATGAACTCTTGTGGTAATTCTGGGGACACGAATCGTTTGAGGAAGCCATAACGAATCACTATTTAATGTGAAACTTGACAAAGTTTCGTGGAATTGTTTGCCATTGTAAGGAAATGTTAAGGGATGGGAGGGGAAGAAATAAATCATACGCAGAGATGAGACTTTACTGAGCATTGATTACTTAGAAAGGTAGTTTAATATGAAATACAGATTTATCATTTATTTAAATATTTAAAAATATATAAATATATTACTTTAATTATTTTCTGTTATGCAAACTGCTAACATTTTCGTTCAAACCAAATTTTGGTAAGCCGACAACATCTACTGCTCTTTGGGTGCCCGCACAAGTATGCTATAATTTGTACGAAGCAAACTTCCTCTGCCGGTTCGCTCGAATGTCCTGCGGCTTAGTCATCCCTCCGGTCCCTTTCAACACTCCCTCACATCGGCAAATACACATGATATTCATTATGAACGGCTTAAGCGATTTCCCTTGGGCCGCTGTAAGCCTCCTCCGCAGATATATAAACACACATCGAGACACTCATGCATATGCACAGATATATTTCGAGTTTTTCGCATTTTTTTATTTTTTTTTTTTCATGAAAGCTCTTTTGAATGGAATCCGATTTGACGAGCATTCGCAAAAAAAGGAATACTCGTCAGCAAATTGGCAGCTCAACCAAAAAATAATAAAAAGAAGTAAGAGAAGATCCAATTCTCAACCTGATTGTTGGCCACATCAATCACAGCCGACCAGCCCCTTGCCATGTTTTACATGCTGGCAAAAACGCAGCGGTAAACATGGACATAATAATTAAGGGCCATAATTTTCTCCCGCCCCAAAATGGACAGCAAGCGTTCGCTGTGCTAATGAAAATAATCTGTCATCAAAGGCAAAAAGCCACCCCATTGTAAACGAACAGGTGCTCCCGTATCCTGCTGCCGTTTTCCTGGCCACGCCCCCGATGTATGTATATGATTACATTGGGCCGCCAACTATTAACTCAGCATAAATTGTTTGCCTTTGAGGAGGGGAAGGGTTGAAGGGCAGGAAGGTCGAAGGTCGGCAGGCGACTGCCGGACGGAAATTGCATTTGTGCTGTCCGAAATCAGATAAGATTCACCGACGACAATGGTCTCTCCTTTGGCCAGGATATGACATTAAAAGCGCATCACAGACAGGAGAACAGAGCTAGGCATCAGCAGCGGAAACTGTTGCCGTAATTACATTCGAGGCGGAAAGGAAAAAAAAGGTAGAATTGGATATTGGAATTTGGTTTCGAACTGTTCTTACTCTCTTATACTATTATGGAATGTAAATATGTAAATATTCCCAGTAATCGGAGGAGCTAATGTTCTTAATTTTTTTTTTCTGCGCGAGAATAAAATAGTAAAACCTTTAATCTTTTGAGTTTAAAATTTTTTTTTTGTATGTAAAATATATTTTTATTAGAATATATAGGGAATTTTAATTTTCTTTAATATTCATAAAAATCCAAAAACATTTGTTAATATATTCCAAGTGCCAAGTCCAACAAACCCTTGCTACCCTCTATCCTCTTATTCAATAAAGAGCTCATTGCTGGTCATTTGCGCTCTTCTTTGACCCCGAAGGCTCAGCTTTGATTCGGTCTTTGTTTGCACCATTAAATTAAATATCCTCGCCCAGTCGTCCGACCTCTGACTGAGTCTGCTCATCTCGGCTGCCCAGGAACGACAATGCCGGCAATTTCTGTCATTTCCTTAATAGAAATCTTATCTTTTGTGACGCCTTCGCCGTGCGCCTAAGCCGGATATCGCACCTTTGACATCTGTCGTGTGAACTTCTAGCAGAGCAACTCTGTGCTGAACAGTCATAGAAAATACATTGTCAGGCTTTTGGGAAAAATATATTTGAAAAATTTAATACCATAGAATTAATAAGACACAAGTAGTTTACATTTACAAACACCATGAGCTGCTGCTACTGCGGTACTCAGACGGAGGACTGTGGCGACTGTCAGTCCGGAGAGGATCAGAAAAAGACCTCACTATTCCGTATGATTATTGGTCCGTATCCCGATGAGGTTATCATGAGCGCTTTGGATAACATCCTAGTGTTGTGGGGTGCCACCAAGATCAAGCACATGATGGAATTGCAGGCCTCAGGTGAGTGGGTCTTCAAAATGTATAGAACAATAGTTTTATTACCATTCAAGATTGCTTAATAATAGCCCAATTTTATTTTAATATTTATTTTTTAGGAAAAGTTACCAAGAATAAGTCCTGCCCTCCTTCACCATCCTGTCCTCCTCTACCGTCCTGCTCCTCAGCCTGCTCCGTGGGCAGAAGCGGATCCTTTCACAGTATGAGTTCTACATCGTGTCCCAGCAGGGCGATTGACTGGAAAGGAAAGCATTCCTCGGCTCCCAGCAGCCCAAAGGCAGTGTGCTTTAGGGGTCCGTCGAGTCGTTTATCTGCCGCCGCAAGCAGCCCGCGGCAACGGTCGCCTCGGGTGGACTTTACACATCCGGCAGATGATATTCGCAAGCGACATTCTGCCGGTAGTTTTTCGATGAAACAGCGCTTGATGCAGGCAGAAATGGTGTGTTCCGCGGCCTGTGAGGCTTTAAAAACTCGCCTCAAACCCAAGGAGAGTCCACGAAGTGGATGCAAAGGTCAAAAGTGGCTCTGGACAAGACTGATACGCACCAAGAACGGTTGCCAAGTGTATGAGGTATACAAGGACTCGAAGGCTGATTGCTCGCCCTCCAAAATCGGCTCCAAGGCTCCCGCCATCGTCTTCCTGGTCTTGCGAAATGGCCATATCATGCCATTTGAGACGATTACTTCTGTGTAAAGCCAATATAATAGATAGTATGTTTATAAATTTAAGCATTGTATGTATGGTCTTTTAATAATTTCGGAAGCTTATTCAGGATTTAAACAACAACCGTTTAAACTTTAAAGGAATTTCGATATTACTTATAAGTACATATCACATATTTTTGGCTAATATCTACAAACTAGGCTAAACGTATACGCTTCTTAAGCATAACAAAGACCACTCCGGCACATACGAACATATAGACGGAGAGTATAACCACAGACTCGATATCATCTCGGTTTTCCGGCTTCAGAGCCAAGTTAACCAGCCCCGTAAGGAAGTTAGACAGCATAAAGTGCGTCAGACCATTCATGTTGAGGCTCTCAACAAAGGTGGGTAGGGATTGGCTAGTTAGCTTGTCGCCATCTCCAATCGGTCTAGGGTTACCAACTTGTTTAAGTTCGAAGAAAAATGCATATATAAGAATCAGGCTTAGGCAGACGGCGAACATCCAGCTCACATAGCCAAAGCTAAAGGTTACACGAGAAATGCCTGTTAAAAAGGCGCTGCTGAAGGCAAGTAGCCAACAGAGAACGGCCGCAACAAGCAGTTTCTTCAACTTGGTGGTTAACTGTTTGTAGCTGAGATAATCCAGAGCGGTGTACCACTTGGACAGGTAAATGCTAAGCAGATAGAGAGCCACGCATCCGTGTAGGGAGCTTAGACCCTCTCGATTGGCTCTTAGGAAACCATTACGGGGAGCACCAGACATCACAAACTGGGAAAGGCCCAGCTGCAGCACAAGTTCGTGCAGGAAAAGCAAGCCTAAAAAAGAAAAGTTATTAGATTTCCGCTAGCAATGAATTTTTTCTCAAGTACGTACCCAACGCTAGAGTCAGAAGCTGACCATCGGACTTCGCCAGCAGACTGTAGCAGCTGCCCATCAGTTTGGTGAAGCCCAAGATGAAAAAAGCATTCAAATGCTTGCCATATTCTGCCTCATCCTGGTGATAGTGAATCGCTGTGATGACAATTGTCCGGGCTAAGCCCAGAACCAGCAATGGAACCACCGATCTGGGCAGTTTCCTCAGATCACCAAAGTCTTTGGCACGATTTGAAACCAATCCCATGGTAACTACGAACAGACCGATGCCCATGTCCATTGCAGAGGCTCCGAATGTCCTGCTCTTGCGGTATTCAGTGGGATAAGATGGGAAATCCACTGCCAGAATGGCGGCACAGGTTCCACTATAGGCGGTGGCTCTCATCAGGGTAAAGACAATAGGTCGTTTGCCCACTTCGTACTTTGGCTTCGGAGAAGGATCACCTTCTCCATTTGCGTACAGATAAGCCAAAGTAACTATGGTAACCACCAGGGAATACATGACGCTATAGTCACTGCCCACGGTGATCAGAATCACAGAGGGAAAGCCAATCAAGATGAACTCCAGAAGGAATCTTTGCGTGGAGTGCTGTGGCAGGTGGCCAAAAAGAAGCCGCGAGAGGATGAAACCCAATAATGTGGGCCATATCGCCAGGAAACTATGGACACTTTCCGTGACGGAGCTCCAGGATTTCAGGTTCACGCTGGAATCGTCGGAGTCATCAGTAATAAGCGGGTTAGGTATCTCCACTTCCATGCTTTTCGATTTGTCAATGGGATAAACTTATAAGGAAAGTATTACTTATTTTTCTATAAATTTACTTTCTATTCGTAAGGGTGGAAGTTAATTTCGCTTAAAATTATTCTGCCGGCAAATAAAAACGTAAACAGAAACATAAGTATGGCCGTGGCTGAAAGTTTTAAAGATACCATTTGCCATTCACCGACTCTAGTATTTTTTGCGGTCACACTGCGCGGCAATAAAATTCGGTATTTAATTTTATTTATTATTTATTTTAACACAGCTCTCACGAACAACCTTTATTTATTAAAACAGCTAGATTAAATCTATTTTTACTCATCGACTTTTTTTTAATTTTAAAAGTAAATCAACTAAATTTTTATCTTGAATACCTAATTCCCGAATTTTTTTAGTCGCCAAATTCATGAATTCGACTTCGCATAAACACTGAACAAATTATTTTCGAACTCGAATCGATCCAGCCAATTGTTGTTGGAGCACCAGCTGTTTCGGGAAATGGAATACGTAACTTTTGTTTATTTTTTTTCAACTTTTTGCAATGAGTTTTGCAAGAATTCCCATTCCCTTTCTCACTTGTCGATCATTGGCTTGGTCAACAGCAAAGGTAAATACAATGTTCGAACCTATAATTAATACATTATTAATTTTAATCGAGAAATTTCAGCGCACGGCGACCACCACACCATGCGAAGTCCGAATCGTGGAAGTAGGGCCGCGAGATGGTCTCCAGAATGAACCCAAGTTGCTGCCGGCAGCTACCAAAATTGAACTGATCAATCGGTTATCCGGAACAGGCCTGAAAACCATTGAGGCCACCAGCTTTGTGAGCGCAAAGTGGGTGCCCCAGATGGGTGACAATGCGGAGGTGCTGCGGGGAATCAGCAAAGTTCGCGGGATCAGCTACCCTGTGCTCACGCCCAATATTAAGGGATTCGAGAGTGCCCTGGCGGCGGGTGCCGAGGAAGTGGCCGTTTTTGGAGCAGCCTCTGATGCATTTTCCCTGAAAAATGTTAATGCCACGGCTGCGCAGGCCATCGAACGCTTCAGGCCTGTGCTGAAGGCAGCCAAAGAGAACGGGGTACGTGTCCGGGGATATGTGTCCACCATTGTTGGCTGTCCATACGAGGGCGCCATTGCCCCGTCTGCCGTGGTCAAGGTGGTGGAGGCGCTATATGAAATGGGCTGCTACGAGATTTCCCTGGGCGATACCATCGGCGTAGGTACTCCCGGCAGCATGCGCCGAATGTTGGACGAAGTGACGAGGGCGGTTCCCGCTAAAGATCTGGCTGTGCACTGCCACGACACATACGGCCAGGCGCTGTCCAACATCTTGGTCTCCTTGGATTACGGCATTCGTGTGGTGGATGCCTCAGTCTCCGGCCTGGGCGGATGCCCCTACGCCAGGGGAGCCTCGGGAAATGCTGCCACCGAGGACGTAGTCTACATGCTGCATGGCATGGGACTCCAAACGAGTGTTGACCTGGACAAACTCATCCAAGTAGGTCGGTACATCTGCACTGAGCTGGGCAGGCCGTCCGAGTCTAAGGTCAACCGTGCCTGGAAGGGACCTCAGTGATGTCTGCTGCATCGGATTAAAAATGAAATCGTTGGCATTTACTAGCACTAGCTAAATACATTTATTTGTCGCTGCAATATTAAACCTAACACATTTCGTTTTGCCCTTTTGGCTGTCTAGAATTTCTGGGCATCTCTAATCGTATACAGGGAAACGTCACCGGAGGCGAGCGACAGATCCGCCAGGCTGTGGTTGGCGCGGCGTGGAATACGCGATAATGATAAGGATGACTTGCTATCGGCTGGTGCATTGGGCATTTTCATCTTGCCATCGTGACGGAGCACTGTCGGTTCCACGGCCGAGTTTAGATTCTTTTGAATCTGTGGTACACTAGGCATGGAGAAGGGAGTGCGCTCATCGACCACCTGCAAAGTATAAAATTAGTTTTAAGCTCCAAATTCAGGAAAGCTAGATGAATCAGCCCACAAAATTTATAGAAAGCGGACATTGACTTACGTGTTTGATCTCCGATGATATGTAAGCCTTCTTGGGCAGCACCTGGGCGGAGGAGTCAATGCCATTGATCAGGGCACTGGCACCGCTCGCTTTTGAGCTGCTAGCTGCCGTGTTGCACATGGGTTTCAGTTGACACAACCGTGATTCCTGCTCCAGCTCACTGATGGCCAAGGTACTGAATATATCGGCACTGGTTGGACGGAACAGGCTCATCAGAGGAGCAGTGCCCGATTTCTGGGTGTAGGCGCGAATCGGACTGACAATGTGGCCGAACTGAGGAAAAAACTTTTTCTTGGTCCAGTCCATGTTGAGGTCGTGTTTGGGGGCCATTTTGCCCTTGCTGGGCGAGGGTTCGACGCCTTTTGGCTTGTTACTGGGACGCAACGGCAAAGGTGGCTCCAAGAAGCGGGCTTCTGGCGATTTCTGTATTGTCTTGGGTGACACCAGGAACGTGTTCTGCTTGGGCAACAGCGGGCTCTTCGGCTTAGCGGCGAGTGGTGTTGCAACTCCATTGTTTATATACTCCATGCCCTTTTCCATCATGTACTGCATTTCCTCCATAGTATCGTTAAAATGCAAAGAGTCGTTTTCCTTGTCTTCCTTGCTGTCATCCATTTGATTCCCTTCGATGGTCCCATCCCCCTGGACATTCGTAAGGCGAGTTGAGACCTCTTGTTTAATATCTGAAACGACCTTGACCTCCTCAACATCATCATCGTCATCAGAGGACAACTCAATTACGGTGTCATCTAGTATATCATCCGATTGATCGTTCGCCTCCTCTGGCAGCTCCTTGGGGGACAACGCCAGCTCCCTCAGGCTTCCGTGGAGATCGATTAGAAGCTCTTGTTCCTCCCCCTTAGACATGCCTGGTGGCTTGGCCTTGGCAATTGCAGCATGAAACAGCTCATCGACATTGAGGAGCGTTCCACTAGTGAGGGAACTATCAGTGGCTGTCTCATAACAACTCGATGCATTCGTCTTTCGAGTGCGAGCGCTCAGAAAACTGTTCAGCGATGACACTGCCGAGGACTCGAGTTCATTGTCTTCGATAATGGTAGAGGGACGAAGCAGACCCACCATTTTTACCGGCGATACTTTGGTCTTGGGTTCCAAAACGGTATCATCGATGCTGCCGGCCAGGGTGTTGTCGTTGTCCCAGAAGCGCGAGGGCGCCTCCACATCCTCCAGCTGGGTGCACTCGACACCCTTGACGGGACTCTCGTTGTCCAGCATATCATCGGTGCCAACAGCCTCGAGCATGCGACGCAGTGCATCGATTTCCATCTGATCAGTGGCGCTGCGACTGGTCGAGGCACTTCTATCCTTGGCCATGGCCAGCACCTGGCTTCTTTTCTCACTGTGCAGATACTGGAAGAGAGTGCTGTCCGGATCGGATCCAGTCTTGTCGCACATTTTCTCAAAGGCGTCGAAGCTGTCATCGATTTCCTCCGAGTAACCCATGGCTCCCTCGTACATGGTGTCTTCGGTGAGATGAATGGTTCTCTGGGTGATTCCGGCCGCGGCCGGATTCGTATCGGTCCTGATTTCCAGCGGCTTCCTTAAATCTCCGTCCATCTCCCGGCTGTACCGCTTATCCTCGATCTTGCCTTGCTTCTTGGGCGAGCTGAAAAATAGGAGCTGTTAGCTGTCTCGTACAAACCGATCCGGTTAGACTAATTTCAGTTTTTGACATGCGTTCCAAATGACTATTTGTACTTTGTAGGTGTGTGTAGTTTCTATTTGAACAATCTATGTACTTTTGTGTGGGGAGGTAATATCCAGGGAAAGGATTGAGGGTATTTACCAATCGGTCAAGAGGTACGCACGCAGTTCTTGACGCCATGCCTCGTTGTTTTGGAATTTTTTAAGTCCAGACATGTTTGTGGCCTGGCCTGCCGATCGAGTAATTAGTATGCGTGTGTGTGTGTGTGGCAAGTCCTTGGTGCTGAAGTCTCCAGGCAGAAATCGCGTAATTCACCTGTATTTAAAAACACCAAATCCAGTTTACTACCAACGTACCTTTGGGAAAACAATATTCGACAGCTAGCTCAATTTTTTTAAAGAAAAACTGGCGCAGATTGTAATGATAGACGCGCTTCTTTTGTCGGTAATTTTGAATACGACGGCAGTGTGACCGTTGTCCAGATCTTACGATCAATTTTTGGATATAACGGTAAAAATACTTGCATTACATTTTGGATTTTATCCAATCGGTGTATTACAAGCTCAACGATCGACAAATTAAAATAAATTGTATAGTTAATAACTATTAATTAAAAAGTAATTATATCTTTAGTATATTCCACAAGTCTTCGTGAAAACGCGGTCACACTGGCGGCAATGCAACACCAAATGCCGGCGAAAAAAGATAACAAAGTGCGTTAGCACGGTGAAAGTTGTATTAACTGGAAATTTAAAGTACTCACAGCACAAAATGAACGCACTTCGACACACGATATCCCTAGTTTCACTGGGCACTTTCCAAATGGTCCGCAGGACGCGAGGCCGGTACTGGGGAGGCTTCCTCCTCGGCACCGGACTGGGCCTGGCCAGCTGCTTCTCATCGGTCACGTACGCACATGCAGCGGCGGAAGAGGGCAACACAAAGGTCAAGAGGGAGCAGCTGGACATCTCACGGTTCATGGCCGAGCCCATTACGGATTCGAAGGTCCTGCTGGAGGACAAACAGAATATGCGCCATCGCATGGAGCTGATGATCATGGAGATTCAGGCCGAGTTCTGTCGGGCCCTCGAGGCCGAGGAGAACTGTGGCCAGAAGTTCAAGGTGGACCGCTGGCAGCGGGAGGAGGGCGGTGGCGGTATCACGTGCGTACTTCAGGACGGCGACGTCTTTGAGAAGGCGGGCGTCAACATATCGGTAGTAACCGGATCCCTGCCACCGGCCGCCGTGCAGCAAATGCGGGCCAGAGGGAAAAACCTCACTGAGGGCGCCAAGCTCCCGTTCTTCGCGAGCGGTGTGAGTGCCGTGATTCACCCTCGCAATCCCCACGTACCCACCATCCACTTCAACTACCGCTACTTCGAGGTGGAGCTGGCCAATGGTGAGAAGCAGTGGTGGTTTGGCGGCGGCACCGACCTGACGCCGTACTACCTGAACGAGAAGGACGCCTCCCACTTTCACCAGACGCTAAAGTCCGCCTGCGACGAGCATGACGCCACCTACTACCCGCGCTTCAAGAAGTGGTGCGACGACTACTTCCGAATCAAGCACCGCAACGAGAGCCGTGGCATCGGCGGCATCTTCTTCGATGACATCGACACGCCCAACCAGGAGGCGGCCTTTAACTTTGTAACAGGCTGTGCCAAGGCTGTCATTCCCTCGTACGTTCCTCTGGTGCGCAAGCACAAGAACCGGGAGTACGGGACCAATGAACGCCAATGGCAGCTGCTGCGCCGCGGTAGATACGTGGAGTTTAACCTGATCTACGATCGGGGCACCAAGTTTGGCCTGTACACGCCCGGAGCTCGATACGAGAGCATTCTGATGTCGCTGCCCCTGCACGCCCGCTGGGAGTACATGCACGAGCCGAAGGCCAAGTCCGAGGAGGGCAAGCTCATGAAGGTGTTGAAGAACCCCAAAGAATGGGTCTAGGCGGGTTAAGGATTTTTACATTTACTTGTGCGGGAAACGGTGCCTTTCTTCAGTTAATTTTAGAAAATTTCAATATTTACACATACCTATTATATTTGTTGTTTTAAATAAACATGACAACTGTTTATAATTGTTTCTTTTAAGAGAATAATTTAATTGTTATAAAGTAAAACTGTTGTTTTTACATTAATAATTACAAATAAATAAATAGTAATCCTGGAAAATTCGTGCCTATATTTTTGCTAGTAATTTTAATAAATTATATAACTCGTAGAAAAGTCAACTTCGGGAAGCCGAAATTCCCTTAACATGGGTTTTTTTAAACGTCTATATTTAAAAATTGGAAGTTATAATTTTTCCCTTTAGATGTACATATGTATGTATGTATGTACATACATATGTACCCTTCAGTTCCATTCCTCCCGGATTCCCGAAGGATTCTTCCGGGCACCGGGATAAGTTCCCGCGGAATCCCGCGGGACCGTCCATACAACGCGGCGAGGAACTTTCATACATAGGGTACTCCTGGCGAGGATCTCGAAATTCCGCCAGGAATCCGCACCAATCCCCCGGGACAGTCCCCGGGAATTTCGAACTCGAATCCTGCAGGAATCGACGAGGAATCCCGCGGGAATGGCTGGCGGGCATCGTCAAGGAAACCTGCGGGAATCGTCGAGAAATCCCGCGGGATTCGCTAGCGGAATCCGCCAGGAATCCCAGATGAAAACCTATAGAAAATTCCTTAAAAATCCCCCCTTCCTAGTAAAAATCAGATGTAATTTATTCCTTATTTATTTATGGATTGTAAATTTTTATTTATGTTCACTTTTTCTGGTAGCATTACATATTTCTGCATAATTAAACATATGTATGTACATACATATATGTATTTATGTAACTGCGTGTCACGGAGCCTTCTCTGCCGGCTGCTGGGTCCTTTAAGGAACTTGTTCTATCTGTAAATTAAATACATACATATGTCAAATCGTAAATTGCAGTACTTTGCACAAATTTATACATACCAACTTATACTGGACAAAAAAACTTCGTAAATCCGTACTAAATCCCATTCACACCGTCTAGGTTGAAGTCGCATCCATTTTAATCGTCAATTCTGCAATTAAAATTAATAATTGAATGCAAATAAGTTCCACTTACCTTATAATATTTCATTTTTACGCAACTAATACGCAAAACACTTCTGAATGCAACAGCAGTCAACTCAAAATGCAAAGAGAATTAGAAGACAAAACCGAAGACCGAAAATTCTCGCGTGTCAGGGTATAGCCGACAAGGCAATGCCTTGTAATTAGATTCACAAAGGGCTGATAATCAAACGTGAACATTTCGGCCAAGTCAAAAGCACATTTTCTTAAGTGCTTATATACCACATGATTTTATACGTAAAAATTAATTAAATATAATCTTTAATATTTTTAAATATTCCTACTTATTTTAAAAAGGTCATTCTGCCGTCGGTGCAATACTCTTTGTTTTTTACACCAATTTTTTTTCCTCCCTTCCTTCCATCTCCATCTCTCTCTAATTTACGAACTCTCGCAACCGCTGCTTCGAACAGAGATCGAAAACAATAACAAATATGAGGATCGAACTTCGTGAAGCCCTCGGCAGTAGCCGAGCGTAGGTAGAATTTGTTTCGGCTATTTTGTTTCGAACTTCGCTGAACGAGGCCCATGTAATTTGTTTTTGTTTTTCGAACATACCGCGAGGAATCGGACGGGCCAGGAATTCTGGAACTGAAGGGTATACAGTGAGTCACAAAAGTATTCGTTGCAAGGTTCCCGACGAATAATTATGTTATTTTTTTAATGATTAAGTATCAAATTGATAACTTTAGTATTTATTTTATGTTGCTCAGATATTAAACAATAGGAAAACAACAAAAAGTTGTTAAAAAACTAGCTTCATTGCTGTTTTTTTCTAAGAAATTCATTTGAACTACAAAATTTCATGTCACAAAAGTATTCGTTTTTTTGTTTCGCCATTAAATATTTATAATTTTTTTATTGTGTTATATCTTATGTGCAATCCTTTGCTTTATTTAATAGCTTATAATCGTCCTTGCATTGGCTTTACCCATTTTGGGCACCTCTTTCAGGATATATTCGACCATTTCTTCCACATTATATCTTTAAGTTCCTTTTTCGGCAAAAATCCGCTGTTCCTGGAATTTTAGCTTAAGATGGTGTCATAGATTTTCAGTAGGGCTAACGTCTGGGCTCTGTGAAGGAGTTTTAGTCTGGTTTCAATAGTACAACACCCACATCTTGATTTTAAAAGTCGTTTGTTCGGCGCTATTGTACTGGTGGAAATTGAACTTGTCGGGTTCTGGACACATTAGGGTGCCACTAGAGAGTAAAATACACCTTAATATATTTAAATATATATCAGCAATTATTATTCCTGTCTAAAAAAAAACATATTTCCAACTCCTGGGGCGGACAGACACCCTAAACTAGAACAGAAACTCTGACGTGCTTTACTGTTGCTGTATCATTTTTTAACTTGAGGGCTTTTCCGGGCTTGCGGCAAACTATCCATTCTCAATCCGATCCCTAAACATTGAAAACCTTTTTTTACTTAATATTACTTGCCCTGAATACTCTCAAATTTGCTTCAAATACGCTATATCAAAGAAAATAGCTTCGGCATATTGATAGGTGAAAACAAGGATTTTATTTTAGGGCTTCTACCATCCTCATCATGGCTTCTAGGAACTGTTCCGATAGTTTAAGTGGATACATTTGTTCCTTAGGATGTGGTCATGGCGGTGTTAATTTTTGCAGCCTATAAATGTATGCCTTTCCTGTTTTTTTTAAGAATTGTTCTATCTTCTCTGATTTTCAATTACTATATTCGGCCAAAACGCGGCTTATTTTCCAGGAAATTTCTTGATTTCAGTAGAAAAACCATGCTTATTATGGTAAGAGGACATTATCAAACATACCAGAAATATATTTTAAGGATCAACCCTCATTGTGTAGGTGTAAAGTAATTTTCTTCTGGAAAATGTTTTGACTCCGTACTATTCGGCATTTTGTAATTGATTACGACCCACAATGACGCTTAAATGTTGTGTTTTTCCATGAATTAAATTTTAAAATGTATTCCCAACCAGAATACTGAAAAAATTGCACTAACCCATGAAAAAAAGAAAAAATAATTTTAAAAAAATCTCAGAAACGAATACTTTTGTGAGCATAAAAATCGATTTAGTTTTATATATTTGTCTGTAGCTTGTTTTTGGAAAAGTTTTCTCTAAGTTTTTTTTTGTCATATGCTAAACAAAATATACATCTTTGGGATAGTAATCCATTTTTTCACATTTTGAAGCTTTTAGCTAGTGAAAGTTGACATTTTCCTCAAGACCTCCTTTGCAACGAATACTTTTGTGACTCACTGTATGCACATGTACTACCTGCACAGCCTTGCGTTCAGAGCAGACGGACTGGGCTAGATCGAATCGGCTTTTGATGCTTATGAAGAATCACTACGTCAGACAATGTCGGGAATTTATAATACCCTTTGCAAGAGGTATAAAAATAGTATTTATAAGACTTTAACCATTTTTATTAATTTATAATACCCTCTGCATATACCCATTTTTTTTTTTTTTTTTTTTTTTTTGAAAATCTTAGGTAATGGGTCGTACATACATATACATACATACAAATTCGTGTGTATACCCAAAATTGCTTTGAAAAAACTGTACTCCAGTAAAGGTTAACGAACTAGCATTCTAGTATACATACACAATCATCATGTAGATGTGCTACTTCCATGTATGAACGTACATACATGGTGTGGTTTTCGCTAAAGTAGCGCTTTCTGTTTTGAGGTTATGCCTACCGCTATGCAATTTTCCACCAGAATGTTCCATGCAATGATGTCATTTCCCTTTTAAATTGATAAACCTCAAGTTATGTTTTCCCACTTTTTTGATATAGCGGTGTACATGATGTTATACTTTTCCCGCAAATTCAGTTTGCTCGGGTTTTGTATGTGTGTGTATACCAATTTTCACACACATGCGAATGCCCGTCCTGCCTGCGAGACACACACACACACACACATGCACGCGCACCTTTCCTCCGATGCGATGCACATCGTACATGCGTGTGAAGAGGGATATAAAGCGGGAAATTCTCGACACCGGCTCTCAGGGGATAAAAAATGCTACCCGATCACGCTGGCTACTCAAACACTACATGTAGACATAAATATATAGTTTATAAAATGCTTTATTTTCCATTTCGTACAATAGTGTTTATTTGCGGATGTTTTGTTTTGTGTACAGAAAAATGTTTCTCAAGTACAGAGCGTACTCTTGTTACAATTGTTTCCTCTTCTGTTGTTACTTCTTGTTTTGTGGGTAGTAAAACCCTGTGTTTTTTGTTATTAGGTAGCTTAACTAAGTATATTTAATGAGCGCCGCCAGTCTGCTGCTGATATACCTCGATGGTGTCGCCTTCCTCCATCTCCAGCGAGGTCGGAGTGTCGTTCTCGTTGATGGGCTGGCCGTCGAAACGGAAGCGCACCACCTGCATGGAGAGTCCGGCACGGTCGCAATAAGCGTTCATCAGTTTTCGCAATGGTGTGTGCTTCTTTATCTTAAATTGGACGACGGCATTGTCCTGTCCGAGAACCTTCAAGTTAATGTGCTCCGTCTCTCCGCCTTTCTTTTCGTCAGACATGTTTCTTTTTTGTTGTATTTGCTTCGAGCTTGCCCCTTAAAGTTTTGTTGGTGTGATACCCGGCGTGCTGTACAAAAAAAAACGAGAAAATGCCACAAAGCACGCACAAATTAGAAGCCGCGAAAGGTAATTGCTGCTGTGTTCGGCAGTCGCTGTTGCAAATGCGATTTGTTGCAAAAATTTACCTGCTTCTTTTAGCGCTTGCTCCTCGGATGCTTGCTGTTAATTTTTTCGTCGGCTTCGTTCAGCACACGCCAAAATGGTTGTCAAAAGATGACACTATCGACGGGAGCTGGTACCATCGATATGTGTGGTGCTATCGATGACACTATCGAACCGTATACACGAGAGAACAAAATACTAGAAAGTTGAATGGCGTTGCCAGATGGTGCGAGGGCACACTATTAGTATTTCCAGTGCGCGGTACGAAAAATATTTAAAAAATTAATTAATTAATTTTTTTATTTTATATTCCTGATTTTTATACATTTATATTTTTTGTTGCTTAGTAGAGGTGGAGAAATATTACTTCGATGTTTTCCAACATACATATGTATATATCCATAAATTATACTATTTCACATATGTGAAACCCTGATGATATTAAACAATTAATTATAATTATTAAAATCTATAAATTAAAGTCTAAAATTGGATCAATATTGAATCATATGTATACATGTTTTATATACATTTGTTTATTCTATACAACTATAAGAATTTGTTTAGGATCCAACTACAAACTGTTTTAAAACCTCTAAATTAATTTTTTTAAATGATTTTTTTGTTCCATTCATATTAGAATTTATATTTAGTTAAATCCGATTTGCTTACTTACTGAGTATTAAAGAAAAACTACTTTTTAAAAAGTAGGAGTACTCGATCAAAATTATTAAAAAAAAATATATATATTATAATATATAATAATTTAAGAGAGTCTTAATGTGTGCCTTACATTAAAGGCCAAATGCATTTTAAGTGAGATTTTTTTCAAATAAAATAAAAGAATAACTTACATTTTCCATTAATCCTTTTTAAGAAATTAACGCAAGCTTAAACATCGAATCAAAAGGCGATCCTAAATAAAATTACATTTTTGTTTTGATAAATAAAACAATTTTTTTTTTTCAAATATCAAACTTGTTTCCTTTATTTCAAGTTAAAACCCAAGCAAAAAATCCTTAAATATGAGTCATTTCAAAGACAACCAAGTATCTAAAAAAAATTATTTTTCGTCAGTTTTTACGTTTAAAAAAAAAGATCTTGTGAGCCGAGCAATATCAAAATAATAACCATAATTTTTGAACGTCCGAACCTACTTTGTTGAATGAATCTGGAACCCAGGGAGGACTTGACCTGTCTGATTAGCCAGTTTACCAGTTACCAAACCGTTCAAACCTTTTAGCTTTCTACGTGCAAGTCTCCTCCGCGGTTCATCAGCGCAACAACATGAAAAGATCGAGATAGTAAATTGGTTACAGACATAATGAAGAATGCATAGGAGGATTGCCACAGACGACCATCGGAGCACTTCTCAATGTGTACCAAACAAAGGAATGCTACTCCCTTACAATCTCGCCCAGAGGCGTAAAATCTTACCGGAGGCATCTTACACTCGGTTCGGAAGGTTTTCGAAACTTAAGCCTCGTTTAACTTACATAGCCGTACAACGGGCAACTCAGAGCGGAGGAGAAGGAGTGAAGTTTCAGTTTCAGTTTCTGTTTCAGATTCAGTGGCTGTCTCGATTCTAGAGATTCAGTCCTAGAACGGTAGACGACGCATAGATTAGTGAGGTTTGTACGTTGACCAAATTACCTGATGCGGGCATTGGACTTTGACTTTTTGCTACGAATTGCGGAACTAATTTCCGTGCTTTTGGATTGGATTTGGATATTTAATACTTATGCTTTTGCTTTCTCACATTAGTCAGATTTTATGAAAACTGATTGAAAACTGCAAAAAGACAGAGAGAAAATAAAAGGCACGAGTTAGTGCGAGGTTGCGTTTTGTTGTTGAGCTTAGGTTAATATGAGAGTAAGAAAGTCCCAGGAACCACCATGGGATTGTGTACCATCCATCCTGGCATCCTGCACCTGGATCCTCAGAGTCTTCCCTGTGACCCCCTTACCAAAGGTGGGGAAACAAACACGTGTATGGCTAGCTTTATTTTACTTACTTTTCTTTCATATTCATTTTCTTTTTGTTAAGAATTACTTATAAATTTAAATGTTTTAAGCTACTCGCACATATTAGTGTGTTCTGCGATCTGCGGTCTGGTTTTTTGCTGTACCTTTTAAAATTTGCTGTGTAAAATGGTAACCGTGGATTGGTTTTCGGCGTGGATGTGGGATTCCCCTTCTAAATTGCGACTCCGCTTCGGAACTCTCAAGTCAATTAAATAAATAGGCGCGCGCGACCGAATGTCGGCTGTATGTTTACAATTATTAACCTGGAGAAAGCGACCAAAGACTCGGCCTTACTGGCGCCACCAGCTCGGGTCGTTGCTGGAGCTCTGCTGCTGGCCATTGTCGGAATTGGCATTGGCATTGCCACGCCCCATAATGGGTGGCGGCGGCACACTAAACATATTGTGATGCGCAGGCGGCGGCCGGTACTTTTCCTCATCCTCGTCGTCGTCGACCTCGCGCTTAATGGCCGTGTTCTGGTAGTCGAATGTTGGATAGCCGTCGTCAATGGGCTCTTCCTTGATTTTGATAATGTCCATTTCGCGGAAGTCGGGCTTGCGCTCCTTGACATCACCAACGCCGCCAGCTCCGGTGCCGCGTTCACGATCTCTTCGCTCCCGCTTCCGTTCGCGACGCTCCCGGGAGGATTCGCGTTCTCGTGACTTGGAACGCTTCTTCTTCTTCTGATCACGCTCACGATCACGATCTCGATCACGCTCCCGATCCCGGTCGCGCCTATCCCTTCGGTCAAATTCGTCATATCGTTCGCGACTGCCGGCCCGTCGTTTTCTGCGCTCGCGGGATCGGCTGCGCGAACGCCCACTAGCGGCCACAGCACCACGTCCGCGATCGCGTTCCCTGTCCCGCCGGTCCCTGGAACGGGATCGGCGACGGTCTCCCCCAAAACCACGACCGCCCCTGGCGGCCTCCATGCCGTTGTTGCCGCCGCGTCCAGGCCCCTCGCGGTCCTCACGCTCTCGTTCCAGTCTGTAGCGTTCGCGTTCCCGCTCATTGTCCTCGCGTCCTGAGTGTTTGATGTTGACGTCGTTGCCGCCGCGACGGGTGCCACCAAGACCGCCGCCTAGGCGTCGCGGCAGCCATCCCTTCACAGTGCGAGCTCGTTCCACGTCGACCAGGACTCGCTTGCTGTCGATCTTCTTACCATCGGCGTGCTTGTAGGCGGCGTGCATATCCCGCTCGTGCTCGTACTCGATGAAGGCGTAGCCCTTGGGTTTACCTGACTCCTGGTCATGGATCAGGACAATCTTCTTGATGGGCCCGTAGAACTCGAACTCGCGCCGCAGTTTGGACTCCGAAGTATCGTAGTTGATGCGTGCGATGAACAGCGTACGAAACGGGTCCTCAGTGGCGTTCTTAATCTCGGTCGGATCCCACAGCGCGATCTCGCGCTCCAACTTGTACGCCACTTGCTCAGCCTTTTCTCGACGCCGTCGCTCCAGCCTCTCCTGGCGTGTCTCCACCGTTTTGGGCAGCGGTGTGTCCTTAGGGTCCTCGAAGTCGGCCATGAACTTGGCCACTCCCAGGTAGCCACGCGATTTCTTCTCATGCGGCAGCTTATCCACCGGCGGCATGAAAGGGATAGGGTCCCGGGCCGCAAATAGCGCCAGCAGATTGGGCGGAAGATATTGGGTCATTTTTGCTTTTTATTTTTACCTTTCCTTCGTTTGCGTTCCTCTCGTCTGCGGGAAAAAATCATTTAGGTTATGTTTCGTTTTGTTTACTCCGACGCCCCAAATCTGTCAACCCACTTCAGGCAGCCATCCGATTGGCAAGAATATAGTTTTCGGTACTTGGAATAAGTACCAACTATAAAATAGTTTGTCTTGAAAAATGATTTTCAATATTTCTTCACTTTTTTCGGCTGGCTTGTGTGGTAGAGTTGCAAAAACAATGATTTTACTATCGATATTAGGAATTGGTGCACTATCGATATGATACACGTTTTCAGTATTTTGCGATATCGATATCGCGCGAAGTTGATGGGTACATTATACATTTTTTAAAATCATTAATGCAATCTTTTTAAATGGTCTAAATTAAAACATAAAATTTAGCCTGTGATCGTTTGACTGGTAAAATACCAGACAAATTCAAAATTATTCTTAAACAATGGTCACTGTTCAAAACGGTATTCCAAATAAATGGTAATATATTTTATTGCATTGGTTGTTTGTCTCTTCTTTTATTCATAGTGGTATTATATATTCGACATTATTGAATTTCTGCGATTTATGGCTATTGGCTGTCAATGGGCATTTGTTCGCCAGTGTCATTTCAGAAAAAAATACTGATTTTGTGGTATTTTTTCCAGCTTCTTTCAGTTGCTCCTTTGGTACCTAATTTAGGTACCACGAATGATCTTTTCCTATCCCTCTCTCTTTCCCTCTTCAGTATTTTCCAGTGCTCTTGCGTACCAGAGCCGAATAACGGATCTTAGGACCGAACTTGTGTTAAACGTGATTTCGTACTTTTACCATACATTCTTTAGTTTTCGATCTGATCAAATAAGTGTTCGTTTTAACTTTTAACCAATTATAAAAGATAACTATCTGGTAAGTTCTGGCACTTGCGAAGACAACGCGAAACGACTTGAATGGGAATTTACGCAATTTAGGGAGCAATGCAAATGGCTGAAGCTAAGCAAGAAAATGGCGCTGGCGCCCTGAAAATTACCACAGGCTCGGGACTGGGACCCGAGCAGCCCCCGCGCCATCACTTGGATCTGCCCAAGGAGGAGCAGGTGGAAGAAGTGCTGACCCCCGCGGAGAAGGGCAAGTTCGAGTATCCGCCGCCGCCACCGCCACCGACTCCTGTGCAGGCTCCGCCGCCGACCAAAGCCGTCGCTCCGCCAGTGGTTCCGTTAGAACATGACGACGACGAGGCAAATTCGGAGAAGTGGGAGGATCCCTGCGCACCACCGCCGCCACCACCCCTGCCTACCAATGCTTTCCTGTCAACAGGACTCGGCATTCTGAAGCTGCCCGCTTTCAAGCTGAAGGATGCCCTCGAGAAGGCCATTACCAAGCTTGAGGCAAACAGACGGTTCCCCAAAATCAGCAGCCGTGAGGTAGGTTGAAGTTTCTGGAAATTAACTCTGTTTTGGGTTTGAGAAGAATTCAAATATTTAATAATTTTTGCGTAGACAATAATAACTATTTAATTATTTTGATAAAATAACAAAAGTCGCATTTACGTTATGCTATAGTTTTAAATTTTTTTTTTTTTTGCCATAGTCATCTCCATATTTCTCGGAAACCGCCGACCATGTAGAGGTCATGGAAATGCTGCCTAGATATTCGAATCTAGAAACAATAGGCAATGGCCCTTCCGCCATGTCCATGGCCCTGATATTACACCCCAAGACCAAGAAGCCGGCTGTGATTGTACAACTGGAGAGGCGTTTAAAGATCGTCTACCGGCTTGCCAAGCTGAATCGAGTCCTGACAGCGATTTCACGAGAAGCAATACCGTTGCCGGCTGCCTCAAAGCCTCACGAAGACGAGGGCCTAGCTCTGCAGGTGCTCTCGGCTCGGGCATCTACGCCATATACGCAGCCCTCCAGTATGTTGTCGTGCACAGCGGTGAGCTGCGATTTGGAGCACGACTCACCGAAGAAGCTTGCTCATCCGGGTCAGCAGACCCACCAGCTGCAGCAGAATCGGGCTCCCAGTGCTGCTGTCCACAAGCTTCCGGCTCTGCGTGCTCCCAAAGTTGCTCGCCCTCCAACGGCCCCTCTAGCTAGCTGCAATCCCATTAAGCACTATGCACGTTCTCATTTGCTGGACATACGCAACGGGATGTTCAATGCCTTGATGCACCGCTCCAAGGAAAACTTCGTAATGCCCCGCATCGCCACTTGCGATGATATAGAATTGGAGGCCCGCTTGCGACGTATGAATCTGTGGCGTACTTCGGACGGCACTCGCTTCAGGCCTCGACCCAGCACCAACGGCTTGGCTATGAACAACAATAACAACGAATGCATGCCAGCGTTTTACAAGAACAAAGCGAAGCCACAGATGATTAGTGACGAGTCTATCATCCAGAGTCAGCCACCTCAGCCCCAAACGGAATTCCAGGTGAGTTAAATTAATACATTAAATTATATGTCCATTTTGTTACTTTAATTCCCGTATATTATGAAATGTAGTTGATACGGAAGTATCCAATTTTACTAAAGGCAAATTAAAACAATATTTTAAATAATTGAGAAGCGACGTAAATCTAAACAAGCGTTCACAAATGCATTTCAAACCAGCCTCTGTATATTTTAAATCAATTAAAAGATTAAAAATAACATGGCCAATTGTATACTCAATATTATATGAAATTATAATCTGAATGAAAGCGGAAGTAGGATATTTTGAAAATATTCAAAAATAAAAAAAAAAAATAAATTTTTTTTCATTGAATATTGAAAAAAATTGAATATTGACAAATCTTCTTAAGCACACGTAGTACATAAGTTAAGGAATCGATTTATGGTAAAAAGCATGGGTCAATCCCCTTAATAAATATAAAGTATAGGAGTGAGCCTGCCACTGACTGGCTGATTTGAATGACTGCAACTGTGTATTAGGTAACCCCTAAAGACGCATCATCATGTCAGGCTTATCTGATAAATCAATGATTGCACTGACTGACCTACAAGGGTCGTTAGTAATCATGCTGATCACTCGCTAGACGCCACTATGCAGTGAAAACGCATGGGTTGTATACCTGTTTCCAGAGTGTTAGGCAAAAGCCAAGCTTAAAGTCAAAAGAATAAAATCTATTTATTTAATTCCACTCAAAAACACGACGATGCTTACAAAAATAATTTGAAGAGAGGTATTGGAAGATATAAAAACTTAACCTAATGCAAGAAACCAATCACTTTTTGTTAAGGTAATGACACTTGCCATCTACCTCCCGCAACCGTTGGGCTGCCTGCTCCGGAGTCAGATCCCTCTGTGCCATGGCCAGTAGCTCGAAGCCAACCATGAACTTGCGCACGGTGGCCGAGCGCAGGAGCGGAGGGTAGTAGATGGCATGCAGGGTCCAGTGGGCGCTCGAGGCATGGGCGTGTTCGGGTCCCGTCGGTGCACCGTGCCAGCCCATTGAATAGGGAAAGGAGCATTGGAATAGATTGTCATATTTGGTGGTCAGCTCCTTGATGGTCACCGCCAGATTATGGCGTTGTTCCAGCGTTAAATCGTTGATTCGCTTATTATTGTTGCGGGAGATGAGCATGGTTTCAAAGGGCCAGGTGGCCCAGAAGGGTACCACCACCAGCCAGTCGGGATTCTCAATTACGATCCGTTCCTGCCGCTGCAGCTCCCGCTCAACATAGTCCGCCAGCATTGGTCGGTCATTGGTGGCGTAGTAGGCACGAAGGCGATCCTGCTTCAGCTGAGGTTCCGTCGGCAGAAACGAGCAGGACCAGATCTGACAGTGCGGATGAGGATTGGAACATCCCATGGCAGCGCCCTTGTTCTCGAATATCTGCACCCAGGCGTATTTGGCACTAAGCTCGTTGAACTGGTTGATCCACCTAGATAAAAACCGATTTTATTGCATTTGCTATCTCCGCCTGCGCCCAACCATATGTATATCTTCGTCCACTTACTCGCCGATAACAATGTTAATTTCTGCTGCACTCATCGTGGGCAATGTGAGATTGGATTTGGGATGAAAGCACATCACACGACAATTGCCCCGGGCCCCGGCTGTCTGGAACAGAGGATCATCGCTGTTTGGGGGCACCGGCACACTTTCAACCAGAGCCGGAAAGTCGTTTTCAAACACATAGGTGCTCTCGTAGGCAGGAGTTTCCTGGTAAAGAATACGTTATAGAGCATTATGACAAGATCCAATACCTGTAGCTTACTATTCCGTTGGGTCTGGTTACGCCTGGGCACAGGGGATTGCTAGGATCGAATTCGGGGAGCTCGTTCTTTTGCGCCTTCTCCTGCTGACCCGACCACGGTCGTTGGGTACGATGTGGGCAGACAAGGACCCATTGTCCGGTCAGGGGATTCAGGCGACGGTGCGGATGTTCTAAGGAATGATAACCAAATTATTTGGTTCCAGTGATTCTAGTGGGAAAATAGCTTCTTCAATAAACACATACCGCTGGCCACAAACTGCATCGTGTCGAAAGTCTGGCGGTCGTATCGCTGCGATCGGATTATGACTACTGTTTACGGGCTATGGTCGCTGCTCAGCATTTGGGGCGGTGCGGTTTCACGGGACAGCGCAATGTCAACCTGCCGCGTTGCGATTACGGCTACGATTGCTTGTTCCACAGCTCATTGCTGTTACTGCTGCCGCCGCTTGTTGTATAGCGTTCCAAAATGTTTTTTTTTTTTGCTTGCCAAGCGTACTTTTCTCCCCTTGCCTTCATTGCGGTGGCGCTCTCGGCCCCACTCTGCTTTCTCTGCCGTCTCTCCCGCGCGCTCTCTGGGACTGTGTAGTTTAGCACGCACTTAGCTCTTAGTAGAGTGCCTTTTATAGCCTTTATCTCTCCCACTCAGCTCAGCTGGCTGATATGGCCGTGTATCTTTGTGTGTATGGAAGTGTGGATGTGGGTAAACAGTCCCAAGCCCTTAGTGGTGTGCGGAAGCCGATAAAAGCTCATCGAGATTTTATTTCGCCGAAATAAAAACCAATAACCCAAGTAGTATGAGCATTTTCGAACTGCTATATGACTTTTGTTTTATGAGCGTTCACTGTCCTTATGACGGAAAGAGCCCACTTGGTGAGCACAATTTCTGAGTGAATTCGGACTCTTCTGAATATAAAAAGACTCAATGAAGGAAATTGTTGTTGTGCATTTTAAAATTTAAATCGATTAGTTTAGATCATTTTTTGTTTTGACAAAGAAAAGTGACTGTAAAAGACCATGGCTATTTAATTATTTGATTTTTTTGTAACCACAGGATCCAGCGATTGTTAACCAAAGACGTATCGGAAGCGGACGCTTCAACCATTCCAAATGGGGATCCAACGCAGGCGATTACCACCATTCTGTGACTTCTTACCACAACGGCAAACCGCCCATGGATGAGCTGAAGAATGTCAAGCACCAGAGCGGCAACAGCAACATGACGGTCCTGCAATTCTTCGATAATGGAGACATAAGCAGCAGCCAGATGGGGAGACCAAACACTCCCGTAATGGGCATGTCAAACAACAATCGCGGGGAGAACGAGACGCTAAAGTCTAACGAGTCCAGCGAAGACTTGAGCAGGGCCAACGAAAACTATGTAAAGCGCGTTATGTCCGGCTTTCTGGTTGTGTCAAAGCCAAAGTCCCGCGATATGGAGGAGAAACATCATCGGCGGTACAGGAACCAGAGCGAAGAGCCCGAGTGGTTTAGCTGTGGTCCAACCTCTCGGCTGGATACCATCGAGCTGTGCGGCTTTGACGAGGACGAAGAGAGAATGCTCAAGGAGGGAAGCGGTAGGGATGCAGAGCGAGAGATGACCCAAAAGCATAAGGTGGATAGCAACAAGTACAAGTGGACGCCATCGGAGCCCATGGGGCGTCATAAATTCATGGCCAAGCACGACAGCAACAATAACCAGAATGTGGAAAATATGAACAAAGTTCCAGCTATTGGCGATCATCATCAACATCATCAGAAGGAGGAGAAACGTTCACTCGGCGGCGGCATCCGCTCATTTCAGTTTGATAAATTCAATCAAAGTCAGCAGACCTTTGAAAATGGCACCGGCAACTATGTAAATCAGCAACAGCAGCACACCAATCCTAATAATTCCAAATTCATGTCGTTCTTTTCTCGAGAGAAAAACTCCTCCTCATCGTCACTTAACGAATTCTTTAAGCAGGCGATGAACAACCAAGGTCATGCCAACAACAACAACAATAATCTAGATCAGCAGCCCAAGTCGTTGGGACACATGGGCCATGAGATGCCATCGGTGGAGCAACTGGAGGCCAAATGGCGTCGCAACTCGCTTACCTCTGGCGCAGAGTCTGCCCACAAGCATAATAATGATAACTTCCAAAAGTTAATTGGCTCTCTAAGCGCCACTAAGCCGCAGCAAGCCGTTGTTCAGTCGCAGCCAGTGGTTGGCAATGATGCCATATCCAACTTTATCATCCAGCAGCAGCAGTACCAGCAGCAGCAGCAGAAGCAGCATGTCCTGATCCAGCAACAGCAGCAGCAGACTGCATTCCTGGCGGGCCTGCAGCTAAAGGCGATCCTCGGCAGGGCCGACACCCAACTGCTGCTTTTGCGTCTGACCAAAGGTAAGTTTTAACAATTTTTCGGTCTACATTTTTATAGACCAAAAATAAAAAGATAAATATTATAAATAATAAAAAACATTACCGATTCAACTTGCTTGCAGGTGAGATCTCGAAGCACGGACTACTCGTACAATTGGCCAATCCTCGCCTGCCGAGCATGGATCGCGAGGCTATCACCGCTGTGCTGCAGTTCACCAATACCCAACAACAACAGCAGCAGCACCAACAGCAGCTGGATATGCTCTCGAGCACCGTTATTGCTAGCCAGTTGCAGAATCTGCACAACCTGGCTATTGTACAGCAAACATTGGCTGCCAGGCAACAGCAACAACAGCAGCAGCCGCAGCCACCCCAGCAATTGTCGCAAGAGGACCTGCAGGCCCATGCCAATGTTATAATGCGAAATGCAGTGATGAAGCGCAAAATGGAGGAGCAGACTTCAAAGTTGATTAATGGCGGTGGTGGTGCCAAGCAGCATCAGCAAATATCTCGTGGTGGCCAACAGCAGCAGCAACGCCATGCTGCTCGACAGGATGCCGTTGCCTCCAATGCCCTCTTGCATGCCCTGATTTCTGGTACTGCCAACAATCAGGCTGCTGGACATCTCACGGCACCGGGGCAGCAGCAGGTCCATCGACGTGGCGCTGCTGCTGACACAAACTTGCGATTTGCAGAAAACCAGCATTTCCAAACAGCTGCTGATCCCAGTTTGTCTCACTTCCAATCGCAGTATAAGCAGTATCAGCAACAGCAACCGAATATTCGTCACCAGAACAACAACAATGGAGCCGGAAACAATATCTTCAGCAAGTCCCAAATGCAGTCTCAACCGACGATGGCAATGCTGCCTAATGGCGGAGGTGAGTCTTTTACAAATTATCTTGACAGCTTTATATTTGTTTAGAAAATGTATGGGGAAAATGGGTGTATTATCGATTGCAGAGGATATCCCACATTAGGTTTCCTTATCATTAGTCATCACACCATTCATTGCTCCTTTTTTCTTAGTATTATCAGTCGTCGGCCTGAGTCAGGTAGATCGTCTTCGCATTTTTCGAAAGCACTGCAAATATGTATGCACTTTATGGGCACTTTCACGTATTATATTTGTAAACTGGTTTTGTGATTGCTGCAAACATTGCAGTTATTGTTTACTCACCTCGAAGCGCCAAGATGTTGATTCAAGAGTATCAGTTAAATGCGTCTGGTCAAGGATTTTCCTGGGACTGCTTAAAATGATACTGGATTTATGGATATTTTTACAAAAAAAGCATTACCCATCCTGCAAATTATATTTATTATTCTTCAGGTTCTTCTTCACCGATAGAAGTAAGCAGGTTCTTTTTGTTATCTTAATCGGAAATCAGTGGCCGAATATTAATAATTATAAAATGCAATTTTTCGCTGTCCATAAAATTAAAAGTCAACATGGATGATCCGTCCGATAAACAAACTTTAGACTTTTCTACCGTGGAGAACTTCTCAGTTCCCCCTCAGTGAGTCACAGATTGTATTTGCTGCTGAGTAAGTTATGTGCGCAAGCGTTTTACCCATTGATCTCCTCCCCTTATTATCGTAAAATGTTACGTATGTGGGACATTCCCAGATCTAAAAGGTATTTGCATCGCTTGCTTGATCGTTCAAAGCACCTACGAGGCTAGGCATAATATACAAAAGTAAAATGTATTTCCAACAAACATTGCTGAGCTTTATCAACGGAACGGAGACGGATTCCGGTTGGGGGAAGTCAAGTCAAGATTATGAAAATCATGTCAAGAGCATAGCTTACAAATACAGCGATTTAGAAGCAAAAGCTTGTTTGCAACATTAGAATAAAAGGAATTACCCATGGCATAATGCCTGATTCTTATTTCTGATCATCTTTAGCCAAAACCCACTCTTAAAAGACCCAAACTTTTGTGGTTTCGTTTCGTATTTTTATTGCATAATTAAAAGTAATGGCCAAATGGCCTCCTAGTAGGTCTGGGAGGCGGGATTATGGACTTTGCCGGCAAACAGTATGTTTCCAGTGGACTCCTCCTCGATGAAGAACACAAACGGTCGGTTAACGTTGAACTCCTCGATGGTGGTGCTGCCGCCGAACTTGTTCTCAATTTCCACAACGGTGGCGGCATATGCCTCCGTTCCCTTTTCGTTTACATTGATGCCAGCCTTCTGTAGGATGTTTGAAACCTTAACCTTGCCAGCAACGTCTGCGCCTCGGGTTAGACCTGGAAGGGACGCAGTGTCCTCAAAGATCTCGCGCACTCCCAGGCCGCGGAGCGTGTCCTTGAGGTTCTGCTGGTAGTCAAAGTGAAACTTGGGCAGTGTCACCTTCACCTTGACCTCCTCCATGGCCCACTGGGCACCCTTCAATTCGTCATTCTCCAGGTTGCGAACCAGATCGTGGATGCCATCAATGGCATACGGCAGCAAAACAAACATGGAGTTCTTTCCCTTGTAGGGCAACCGTAGAATCTGCGCCTTTAGCTTCTCCGAGTTGGTGTAGTAGAAGTATTCCGTCTGCTCCATATACTCGGCTCGTGACTGCGACTGGGCGTCCTTGCCGCGGAAGAAGGCTCCCTGGAAGGTGCTGGAGAACTGCCGCCTCCACAGCCCGTTGAAGTAGATGAGGTTCGTAAGCAGCATCACGCTGCTGCGCACATTGTCCGGCGTCACCAGCTGTTGGAGTCGGCCCTGCGTAATGTTGTTGGCCCAGGCATTAATGGCATCCGCCGACGCATCCGCGTTGGCAAAGTCCAGCGCCTCAACCTCGCTGTCGTAGAAGTGCTTCAGCGTAGCGGTGAACTTCTGCTGTGTCTCGATGAAGCTGTCCGTGAAGAGCTTGGTCCGCACGCTGAGCGTGTCATGGAGCTGGTTTTCCTTCTTGAACGAGTTGAGGGTCTTCCTGTAGAACTCCCGCACATTATTCTGCGACCGGATGTCTGTCTGCGTGTTGGCCAGCTCCTGCTGCGTTTGCGTCCCGGCTCCGGCGGCCTCTGCTAGCAGGGCCAGCACCAGTTTCACCGAAAACGGTGAAATTATCACATTCTTGGCCGCTGTCTCGTTTTGCAGCACCGTCTTGAGCAAATGCCACGAGAAGGGATCGTGCGAGTCGCTTCTGAACGGCACAAAGGTGTCCACATCATCGTAGACTCCTCCTGCTGCGCCGGATAGCGCTGTTCCCGTTCCAGTGGCACCACTGGGCACCTTGTCTGTGCGCGTTTCAAACACGCCTTGGGGCGTCGTTATCGTCATGGTCGTTGGTATGGAGTTGCCATCGGTGGCACCCAAAATGAGCGCCAGCAGTAGCAGCAGTACCTCCGGATTCCTGCTTATCATTGTCAATGCCATTGTGCCTGCTTTAGGTGTAGCTCGCTCGATCTTCTTCGATCTTTGATTGCCTTTGCTTTGCGTTTCTTTTTCGCTTCTCTAGGAGAGGCAGCGGGAAAAACAACTGTTAAATAGATGCGGGAGCGACGTGCGGGGGACGCGAGAGAGCGTCAAGCTGGCGACTAACCGTTCGACGCGCCGTTCCAACTGAGAGTGACTCGGGAGGCTGAGCGAACAGGCCATTTTAAAAACCAGCTTTAAAGCTGCTCTTTCCGCTGCTGCTGCGCCGCTGCCGAGGCTGCGCGAGTATGGGCTTTTATGCCAAGTACCCACCAGGTACTGGGGTGTTATAGCATTGCGCCAACCAAAAAAAAGGATAAACCATTTTGAAATTAATGAAACATTTTTATTTAGAATTATATGAAAATGTTGAATGTTTATCTGTCTCTTTGACCTCGGATCAGATATTAGAGACTAAAACAGCTAAGGCTACCACAAATCTTTGGGTACGGGGTATCTCGTGTTCGAGCACACTCCACTGTGTCTGTTTTGCTTGTCAGTGTTGGGACTCCCAAACGAACGTCATGATCTTCTCCCCAAGAAAAATGTGTAAAAATCATTTGGCAAATGGAGTGTCTTGTTAAGGGTTTATAGCTTTAAATAAAAACGAACACAAATATCAAGTTTAAAATTATAAATATAATTATAAATCTATTATTATACATATGTATTACATTTAAAGTTCTTATTTAATGTTTTATATTTGCAAACGCATCTCTCCTTAAATTTTAAAAATCTTAAAAAATATATATATCACAATACTCAATACGTATCACAATTTAAAGTAATTATTCAATGTTTTATATTTGCATATGCATATTTTCATATTTTTCCCCATATCCGCTAATATGATATTTTTGCCTGGCCCCCAAAGTGGGGATTTTGCATATGATATTCCAGAGTGACGTCACAGTTTCTTTCCCAATCCAGGCAACTGTTTTTTTCTTTTGTATATTAAGTTACTAGCTGTCCGTAGAGGTTGACGATTTTTTTGTCTTTCCCGTATCAAACTGGAAGCTACAGATTCGATTTCAAGATAAACCCAGACAAAATGTTACTAAATTTTTAATTTTAAATTTCCTGGTGTACAGTGCTGCGGTCTGGCAACGTTTTTGGTCTAAAGATTACATTGTCAGCAAGCAATGGTCTCACTGGACTCCGTTGATGTAACAGCTGCGCCGGCAAAGGAAACTAAACTCATGCATTTCTTTAGTTTCAATTAATTTGCCCCAAGTTTAACAACAAATAGTTATAGTAGGAAGTAAATAATCGAAGCCAAAGCTCGTGCCATGCAAATTCGTCGTCCGAAAGGTGTAACAGTTCCGCAGTTGATGGTGGTCACCGCTATTGGTGTGCTGGGAGGGATTTACATTTGGCAGCCACTGATATTGAAGTACAAAAACGAGAAGAAAACGGAAAGCGCCGGCGAATCGACAACTGATCCTAAAAAGTTCGAACAAGTTCAATCATTACATACACACTCGCACTCATGCACTCCTTTCCTTCTCTATTCCAGATGAGTTTCATTAACGGCCTAAAGAAGTTCGCCACAACGACTGTCGGTCTCATGGCTATCGGCGTCGGATCCACCGCTCTCATCTACACCACCCATCGCCTACTTATTAAGCCCCATTTAAACGAGAAACGCCGACTGGAGGCGGAAGCATGTGCGGAGTATCTGTTCCAGCAGGAGAAGCACGCGTCGCCAGTCGCAAGATCAAGTCCAAATCGGAGCGATTACTAATGCCCAGTGATTTTATAAAAAGCCTCTTTTTTACTTATCGAGTCTAGTGTAGGGATTAGCTACAAATTTCAATGCTGTAACCACCACGGTGGAGAATGGAATTCTACTTTCATATATTACATATTTTCAGTTTGGGAAGAGGGGACTCTATGTCCATCCTCCAGAACCTAGCTTTCGTTTTCTTATGTTCAATTTATAGAGTAGTAAACAACGTCCATGTTATATATCCAATTTGAATTTTTATGGAAGCAATATACTTGAATTTGAATAATTAGTGAAACATACACACATACAATTGGTTGAAAATAAACATACATACATACGAAGAATAACCTAAGCATAAAAAAACGCATTAAAAAATAGATTGCAGGAGAAACCAGCCAGCTGGATCACCGCATTCCTTTGAAGAGGCTCAGGGAGCTGCTCTTTTCCTTGGCTCCCTGTTGCTCCTTCCCCCGAAGAATGGCTCTTCGCCTGTGTGGGGGTATGAAGCTCCACACCGAGAAGGTGTCGTCCAGGCCGACCGTGGCGATGTTTGTCCCATCCGGATTCCACATAAGAAATATTGTGCCGCGTTCAGAGTTGCACATGAGGTCCACCAATCGATTTAGTGAGGCCAATACCAAGATCTCACACGTCACACAGTTCATGTCATCGGGTGATACTGAAAAAAATGAAGAAGCTAAGTTTTAGACCTAGTCGTTGGCTTCCCCAAAATGCTTACCGGGCCGAAGGACGTTGACCAGCAACTCGCCCGTAATCTTGCTAAAGGTAACCGTCTTTATGGTGATTTTGTGATCTCTTCGTTTATACGAGGCAACAAACTGGCGACGTGGGATGTTCAGGATGAATATGGAGGCAGGACGACGTTCCGCTGAAGAGAGAATACCAAAAATTATGGATGTTGAAGCCAACCTTGTGTAGATTTATTATAAGTTAAGAAAAAAACCCCGTTTCCAACTCACCCACCACCATATCCTCGCCCGTCCAGGGATGCCAATCGAAAACAACAGATCTGCCACGCAGCTTCAGTATGTGCTTCTTCAGACCCCCATCGAATATGTAAATGGTGCCGCTGTTGTCACTGGATGCAAAATACTTTTGGTTTGGGCTAAACTTAATGCTGGTGACCTTCTCGCGGTGCTCGCGAATCAGCTTGGATTTCAGCTTTGGCATGGCAAGCACCATGATTGTCCCAGTCATGGTGCCACAAACAATCTGTTCGCCGTCGGGTGACCATTCGATGCAGGTGATGCAGCCAATGGACTTGAGGAAAAACTTGCGGTACGTCACCTCGAACTCCATGTTTGATTTGACTTCCCAGAGATCCAGGACTGCGGTTAAAGCAAAGGATTAACTGAATAAACGATTTGATGGAGACTTGTGGCCTACCTGGATAGTTGCCATCGAAGCAGCCAATGGACAGATACTTGCCATTTGGCGAATACCTCAGGGCAGTCGGTGAGTCCACACTGAATATCATGGTGGTCTCGTCAAGGTTGTGCCATAGCATGATGTCCTGGCCGGATGAGATGGCCACCATGTCTTTGGGCGACCAATCCATCATATTATAGTCAACGGGACTGACAATGCCTGGCATTTCGTGGGTGGCAACCTGAATGGCAATCGGCCTTGGTCTCGGATTGCATGGCCAGTCAAAGTCTGCTGACCCACTGGTCACTGCTTCCGGCGAAGAGCCCTGCAAACTGCTGAACTGCAGCAGGCGACGTTCCTGGATGCCGAAAGTGCTGTTGATGGCTGAGATAAAGCCGCTCTGCCGCCAATAGCTGGCAGTCCACAGGGCGCCCTATTGGTAAATGTATTCAAATTAATTATAGCCAGAAATCTACTGCAAAAGCCTGCCCACCGTTTCCAGAATATCACGTTCTTCGCGCTGGCCAATAAACTTCAGATTGAGATCGACGGCATCCTGCTGGAATCGCTTCGGTATAAACCTGTCGCCGCTGCTGTGGCAAAGCACCTGACTCTTGGTCTTTGCATTCTGAAATATGGGGTACTCTATATTTCGTATTCTTGGGGATCTTGGGGATTGATTATACTTTGTAGGAGGCCGTTTCCTGCTGCCAGTTTTTGCGGCGCACTTTCGTGAAAGGCGTCAGGGACTTTTTGTCCATTTTTGAACTCTTACTGGGAGTATCGCACACACTCATCTCGACGAACATTAAAAACCATACTGATGGGGGGATAGCGCCATCTTATGTCTAATGCTTAGCACTTGAGAGATAGGAGAGAGTTATTACAGTTAGCAGCACATTAAGCAGTCTCCCGGAATTATTCAACTGAACTATGCAATACCCTTTAATTATGGTTTGAAAAAAATAATATCTACATATGTAAAGATTAAAAAATATATCAAATATTATTACGTAGGCGTTATTTCTATAGTTTTAGTCCGAAATTTGCACAGTGAAGAACCCGATCCTTTAAGTGATTTCAAAAGTTAGCTTAATGAATTAAATACCATAAAATAACACAACATTATTGTATTACAAGTAATAAGGAATCTCCCGAGTCCCCTAAAAAAAAAAGTTGGTTTTCTCTGTACATCCCAACTGTCCCCCCCCCTAAAGTATATATATTCTTGGCAACCATCAACCTGGCCATGTCTGCCAGAATGCCAAAAGGTTTTTTAAATCAAATGCTTAAGTCTTTATTTAACTTCTTAATGTAGTTTAGGCATACCTTATGTATAAAACTATATATGGCTTACATTTTTCAAACTTAGCTAGGATGAGGCTGAGCTGGACCGCCTTAGTGGCGTTGTCCACAGGCTGCCGCAAGACGGACAAATATCGCGCTTCTGTAGGTAGGTGTGGATGCAGTCCCGGTGGAACTGGATCTGGCAGGAACCGCATCTGATGTCCCACAGCACCAAGCCCTTGCAAAGGGTGCAGCTCTTGATATGCTCCGAGTAGCTGGAGGTGAGGTAGAAGTTCAGCTCCACGAGGCTGCGCGGCCCCAGGTAGATGTACTCGTCCTTGTCCAGGAAGTAACCCATTTGGCTCCATTTCTGCAGCAGATGTTGCATTCGGCTCTTCTTTGGCGGCTTCGCCAGACCTTGCAGAAAGAGCTCATTGTAGGCAACGTTCCACGGTATGCGGCAGTCGTCGGCGGTTGCTATCTTGTCCAGCAGCTTGGAGAAATACTGGCACTCCTCGGCCGTCAGACCCGTGTTCGCAATACTGTCCGGCGTGGCATCTGTCTTGGCGTACACCAGGTACTCCTTACCCATGAGCGGGTACTTGATAAAGACCAGTGATTGGCCCAGATCCCGGATAGAGTCGTTTATATCATTCACAAATGCCTTTATCGCCTCATTGCTGGCGGGCTTCGACACTTTGTGGCTGGCACAGAGCGGGGTCAGGATCTCGTCGATCGTCTCGTAGCAGAGGTAGCTGTGATTCTTGCAGGCGCGGGTAAATCCACGTTTTACCACCTCCATCTTCGAAGTTTAAAGCAATTTTATAAAATTGTGTTTACAGAAAAGCCGCGCGCTCGCAAGGTGACCGTGCCTCATGTGCCAAAGAAAACTCCCGGAGGATGGTCACACTGTATCAGTAATGCGCACCAAATTTAAAATAAAACAAATTCACTTGTTAAGTTTTCAATTTTATATTTCCTGTTTTCAGACTTAAAATTAACAGCACAACAGTTAATATATTTGGAGAGCTTCGCTTTGATTTAAATACAGCGTACGTATGTAATAATAAATAGTATTAGTTAAAAAATTAACTGAATAAACTAATCGGGGATATTTACACCAATTGTGGTTAGATCGAACTAGAATTTTCTATGTAAACGAACGTAGCGATGCCCTTCTTCACCTTATAACTTTTTCCCGTAAAATCCTAAAAGTCTGATTCTCGTTGACACCGGACTCTGAACATGCTCCATTATCTCCATCTGAATATATGTATGTTTATTTTGCGGTTTCAGCAAATATATAGTTTGTAAGTTTGCATATTTTGGATGCCAAATAAATAAGAGAGAAGGTAATATTCAATAAGTATTTATATTAATATTTACTAACCCATTTGTTCATGTGAATATATTTAAATAAGTTACACATGTGTATGCACAGAGAGAAAGAGAAATAAAATAATAGGCTTTATATATCTTATTCGTATTCGTGTGTGTGTAAGCCTTCTCAGCTTTAATATCCTTATAACTGCGCCTTTAATCGTTTAAATTAACTGAAAACTTGATATTTAATTTACTTTTACATCTAATGTTACAAATCACAAGGGTAAACTGAAGGGTAATAATCTAATTTGTACATTTTTTGTATGAGACCAATTTTCAAATAAATAACAACAAAGGAAACTTTCAAATAATTTAACTTATATATACACATTTCGCTGCTCACTCGCTCTAACCTATAAGAAAATAAAAAAGAGATTAAAACAAATCAACAATTTCAGTTTTTCTTTAACCAAAAACGCGTGAAAATGCATGACTTATGTACAATAACTGAGGAAATAAGCTGCGATTAAGTAATTTGTACTTACATGGTTAGTCGCGTGTTAGAATCTAAGAAATTAGAGTACGAGAAACAAATACAGAAATTAAAACGAACATTCTCAACTGCTCTGTGCGCTATAAGAAGCCTTTGTTAATTGGTTATTTAGACTCTGGGGCTCTGCATCTGTGCTTCGCATACAATAGTATATTCGGTTTATCAAGGAAAATTAGACAGGAACCAAAAACAAACACAAATAATATGAACAACTTGTTGTTGGATCTCTCGATGTTCCGGGTAAATGTTTACATGAAATTATTAGTAACCAGGCTGAGTTCATTCGCAAAGTGATTACTGGCTTCGTTCAATTGGATAGACTTTCGATTGCCAATAGAAACATGTTTGTAATTTGTTCAAGGTGAATTGTTGAATTGGAATTGTTCAAGATGAGTTGTTGAATTGGAATTGTTGAGTTTGTTGTAGTATTGTTATTGTTACAGAGCAACCAAAGTGAAATTGAAAAAGGAGTCCAGATGAGTTAGTTAGATGATGGTTGGTTTGTCGAAGGAAAGATAAAAAGAAAGAAAGATGCCGCAGAAATGAATAGAATAAATTAATATTTCATTGCTAAGAGAGTACAGTTATTACGATTTGGTTATACAAGTATAAATATATTTGGTAAGCATGCATTGATCAGTAATCAGTAGTTAACAGTCAAAATAATATTACAGACTAGATACCCCCTAATAACTTAATCAAATAATCAACAATAACCAACAATAAGATTCCTTCCTGCTTAAACCACAGAATCAACATTAAAATTATACAAATAAACAAAAATCACGCGTCTTGTATATGCAGTTTTTAAGTAGTTGGCCAAATTCAATAACAAACTATCTATGGTGTAGATTCATTATGCTTTTTTTTTGGATTTAGTTGCGCCTAGGGTTAGTCTTTGGTGGTGCTTGGGGGTGCTCTTCATTCTTTCGGTTGTTATTCAATATTTCGGTAGCTAGCAAGTAGATGGTGAGCATCGCCGGTGGTGTACTTGATACTTACGCGACTGAGTGAGTTGCGTCGCCCGACGCTGGCCCCTGGCGCAGGACCACCGTCCTGCTGACTGAGCCCATTGTTCCCAGTGTCGTTGTCTATGCAGATATCCGAGTCGGAGTCAACGCGCCTGAACTCGCTACCATCCTGCACATGGGATATGTGATTAATTTGTTTCAGAAGAGGCTTTAAATCAAGTCCCAACACATACCTGCGTCAGCTGCTGCGTTGTGGTGAGCAGCCTGGCAATGGGATTGCAGCAAACGGGCAGAGTCTCGAGGAGAGTGGGACGCGAGTGCGTAAGCAAGGGCTTCATGTACCTAAGAAATGGGAAATGTAGTTTAGACAAATGTATATTTTTTGTTGCTTGCCACTCACTTAGTATCGAAGCTTCCCCAGATCCTGGCCAGAATGGCCTTTTCATGACTGTTGCGGCGTCTTCCGCTGGCACCGCCCAAGCTGCCATTTGGCCCATCCACTGGTGTGTCCAGATTAGATTCCGTACCCCCGGACATGCGCAACTTCCCGCGGCCGCCGTTCTCCACGTCCTGTAAATAACCATCAGACTAACACAGATTTCAATTAAATGAGTTTAGCTCTACATTAAACATGAGGTGTAATGAGCGTAAAAATCAATAATGAATTTAAATAAATTAAATAAGCTAATAGCAAAATAATTATGGCAAGTCTAGAAGAAAATCGTAAAATTATATAGTACACAACGGAATGGATTATGAGATCATATCCCAACCTACCGTCTGCGGGTGTGAATTGTCCATTGAATTGTAAACCTTTTTTATTTAACAGATGGTTTAAAATGTCGTGAGGTGCGCAGAAATGTATAAATATTTAAAAATCATGAGTTAAGTACTACTCTCTTGAAAGAATAAAAGAGAGAATTTTAAATGGAAATTGAGACACTTTAAAAATTGTTTGTTTCTCTTCAAGAAACCGTACATTCTGATGCTACTTTATGCATTTTGGCTCTCTTAATGCAAGAATATAAGGTGCTCTCTTTTAAGGACACTCTTCTCAGCGCTTGTCTTCCTGAGACCCAGATATCTTCACATATTTATCTTCCTCAACAACTCTGAAGAGACCACCTTATATGTCTAGCCAAAAAATAACAAAAGTGGTCACATTCCTGCAAAATAAAATTTCTTATACACCATATCCTTATACTTACACTGTGCACTTGATAATTATTTAATTGTTCAGTCTCATCGTCGACGCCAACTCTGTAATTGAAAGATTTTTTAGTAGTTATTCGGTGACATGTGGACTGTCATGTAGCTTGTACTCACGGTATTTTTAACCAATTGAGCAGAAAATTGGCTGCACCGCCCTGTATAACCACCGTGAATATGACAATCAGCGATGTGGCAGTTAGCATTGTCTGTCGCGCATCCGACACTGTATTCCGGATGGCCAAGGCAAAGGACATGGCACCGCGAAGGCCTGAAAATAATTCAACATATTCAGAGGATGCTCTGTGAGGCAATATGATGAAACTTGCCAGCAAAGAACAGCATATGCTGGAAATTTGGTGAGATTTTTGGCTTTCGCTTGATGTTGAGCAGCCAGGATAAGGGATACACGTTCACGGCACGTCCCAAAGCGGCACAGATCTAAGCAAAACAGTAGTATTCATAATCATATTCTCTATTATTTATAAGACTTACGAAAGCGGTTATGATGAAACCAGCATCAAAGTGGTGCTTGGGGAAGGTAAACATCGACACACCGATATAGGAAAATATGAAGTTCTCTGCAAGAAAATTGAGCAGCTCAAAGATCTGCTTGGTGCGTTGCCTCGAGTCTTCCGATAGATTGTTGTAGGTGTAGTGAGCCTGGCAGATGCCACAGAAGAGCACGGCCACCACTCCAGTGAGTTCCGTGGCCTCGGCCAGCAGGAAGGTGCTATAGCTCATCAGAACGAAGAGCGCCGACTCCAGCAACGGAAAGTCGCGCACTCGCGTAAACTTAGTCATGTATGGGAGAGTGAAGGAAGCAAACGGGCTGTGGGAAAAGGGGGGTTAAGTCATGGGCTAAGCCTATAAATTGTTTCAAAAGGATATCAGTGCTGTCAAACAGCCCATGGCGGCGCCTATCATCAGTGACAATAGAAAGATGGAGAAGAAGTCGCTTAATGAACGCAGGAACGCTGTGGTTTCGAATTCTCCCGTGTTGGAATAATGCTCGCCATAGTTCTGAATGGCTCTGTGGGGCGAGAGAGGAGTAAATACCCAAAATGTATATTTGTTTTTGTTCTTGTAAAGTGACTAGCATAACACTCACCCACTGAGGACAATGGCAACCGCATCGTTGAGCACAGATTCGCCCAAGACTAGCGCATACAGATTAACATCGACCCGAAGGTCGTTGAATATGGCCAGAATGGTGAGCGGATCTGTGGGCGATATCAGGGCTCCAAAGTATAAAGTGTCCAGGAATGTAAAGCTGCTGCTCAAGTACTTTGGCATCAGCTTCACACAGCCGTACATGAAGCCACCGATTAGAAAGGCCGACAACGTGGTGCCCACAATGGCAAAGGTGAGGATGGCCCCCAAATTCCGGAAGAAATATTTCTGCCAAATCAATGTCCAGTTAATAATATTAAAAAAAGTCAAATAATGGCCATTGAACTAACCTTTTTTAAACTGTATCCTGCGTAGAAAATGATGGGTGGCAGAATGATGTTGAAGAATACTTCCGGATCGAAGGTGGCTTTCAAATCGATTTCATTCTCATCCACGTCGTGCACCTGGCCACGAAAGACATAGGCGTACGTCTTAATGCCCTCCGGCAGCTTGGTTCCGTTCGTCTGATTAACTGGGTACTGCAAATGGAAAGCATTTACCTAAGGACCTTCTTGATTTTGAGCGGCTTGGCTAACCTTAAACCAAAGCGTATCGGGCGGCAGCTTATCACTGTATGTCGGCGTACCCTGCGGCTCCACCTGCATGTGGACGAGGGTGTTGGCGGTGCCGGCATAGCGTATAATTGCACCCACAATCAGACCTGAAAAATACAGATATAACCTTAATTTGTTAAGACTTATTTTATTTATTATTTAAATTAAAAAATTAACAAACAAAAAAGTAACTTAACAAAGTCATTTTTTGTGTCTGAAAAGAATAGGAAAAAAAACTTAGGCTTTGTTTAAGGGAGTTGACCCATATGACGGTTAAAAAAAAAAATCGCATTCATCCAAAACATAATTGCATTTAAATTTTAAAAATCGACCTTGCCAGTTCGCCAGAATTGTGTTGACCACGACAGTACCTTTTTTTTCAGTGTAGTACTTCAGCTCACAGTATCTCGGAAATTTGACAATATTTCGACTTACAAAAAATTTAGAAAAATACTTTATACTTTACTTAATAACTGTTAAAAAGTGCAAATTGCTGTGAGTCGTAAGCGCTCTGTAGGAAAATTATGCAAAAAAAGTCCAAGAAACGGCCATCACATGGGACAAACCCCTTAAGCTAGTATCACGTGAGGGAAATTGGTAAAGACTAATGTTTGTTTAAAAATATAGTTAAGAAAAGACAAATAAGATCTTCATAGAAATTTAAAAAATCTCCTTTATATATATATATTTTTTTAATAAAATTTAAATTCACGGTTAGTCTATAAGTTTGCCTGACCTATCACAAAATGTAAAAGTGACTATATTAGTCACTATATATGCGTCAACCCCTGATAAGAGTCTGTTTAGCTGAACCTTATCGCTCGACAAGTGCTTAAGAATGCTTTATCATTCCGGCTTTTCGCACACGGAATCATCATCAATGTTTTATTTTCCGCATACATTTGTGGGAGCACGAAACCCGTAAAAAGCACAACTTGGGGGAATGATCAAAACGCGCTGGCACAACAAAACGATTTCGCTGAATAATATTTTCTAATTTACGCCCTGCTCTGCCTGCCTGCACTTTTGTAAATAATGCCCTGCCCCGTCGCCTAAACCTGTTTTATTGAATTTTTTCATTAGCTTCAATTAGTTTTGAAGAAATCTGGTTGACTCTTCCAAAGCCACGACGTACGAACAATGTGCATATATGCATAGTGCGGACTGTATATGAGAAAGTTAGAATAACAAGGCACTCAGCACATTGGCACGATCATGAGCAGGCACTGAAACTGTATTGGTTTCGGAAAACCCCGACCACATCAAGGTCCCAATGTCGAGTAATGTGTTCGTTCTGGTGCCATTGCGTGCTGATTCCTCTATCTAGCCTTTGTTACTGCTGTGGCCGGGGGTGGCTAACTCTGAATGCCCTCCTAATGAAGGTACGGCAGGTGCCACGACTGGCGTTCACAAAGCGTAATTCCGAAAGTGAGACAACAAAGAGGTGCGGGTGACACATATTCGAGGGCCTTCAACTTGAAAGATGTCGCAAGGAGGAGAGAGAAATAGAAAACCCAAGTCCAAGGCTTACGTACCATAGATGACAGCCAGGCCGGTCTCGTGCAACCAGGAGACGCGATGATGCTTAAAGAGCCAAATGGTGAGGACAGTGAGGGCTAGCAGAAACACGAACACGAGCAGATCGAGGCTTTGGATGCGGTGATTTAGCGTGGCCTTGGCATCCAAAGCAATGTCCGTGTCCGTGGCCGAGCAGCCCGGGATGCACAGCGCTAATCCGGCCAGGAAGAGAAGAAGACCAATCCGCCAGCGAGCGTGCGACGGCGATGTCATGTCTATTTCCGTAACCATATTGCAGTGGGACATTCTGGTTGCTGCTTCTGCATGCGGCGCCCGCATCCGAAATCGATTTTCGCGTTACGACGTTGTAAGCACAACGCGCGGTACGATGTAATTGATTTCGCGCACAACTCGAGAGTGGGGGAGGACTTGGAGCAGGACAGGGCGGTGCTGGCCACGCTCAGGCGGCGCCAGGGAAGTGTTTTCGGTCTCCTTTTTGGGCTGTTATAGTCGCAAGTCCCTTATATAAAATATAATTGTCCTTAAAAAGCTTAAACCATTTTTCCGCACTCCGTATAAAAAAAAACAGTCAGTTCATATGGAAACAATCGTACGCAGTGTGCCCAGTCGAGGCTATCACTAAATTACCAATGTTGTGCGCAGTTCAGGAGCGGAAGCAGTGATTTTGAGGGCAACTATAAGTTATTTGTCCTGGGAACTTTCAATAAACTAAATATTGTATATTATTGTGTTTTTTTTTATTATTTAGTGTGTCTTATTTCTTTGTTTTTTTTTGTAAAGCTAACGAGCTTTTTATCTGAAATATTTGTATATATGTATACTGGTACTTTTTAAATAATAATAAAAAATATATAAAAATAGGACCTCAAAACCTTGATTTAAATATTATTTATTTTTATATATATATTTATATATTTTTTTTAGGTTGCTTTTAAAGCTCGGTAGTTCGTTTTAAAATCTTAATAAATAAATAATAGAATAAGTCCATTAATAGTTAACAAATTCACAAGCTGGTTTCTCGTGACACTTTTGAATTCCTAAAGGAATTTTAATTCCTAACTCTCCTAAAATCTAGATAACTTGTAAAGGCAAATCTACTTTCCCAATGCCTGTAATTTACCTGAACGAAAAGGATCCTGTTTAGTAATTGTGCTTTAATTGTTGCGAAATCGCTTCTTAATCTTTTTATAAAAGCTTTAACTAAAAATTAAAATGACATTTTAAACTAAAAAATCATTCAAATTCAAAAGGGAATGTAAATTATTTTTGTCATAACTGAAGTTTTGAGAATTTTGAGTAGTAGATCTCGGATGTACATACAAAATGTGAGAACAGCTCTATAACTTTATTTGGCATCCGCATACCTAAATTTAAAATGCATTCACACCTACGGTGCACAGGGAGGACAGTGACTAAGAACCTCTGCTCCCAGCTTCGTAATTTATTTGTAGAATGCGACGGGAAACAACTGGATTCTGGGCACCGTTCCGGGTCCATGGCAGACGGTAAGGAGGATAGAGCCACCGAATAAAGCTGTCCATTAATTAATATTTCAAGCACAGTGGCTAAGAAAATTCAGGAACACTTAGGGGTGGAATCCGGCTATCACACAATCCCAAAGAGCCGGGACGACCTGCTAAAGTTTCACCCACAGCAGGAGGACCTGCCTGAGCGTTCCATGAAGGATTCACACACGACTGCCTTGGTTGATTTGAAATCAGATCCGCTGATGCGCCAACTTTTCGTCAATGGGTCTGGTTTTCTGCGCATGGGCAAGATAATGGAACAGCTCGATCTCATAGCCGGTAAAATCTATAATAACAATAGTCTTATCCTTAGTATTTCACCAAAATTACCATCCCGTTAAGACGAGGATAGCGGAGATATGTTTTTATATTATTTATATTTTTATCTTTTCTGCTTTACATTTTTTTTAGTAAACCACCTGTCCCAAAGGAACACAAAATGTAGTAATAAATTCCACTAATCATAGGTCTTTTGCAGTGTGGATCTGTCACCGTCATGTGTACCTACCGAAGCTACCAAAGGGCGTTCCTTTGCCCTACACTTTCGTCACTCTTTTCATAGACCACGCCAAATTCCTGGTGCAAAAATTCAAGCCGGACGTCGATTTGCAGTTTACCGGTAGCGTTTCTTGGACAGGCCAAAGCTCCATGGAAGTCACGACCTATGTGCGGCAGAACGAAGAGGCACTGGCTAGGGCCATCTTTATTGTAGGGGGTCGCAATGCCACCAACAGCGGCCCAGCCCCGATTAACCCTCTGAAACCGCAAAACGAACTGGAGGAGTGTTTCCATTCCGGGGCTCTGGAGCGGCAAGGTCGCCGAGAGAAACGAAAGCAGGGCAGCAGCTCCCTTTTGCAGCCGACAAGGGAGGAGGAAAAGGTCATGTACGATCTATTTTTGCGAACCAAGGGCTCCGATGGCGCAACAGCGGATGGCTGTTTGCCTCCGGACTGCCGTTGGATATCCGATTGGCACCGCAGTACCATCCTGCACCCGTTCCCCGAGAGCCGCAACGCGTCCAATACGATCTTCAGTGGTTTCATCATCCGCAATGCCACAGAGACGAGCTATATTGCCGCAAGTCTCTACGGAGGCTCCTATGCCGTCATCCAGTTCATATCGGACGTAACGTTCACCCAACAGATCCCCGTGCACAGCTTCATGAAGACAACTGCTTACATTGTCTACACCCATGGCAAGTACATCCAGCTGATGACTGCGGTTAAGTCGCTGGACGCCGTGAATTTTACGGAGGTCCATACCAATGCCCTCCACCTGACCTATAAGGTCGATCGCCCCGTACCGGAGATCATGCCCAGCAGCTTCCATGAGGCGCTTTGGTACTTGGAGGGTCGACGCCATTTCGAGACATTCCTCAAATCATTGGAAGGTGACAACAGCAAGGAAGGGCATTGTGTTTAATACAAGTTTTGAATTAACTAATCCTATTTAGTTATTTTTTTAAAATACGACTAAAAGACGAAACTACCTGAAAGTGTTCATAAATGTGGTTTAGAGCGATATACATAAGTTCGCTTGCTCCGACCTTAAAAAAACGTACAACTAACAAAGTAAAAACCTAGCTAAAGCATTTGAAACAGTTTCGTTTACCACAGTGGAAAATATAGAACCGTTTATTCGACCTATTAGACCAAAAAACCAAGAAGAACTGTACAATAATAGAAGACACACACTAGATACAATGCTGGGATTGGAATTCATTATAACGGAGAAAAGCATATTAGAGTCTGTAGCTATTTCTTTGGTTGGACAGCAGCCTCTCCTGCTGTTGCTGCCCCTCCGGCTCCTGAGGCCCCTCAGCTCTTCGAGCGGGCCTCGTTCCGCCTGCCCTCGATCCACTGCTCAATCTCCTGCTTGAGGGCTTCATTGGACTTGACCTTGTCCATGGTAAGCGGTTCCCGGTTGAAGGGGTCCGTCTGGTCGCTCAAAAGGTGGCGAGCAATGGTGGACCGATCCACCGTGACCTTGGAGCTGGGCAACACGACAGGATCTGTCATCAGTGTGGAGATAATGGGATCCAGGTACTCTTCAGGAGCGTCGGCCAGCAGTTCCTGCTCTTCTTTGTACTGGGCACCCATTCGCTTCACTTTTTCAGCAAACTCGGACATATCCCCGATCAGTTGGCCGCCTCCAATCCGGATGAGGATGTTCTCGGCATAGTCGAAGAGCTGGTCGCTATAGGAGCGTCCGTCCTGGGAGACAGCCAGACAGAAACTGTCATCCTTACTGAGGTTGATGTAGATGCGACAGATCTCGAGCACAGTCTCTGCAGGATCAAAATCGAACTCCTTTTTGTCCTTCACCTTGAAGCGTTCCTTCTTCGGACCCACCAGGTGCAGCAGAAAGTAATTGAGCATGGCGGCAATGCGATCTACCATGCTGTTATGACAGAAGATGCTTCTAATCTCCGTGGTCAGCAGCTTCAGAATGTTGATGGTGTCTCTTCCGAGGATGTTGTCGAAGCGCGCCATCATGCCCAGATGCTGCAGGTTCGTCACCTGCTGCAGCCGGTCGTTGTGCGACAGGCCGTTCCACTCACCATTGGCCTGGGCGAGCTGGAGCTGCTTAATCTGCTCCAGATTCGACAAGGATTCGTCCAGCAAGAAGATGGCATCATTGATCAGCAGATTAATAAATCTCAGGAAAATGGGTGGCTCAATGGCATCCACGTTCTCCTCCGCCTCGGTGGCCAGATCCCGGAAGCTCTGCACGTGCTCCGGCTTCGTCCAGAGGAACTCCATTATGGCATACATGGGCCTTCGGTAATTGAATTTCTGCTCAAACTGCACCGACTGCCCGGTCATCTCGATGCTGACAAAAACATTGAGCAGACTGCGGACCACCTTCTGCCTATCCGGGTGATTGTCGAAGACACGTGTGTTGAAGTTCTGCCGATTGCTTCCCGGGATCTGTGTGGGCACCAGAAACTCCAGCGCCTCCGCCAGCTTGGCGCGTAGATGGGGATTCTTAACCAGGTCTGAGCTGCCCATGAAGAGCAGGATCATCTTAAAGAAGGCGTCGTGTGCGGCAAAGTACATGTGGATGTAAAGATCGGTGTTGAGGCGCCGGCAGAAATTTAAATACGTTGCAATATTGTCAATAATGCTCTCCGGAACCGACTGCATGTACGGCGCCACAAAGGGCGGGGTGTCCGATAGGAGCTCCAAGTTGCGCAGTATCTGCGGTGAAAAGTCACGCTTATCTACGCACTGTTCGTAGATCTCACGTGGGAGCATGGCCACCTCTGTGAGCCAGATCGCAGAGGCCTCAAAGAACTTCAGCACGTCGCTGTCGTTGGTGGGTTCAGAAAGCGAATTCCTGATGGAGAGAACCTGCTGCATCTGCTCAAGCAAGGTGCGAGAGAGGTTCTTGGTCAGTTCGTTGTTGGGATCGCTGCCCACCAGTTCCTCGTAAGCCGTCTGTGTGTTCTGCAGTTCGCGCATTGCCCGACTGAGACGCTCGAGGCAAGGCCGATTCGCAAGCTCGAAGCATTTGTGGGTCATGAAGAATATTTCGGTCACGAAATTATACTTCTCGGCCGTTAGACGCTCTTCGCCTTCTGGGGTCGGAAGCAGGCAGGTCTCGTCACGAGCTTTCAGCAGACTAACGCCCTTGGCCAGCCGATCCTTGTCCTCCACGGCACAGTATGTGGGATCAACGAGAAGCACCTTTAGCGATGGCTGACACAATGGGGCGCATAGACGTGCAAGGACCGCACTTAGGTTCGTCATGAACGCATCGCTGGCAGTGCTGTGAACCGTTTGCTCCAGATTCATGTGGATGCTGCTCCACAGATGGCCACGCGACACATTCGCGTCCAGACAATTGGCCAGCCACTGAAGCGTCTTCTTCTTGGTCTCTGGCGACAGCACGAGCAGCTGCTTAACCAGCTGGAATATGGAGTCCCTATGACTCGCGAGCACTGCCCACAGGGCGGGATCTGTCTGGTTCAGCGATATATGCTGAAAGAACTCGTACTTGGCCCCCTGGCTCTTGGGCAGGATAGAGATGCACAGGAGGTTGCCCAGAAGGGTGTCCATATAATCGCCACCTGAAGAAAATTACGAGTTGAAAAAAAGAACTAAGTGCTATGTGGGATCATGGACCTCACCTTTCGCCTTGGGGTTGGGGGTAGTGTAATCTATGAGCAGCTCGCCCAGCAACGCTGCCCGTTTGTCGCGCACGAAGAAGCCCAGTATCCAGAAAATGTTCTTTTTAATCGTCACCAAATTTTCCTTAACGATTAGCTTCTGCAGTTCGGTCAGCAGGGGATAGAAAATTGCCTTTAGGGCACCCAGTGCCTCGATCGGCTCGTCCTCCTCCACAACCTTGCAGGCCACACGAACCAGGAACTCCAGAGTGCTGGTGTCGTGCTCATCGGCCTGCTCGAACAGCTCCAGCCACTGGCTGGCGAACGATTGCGGAGCAAAGAGATCCGGCTGGCGCATACAGGTGCTGGCGTTGTTCAGGATCTGAGCTATGACTGTGGAGCAGTTGACCTTCTGTGCGGCCTGGATCCGCTCACACCGAGCGAAGGCTCCATGTAGATAGCATATGGCTCGCGTCTCCAAGGCCTCGGCACTGGCGTTTCCTGCACTGTACTGCGCCGTCTCGGTCAGCATTAAACGCTCGAACAGCGCGTGGGCTACCAGGTCCTCGCCCAGTGACTCGTCGCTCGTGTCCACCACCACATCCGCCAGGCACAGTAGATGTGTGCCCTCAGCACCACGCGCCTTGTTCAGTGTGAAGAGTAGCACATCTTCCACCAATTTGTGGGACACGCCATCATCAGACTTTGTGCCCTGCTGGAGCAGGGCGGCGAACGGGTTCTCGTCGACACTTGTCATCCTCTTTTGGTGGCGCTTGCGTGGGACGGGAGCACCTGGTTTAATTTAACTAGATTGATGCACACACTGCAGAACTCTCAATGGCGATACACATTCAGAAAAAAAATATTTTTCCCCAGAAACTTTACGCACAGATGATTGGACAGGGCTGCCAGATAGCTGTTCGTTGGAGTCAGCTGATGACAGGTATGGCAGCGCCAAATGCCCCTCTTTTGGTATTTTGTTTAGTATTTTAGTCCGAAAAAGCTTATCCAGTGGTTCATCGCCAAATCCGGCCTTGAAATTAAAACCTCGAAATTCTTTTTTAATTTCTAGATTTTATTTAAACTTTGCATTAAAATCTTTCGGTCTTCTTTTTTATTCTGCTTATAATTCATTTCATATTTAGCTAATATTACACAAGCCAAATATTCTGAACAAAACTTTGCAAAAATTTGGAAAAAGGGGGAATAAACTTACCAAAAACTTGGGGTTTCCCGACCTAATTTCAATAGAAAATTGTAGTATGTAAGTTTTTTTTTTTTTTTGAATTTCCTGAATTTATTTTGCACGCAGTAATTGTTATCAATTAGCTCTTCGTTAAATTATTGCAGTTGATTAACCTTCTTTATCAATGGGATTACATAGCTCATATCTGGGCCAGCGAAAACCGCAGCCGTGTGCACTCAAAAAATAAATCCAAAGCCAATTAAGACAATCAATCGCAAAGCGACCCAAAGCCAACTGAACCGGCAAAATGAATACTGCAAGCGCCGGCTAGTGACGCAGATGGTGCCCATGCCCACCCACTGCCGGTGAGTTTTCCGATAAATGTGTTTGTGGATTGTTAAATCGGCTTATGATCAGGCAACAGTAAAAACAAGCGCCTCGAAGTTCGTTGATTCCGCATGTTACTCGCATATCAGTGGACAGTCTGCGCGGTATTTCCAAACAGAAAACATATGCACGCAGCTCCATTTTCGATTTAACGATTTTTAACCACTACAAAAATTAACGTGAATTTGCGCTATGAGCTCGGTGCGACCACTGAAGCCCGCTCTGCAGGCGATTGCCATCAAAGAGTTGAACGAGGTGCCCCAGCGGGTGCCCCAGGACATTAAAGCTCTAAGGGATTGGGTACTAAAGCAGCCACATCTGCACGCCTGCACCGACGACCAGTTCCTCCTCGCCTTTCTGCGCGGCACCAAATTCAGCGTGGAGCGGGCGAAGGAAAAGTTCGATCGCTTCTACTCGCTGCAAGCTTCTATTCCCGAGGTCTTTAACGAACGTCGCCTGGCCACCGATCCCCTAGTGCTGGACATCATAAGGATGGGGTGAGGACTTAAATTGGTCTCAGATTCTCTGTACTCATTCACGACCACTCCCACAGAATCCTTCTCCGACTTCCCCTGGCCGCGGATGATCCGGGTCCTTGTGTGACCATCGTTCGTGCTGGTTCCTACGACACGGGCAAGTACAAGTTCCAGGACATCATACGCGTAGGCTCTATGTTCGGAGAAATCATGATGTTCGAGGATGAGAATGCCACGGTCAGCGGATACGTTGAAATAATGGACATGGCTGGAGTGACGGGGTCCCACCTGTTTGCTCTGCAGCCTCAGCTGCTAAGTAAGTTCTCCACTTACGCGGACGAGGCGATGCCGACGCGACAGAAGGGCATCCACTTCATCAATGTCCCACCGGCTTTTGAAACGGGCTTCAATTCGCTGAAATCTTTCTTTCCTGCCAAAATCAAGAGTCGGGTGAGTTTGAAATCTTGAAATCAGGTGTTTCAACCATCATTAATATTTACCACAGATCTCAGTGAGCTCTGATCCTGAGGCTGTTTTTCAGCTAGTTCGCCGCGAGTATTTGCCACATGAATATGGAGGAACTGCCAGCTCCATGAAGGATATCAGCCAAGCTATGGAAGAGAAACTATCCAGCTACGCAGCCTACTTTCGAGCCTCCCAGAATTATGGCACAGAGGAGAAGTTGCGCGAACTTGGGGATCGGGTTCAGAGCGATCATCGTTCCACTTTTGGAGCTGTTGGGTCTTTTCGAAAACTGGAAATCGACTGATTGCCGATAATGTATATTTTATAAATGTCATACATATTTTGTATCTGTAATTTAGTCGCAATAGCAAGAGTTTGGAGCGAGATTATTGATTATAGTTGTACATATAAAGTTACTTTAATTGGTGTACAGGAAAATCGTGAAAATTTGGTAAATCTAAATGTTATTTGTTAAAATATTTTCACTTTAAACTATAAAACATTATCATGCATCTTAGGAAATCAGTCGAATAAGTTTAGTCTTCTAAAGGTTTTGGAACTTTTGGTTGTATTAAAGAATTGTATTAAATAAATTGTATAATATAATAATATTTAGGTACTATTTAGGTATACCACAGACTCTCCCGTCTGTGGTATACGGGCGAAATCTTTTGGGGCTGCTATTGTACATTTCCCAACATGAAACATTTAACATCCACGTTTGTGTAGCCAAGCTTGCACCAGCAGTATTAGCCTTGGGTCATGCATTTCATTATATTCAAAGATAATGAATATATAATCGTTTGATAAGAATAAATAATATTCATTTTCTTTTACCTGTAATGGCTATTTCCTAGGCTCTTATCAATGAGATTGGTAAATCGCCCTCTTTTTGGATACCGTAAAATTTAATATTTCATTCTTTTTTTAAGTTTCTTATATTTCCAAATGTTGTTATTTTTTGAATTGATATTTTTGTAAACAACTGATAACGTCTAGAGTGACCGTCATCTGGTAAGAGAGGCATTCTTTATCAAAAATTTTTGACTTATGTTGAGCTTTTTTGATGAGGGTTTTCATCAGCTGATTTAAAACAAAATTCACAACAATTTCAGGCCTTTCTTAAGCAACTTAACCAGAGCTCGCAGGGTTGAGTCCCGATTCCCAAAAAGGTCTCAACATTAAGGTTACGTAACCGGTTAGCCGCGAAAAGACTCAACGATCCATCTGCCATGGGCCCTTTTTCTATTCTCTCTCGGTTGAAGCGGCGAGAGCGGGCTCGCGGTCTTAAGTGTGACCGGTCTCTTCGCGGAAAGTTCTCGCTGTTAATTTGTACATTTCGCGTAGCGTCAGTTGATTGTTGGCACAATTTCTTAATTTTTGACAACAATCATTTAAAAATGTAAATGATTAAATTAAATTAAATGATTAAAATAAATAACAAATGAAACAAAAAAAAAAAGCATTTAACACAAACTTGAGTTTATTTCTTTATTAATTTGTGTTTAAATTGTTTGTAGAATATATATTTTAAATTTTTCGTAAAAATACGAGTGCTTCATCCCTCTCCCTCTCTCTCAGGCAATCTTTTCGACTCAGAAGCGAGCGAGTAGTTTCTATGCCGCTTCGTTTCCCGAAAGCTTTGTATTTGCGATTTCCCGTTACAGTTAACCGGAATCGCAAACAAAGCAAAGAAGCGAGAACATCTGCGAGAGAGACCCTTTTCAGACTATTTGGTTGTTTCTCTCTCCGAAAGAATTCGAATGATCAAAACGGCCATTTTGTGCGAGCTCTGAACTTAACATCGTAAAATGACGAGTATATCAAGCCTCAACGAAGACTGCCTGCTGTGAGTGACCATCCGAACTGGGAAAGGATTCATTTCATGGAGTAACACTATTGCACTTCAGTCAAATTGTAGAGTACCTGAGTCTGGAGGAGCAGTTGGAACTATGGCAGGCCACGGAGTCCACGTCGCGTTTGTGCTCGGTGATTTCATACGCCTGGCAGCGTCAGAGCAAGCACTGCGTGCGCCGGGAAACATTCTCTGGAAGGCCTGTCCTTCTACAGGACTTCCTGAAGTGCATTAGCTCCACTGTCGCGGAACTTACACTCTGTCATTTGCCCATGGAACAACTCGAGCAGTGGAAGGACCACACGTTTCCCAACGTGAGGGAACTTTACTACCTGGGGGATGAATACGATGAAGCCGATGGTGACGCTGACATTGCGATTATGGTGAGTTGCTTTCCTCAGCTGGAATCCGTTGCGATAAGCGGAGACACCAGTGGCCAGCACATCAGTCAGTGGCGACACCTTCGACGTCTGGATCTTAAACTGTGCTGGTACCTGGACTTACAATGCTTTGAGGATATTTGCCAGAAACTGTACCTTCAAACTCTTACCGTTCAATGGCGACGAGAAGAGGAGGATGTCTACGTACAGGCCATATCGGCGCTAGAGGATCTGGTAGAGCTCGACCTGACCATATTCCACCTTAGTCCCGAGAATGCTCGCAAGCTGTTGAGTCTGCCGAAATTGGCAAAGTTTCGCCTGCACCACATGGACCTTTTCAATAGTGTCCTGGAGGACATTGCTCGACTGCGTGGGCCTGATTTGGTGGGCATCACTTGCAGAGACAATTCTGTGAGGTGGAGACCTCGGGTGCTGGCGAATTTGGTTAACCTACGTCGCCTTACACACGTTGGGGGCAGTTGCGCCATTGATTTTAGTGTTATAATCAAAAATTTTCCCCACTTGGAGCAACTGAACCTTGAGAACTGGCGCATTTGGCCAAATGCTGACGGCATCTGGGACGTAGTGTCTGCATGTCCACAACTCGAGGTAATCACTGTATTCAATCTTTCCGAGGACTTCTTTGCCTTTAGTGCCTCTACTATGCAACGGGCCCTGGATAGGAGAATCGAGCCTTTGGCCATTCGGTTTCTTGGAACGGGCAATGAAGAATTGGTGCGCACCTTGTCTTTATTTTATCTTTCTTATTTGTTTTTAATAAACATATGTATGTGTTTTCAGGTTGCCAAGCATTTTGTACATCGCAATCTAAAAGTATTCCACAAGGCCACAAATTACACTATTTCCCAAGTACCTGAAAATTGCATGGAGTTTGAATTCTTGATTCTGGATAAATCGTAATAAAAAATTCAGTTTTTCTCTTTAAGCTCCCGAGAGTAAACTTATATTTAAGACATCCTTAACCCCCACCCGCAAAGTGCATTAAAACTTACTTGAAGTATTTCAAATTATATATCCAAATTTGGTTCTTTTTTGAATTGATATTTTTGTAAACAATTGATAACGTCTAGACTCTAGAGTGACCGTCATCTGGTAAGAGAGGCATTCTTTATCAAAAAGCTTTCACATATGTTGAGCTTTTTTGATGACGGTTTTCATCAGCTGCTTTAAATACAAAATTCACAACAATTTCAGGCCCTTCTTAAGCAACTCAAGACAACTTCACATCGTAAAATGACGAGTATATCAAGCCTCAACGAAGACTGCCTGCTGTGAGTGACCATCCGTACTGGGAAAGGATTCATTTCATGGAGTAACACTATTGCACTTCAGTCAAATTGTAGAGTACCTGGGTCTCGAGGAACAGTTGGAACTATGGCAGGCCACGGAGTCCACGTCGCGTCTGTGCTCGGTGATTTCATACGCCTGGCAGCGTCAGAGCAAGCACTGCGTGCGCCGGGAAACATTCTCTGGAAGGCCTGTACTTCAACGGGATTTCCTGCAATGTATCAGCTCCACTGTCACGGAGCTCACACTCCGGTATTTGCCCATGGAACAGCTCGAGCAGTGGAAGGCACACACGTTTCCCAACGTGAGGGAACTTTACTACCTGGGGGATGAATACGATGAAGCCGATGGTGACGCTGACATTGCGATTATGGTGAGTTGCTTTCCTCAGCTGGAATCCGTTGGGATAAGCGGAAACACCAGTGGCCAGCACATCAGCCAGTGGCGACACCTTCGACGTCTGGATCTTCAACTGTGCTGGTACCTGGGCTTACAATGCTTTGAGGATATTTGTCAGAAACTGCGCCTTCAAACCCTTACCGTTCAATGGCGACGAGCTGAAGAGGATGTCTACGTACAGGCCATATCGGCGCTAGAGGATCTGGAAGAGCTCGACTTGGACATAGTCCACCTTAGTCCCGAGAATGCCCGAAAGCTGTTGAGTCTGCCGAAATTGGCAAAGTTTCGCCTGCACAACATGGACCTTTTCGATAGTGTCCTGGAGGACATTGCTCGACTGCGTGGACCTGATTTGGTGGGCATCACTTGCAGAGACAATTTTGTGAGGTGGAGCCCTCGGGTGCTGGCGAATTTGGTTAACCTACGTCGCCTTACACTCGTAGACGATGAGGGCAGTTGCGCCATTGATTTTAGTGTTATAATCAAAAGTTTTCCCCACTTGGAGCAACTGAACCTGGAGAACTCGCGCATTTGGCCAAATGCTGACGGCATCTGGGACGTAGTGGCTGCATGTCCACAACTCGAGGTAATCACTGTATTCAATCAGTGTCTTTCCGAGGACTTCTTTGCCTTTAGTGCCTCTACTATGCAACGGGCCCTGGATAAGAGAATCGAGCCTTTGGCCATTCGGTTTCTTGGAACGGGCAATGAAGAATTGGTGCGCACCTTGTCATTATTTTTTTTTTCTTATTTGTTTTTAATAAACTTATGTGTTTTCAGATTGCCCAGCATTTTGTACATCGCAATCTAAAAGTATTCCACAAGGCCACAGATTACACTATTTCCCAAGTACCTGAAGAATGCATGGAGTTTGAATTCTTGATTCTGGATAAATCGTGAAAAATTCGGGTTTTTATCTTTAAGCTCCCGAGAGTAAACTTATATTTAAGACATCCTTAACCCCCACCCGCAAAGTGCACTAAAACCTAGTTTAAGTATTTCAAATTCTAAAGTTGAGGCTGCCTAACACACAGGCTAATTATCATTTAATAATCTTTAAAATTCATTGAATATAAAAATGTAAAATATATACATTTATTTTTATAAAGCTCTCTTTATTTTAGTATTTAAGTGGGATTATACGAACCTAAATAAATAAATATAAGCCACTCTTTAAAAATTTTCGAAAGTTTTAATATTTTTTTGGCAGATGGGGAATGCTAAAAATTATATCAACATTTTAAGGACTCAACAACAAAAGTACAAAAATCATGTTTTAGGTATAAACAAAAATAAGTTTACTTAGATTGATTTGCCTGATGATGCCTATGAAATAATATTTTCAATCTATTCTTTTTATAAGGTATACAGTAGGCTATAGTCTTATTTTAACTTTATTTAAGCAACTATTTTCCTAATTTCCTCATTCGTTGTATAGCCCCCAGGGCAATCTGATCGCCGTCTATGAAACTATTATAAAAAGCTTTCAAAGCTTTTTGTTGACGATTTTCACCAGGTGAGTAAATGTTTTAGGTTTAAATACGAAATTCACAACAATTCTAGCCGCTTCCTTGAAGCCACTTATCCCATCAAACCCTCCGAAATGACGAATATATTAAGCCTCAACGAAGACTGTCTTCTGTAAGTGAGCATCCGAAGAGAGCATTTCTTAAATAACACGATCGATTAGCCAAATTATAGAGTACCTGAGTCTGGAGGAGCAGTTGGAACTATGGCAGGCCACGGAGTCCACGTCGCGTTTGTGCTCGGTGATTTCATACGCCTGGCAGCGTCAGAGCAAGCACTGCGTGCGCCGGGAAACATTCTCTGGAAGGCCTGTCCTTCTACAGGACTACCTGAAGTGCATTAGCTCCACTGTCGAGGAACTTACACTCTGTCATTTGCCCATGGAACAACTCGAGCGGTGGAAGGACCACACGTTTCCCAACGTGAAGAAACTTTACTACCTCGGGGACTTCTTGAGGGATGAAGACGACGAAGTCGATGTTGATGCCGACATTGCGATTCTGGTAAATTGCTTTCCTCAGCTGGAGTCCCTTGGGATAAGTGGCAACACCAGTGGGCAGTACATCAGCCAGTGGCGGCTCCTTCGACGTCTGGATCTCCAACTATGTTTTTACCTGGACTCACAATGCTTTGAGGATATCTGTCAAAAACTGCGCCTTCAAACCTTATGTGTCCAATGGCGACGATTCGAGGCGGATGACTATGTGCCAGCTATCTCGATGTTACAGGAACTGACAGAGCTTGACCTAGACATAATCCACCTCAGTCCTGAGATCGCCCGCAAGCTGTTGAGTCTGCCCAAGTTGAAAAGGCTTCGCCTTCATGGTATGGATAATTTTGATGATGTTTTGAAGGTGATTGGTCAACAGCGCAGACAGGATTTGGTGGCGATCACTTGCAGAGATTATATTATTTCGTGGCGTCCCCTAATATTGACAAGATTGGAAAACCTTCGCCGCTTTACACTCGTCGATGATGAGGGCGATTACGACATAGGCTTGAGCCTTATAATCAAAAGCTTTCCCCGCTTGGAGCAACTGCATCTCGAGAACTCGCGCTTTTGGCCGAATGCAGACGACATCTGGGAAGTAGTGGCTGGCTGTCCACAACTCAACTTAATTACCATATCTGCCCCCGATCGTCCAAATGAGTTCATTGCCTCCAGTAGTGCCTCCAGTATGCAGCGCGTCCTGAATCAGCGTCTTAAGCCTTTGTCCATACATTTTCATGGAACGGGGAATGAAGAATTGGTGAGTTGGGATTACATTCCAATTGCTGTTTAAACTCTAATTTTGATATTTATGCATTGGTTTCCAGATTACCAAGCTATTTGTACACAGGAAACTTGAAGTCTTATGTAAATCCAAAGATTACGCTGTTTCCCAAGTACCTGAAGAATGTGTAGAGTTTGAATTTCTAGTCCTGGAAACATCTTCGTGATACATAGAGAGACTTAGTATGACTCCCTGAGGCAGAGACTGATATTTATCTATTTGCTGAAGTTTTAGAAAGAAATTAAAAAAAAAAAATTTTAATGATTTAATACTTGGATTTATGGCGTCTTTTAATGAATTCTCCAGTTTTGCACCGAATTTACCTTATCTCTTTATACATAGCTTACAATTACAGCCCTCATGGCCAAATGTCTGCTATAAACGCCTAAAAAAGGGTAAACTTTCTCCCCTCAAAAAAATGTTAAATAAAACATCTAGCATTGGTTTTGTTTCACCGTGTTTAATTGGTTGCTTTAATTTTTTGTCGGATATCATTCACCACTTGCCGAGTCGAAATGTGTTTTCATGTGTTTGATGCTAACGAACTCCTCTGAAGTCCCTGCTAATGGGATAATGGATTCGGAGGTTTATCCGCCGCCCTCGACCCCTCGTTCGAATCGTTGATTAATAAATATATTTGAACTAGTTTTTTGAGTCTAATATACTTGGTAGGACTTGGTTACGCGAAAGGAACGGTCTTCCCTCACACCTCGCTGTAGGGTCGCGATGCCGCGCTCCGATTGGAAGAGACTGGCGGCGGACTTGGCGGGGGACTAAAGTCCGTTTCCGTGTCGTTATAGTTGTACCGACTGTCCGACGGTGAGAGCGAGCGATATGTGCGCGGCGAATGCGTGAAGGAGTGATGATGGCGACCCCAGCTTCCGCTGTGCCTTCGGCGATGGTCCAAAGCATCCCGCTCATCCTCATCGTCGTCGTCATAGTCATCGTAATCACTGTAGTCCGAGTAACGATCCCGATCACGATCCCGGTCCCGATCCCCCCGCGCAGAGGGCGGTGGGGAACGCATGCGTCCAAGGGGCGGAGGACGTGCCCCGCCACCCGCTGGCGGCAGGAATGGCGGCGGCGGCAGGCCCATGAATGGTGAGAAGGGTGCCGCTAGGAATGGCAGTGGATTTGGCATGTTCAGCAGGGGTGAACCCGGCAACCCGGGCAACGGCAGAGGCAACGGCGACGGAGCCGCCTTTAGTTCCGCCCCCAGAGCAGGCCCAGCTCCATTAGCAGCAATGGCTTCGACTGCGACTGGATCTCCGCCGCCACTAGCCATGGTGGTCAACTTGCGCCGCAGTCCGGCGGCCTCGGCCAGCGCCTCTTCGCACCGGCGCTCCGACTGACGTGCTGCCAGCCAGGACTCGTGGGCGCGGTTTTCCAGCGTGCCCATCTGCGCCTTGTGCGAGGCTATCTGGGCCTCGATCTCGGCGCGCAGCTCGTCGTTCTGAGATCTGCAAAATTCAGCGCTGAGCATAAAATACTTTTTCTGGGATCACTTACTTTAGAGTCTGTATTTCGTTCTTCATCAATGTCTGCGTCTCCACGGTGCTTGCGTTTTCGCCCTGATGCTGCAGCCACTTGGTCTCCTGCAGACTAAGCTCCCTGAAAGGACAACGATGTCTTGGGTAATGAAACAATTTTGATGCCTTCTCTTACTTCTTCAGTTCGTTCTCCTTCTCGCGGAAATAGCCGGAGAGGACTTCGAGCCTCGTCTGCGCCTCCAACTTGTCCCGCTCCGACTGGTTAAAGTCCTGCTTGAGCTGCTCCACATCGGAGCTGGACTGCTGTAGCTGACCCTCTATGCGCTGCTTGTGGGCCACTTCCTGCTCCAGCTTCGCCTGCAGTTCGACAAACTTCCTTTGGGCCGCGTTAAGTTCGCCGCGCGTCTTGGCTGAGGCAATCAGCTCCTGAACATTAAGATTGGCATCCTTCTTCACGGCCTTGAGGCAATCCTCGAGAGCCTCGATCTTGGCCAAGCTCGTTTGATAGTCGCCATGCTCTCGCTCCCACTTGGCGGTGAGGTCGAGAATCTGGTTCTGGAGTCTTTGCATCTCGTAGTTGCGTGCCTCGAGTACTTTGGCCATTTCCCCGTCCGTTTCGGCCTGAATTTCGTCCAGACGGGTTTGCAGCCTGGACTTCTCCATCTCGAGCTCGTAGTTGTCCTCTTGCAGAGTCTTTAGCTCGCCGTTAAGACGCGACGTGGTCTCCGCGAAAGTGTACTGCAGCTCGCTGTTCTCGCGACTCTTTTCCGCCAGGCTCGAGTTGATCTCAATCATGATCCCTGCAGTAAAATTGGATTATGGAACATTATATGTGGCAGGGGACTTGAAGATACTCACTCTCCTGGTCATTCAGCTGCCGCTGCAGCTCATCGACGGTGCTCAAGAAGGCCTCATCGCCGTTTTGGTTGCTCAGAACCTCCGACAGCATCTTGTTCAGTTCCAGTCCAGCCTCAGCCGCATTATCCAGATCCTGGCAACAGGGAAGGAGTTAATATTATATTGATGCAATTTTGGAAAAACCCTTACCCTTTCTAGTGAGCCAACCTGCTCTTGCAGCTTGGCTTTCTCAAAGACCTCCTTTTCCAGTTGCTTCTTAAGCTCAGCCACCATGTCGTTGGAGCCAAAGGAGTTGTCCTCGATACTGGCCAGCTTGTGGCGCGTCGTCATCAGTTCATGCTTGATTATATGGTTCTCCTTGTGGGAGGCCAGCAAGCTGCGCTCCAAATGGTTTAGCTTGGACAGGAGTGCTCCCTCTTGGCTGCTGTTGCAGAAACAGTAGTAGGCAAAAATAAAGAATAGGGACGAGGCCGCCGCAATGACCACGCACAGCAGTAGCAGGCTGTGATCCACCACCTTGGCGGTGAGAATCTCTGCAAAATTATCTAGGGAAATGGAGCGATGGCAATAATCGTCCTTCTGCGACTGAAACCGAGCACAGTAGCCATCCATGTCGACTGTTGGGGCTGAGTCTATGAACAAAATTAATCAATTGAACATTTTAAGGGTAAGTGTATATAGGAATACCTAAGAGTTGAACTTACCTGCCGCAGGTTTCCTTGGGGATCCCGCTACTTCGCCCACGCCTGGATATAAAATCCTTTGCAGCTCATCGCTACCATCAAACCCAGCACTTTCCGGCTCCTTTCCTATGAAATTATTCACAGTGTCCACGATGGTGGCAAACAAACCTAATCCCAGGGCACCATCATCTTTTGTGGGAGCTTCCGCCAAGGGACTTGCTGTCGCGGGCAAAGCCACTGGTTCCACGGAACCCACTCCCGCGGCGGCCTGAGGTGCGGGTGTAACATCCTCTTCGTGAACAGAACCGTAGGGTGAGTCGGGAACAGCCGATATAGTAGTTTGTTCTGCCCTTTCTGTGGGATGATGATGATGATGGTAGTCCGGGTGCTGGTGCTGGTGATGTGGATACTCTGTACTTTGCTGCTTATTGTAATAATCGTTGGGATCAGCGTAGACCTCATTGGACTCGGGTTCCACTGGGTCACTGAGCGGTAGCTGCTGTTCCGGAAGCCGCAGTGATTGCTTCACTTCTTCTTGCTGCTGTTCCTCTTTTAATGTCTGTTGCTCCACTTGTTCCTTTAACGTCTGCTGCTGCTGTTGTTCTTGCAAATGCTTGTAATAATCGGGATTAGCATTTTCAAAGAGTGGTGGCAGGACAACAGGTTCAGATTTCACCAATTCCTTTTCAATGGGACCACTGCCTGTGGAGCTGGCCTCAGATTGAACCACAACGGGCTCATCAGCATTTTCCCTTGAATCCTTTTCAGTCTCAGTTTTCACTTCAGTCGCAGACGAAGCTATATCTACTTTGACGACTCCATCGTCAACGCTTTCACTTACAGCTGGCCGGGCGGGTGGTGTCTCGGGAACCTCAAGCTTTTCGGTGATTTCCTCGATTTTGAGAGCTTCTAAAGGTTGTGACTCAACGGTTGTTGTTTCCGGTACCTCCTTAACAACTTCTTTATCTACCGATGCACTTTCCGTTGCAAGATCCTTTGGAAGCTCCGTGGTAGCGTTTGTTATTTCCGCCTGTTCTACGTTGGCTTCTTCCTTTGGCTTTACCAAATTTAGAGTCGTGTTCTCTTGCTCAATGCCAATAGTTTCAATGACATTAAGTGTTTTTGTATCGTTCAATTTATCGCTGTCGATCGATTCCTTATCTTCGCTATCTTGGTTCAGTTCGTCGTCTTCGTCTATCTCGTCATCCCCATAATCAAAATCATCAGAGTCTTCAAGTTCTGCGTTGATGGCGTCTAAGAGTTTTGCTGAATCCTGTTCTCCAGCAGTAGGCAAAATGGGGTCCGTTGGTTCTTCCTGTGGCTTTTTTGCATCAACGGCTGCTTCCTGCGGCTCCTTAGCATCAACAGCTGCTTCCTGTGGCTTCTTAGCATCAACAGCTGCTTCCTGTCGCTTCTGTAAGTCAATAGTGGCATCTTGGGGCTTCGATAATTCCACAGTTGCATTCTCGAGCTTCTGTGAGTCCACAGTTGCATCCTGGGGCTTCAGTGAGTCCACAGTAGCATCCTGGGGCTTCTGTGAGTCCACAGTTACAGCCTGCGGCTTCTGTGAGTCCACAGTAGCATCCTGGGGCTTCTGTGAGTCCACCGTTGCTTCCTGCGTCTGCTTTAAGTCAACAGATGCTGTTGAGGCTGGTTCTGACTTCGCTGCATCACTGGGCTTGGGGTTGGGTGTGCCATCAGTTACAGCTGGAATGGCTTCCAGGGGCAGCTCAGTGCCATCCACCAGCTGCAGCAGCTGGGCCTGAGTAGCCTTCGTTGGATCAGGTGCCTGCTGATCCTTCGTTTTGTCGTTCTCCACAACAATGGCCTCCACTTGAACGTCCAGCGGGGCTGTGGTGGTCGTCGCCATGTCATCAGATGACTCAGAAGCGTTAAGCACGGTCTGCAGAGGCTCCGCCACTGCAGGAGGACTAGGAGGACTGCCAGGCCCCACTACTGGTACCTCAAACTTTAGTTCGGCATCCCGCACAAGGATCTTCTTCTCCATAATGAAGTCCTTGTTGGCATAGCCACGTCGGCCGTTGATGTCCACGCCCCAGAGCTGCTTGTTGGAACCGGCGCTCTTGGACAGGACGCGAATGGGGGTGTTGATTTTAAAGGATATGAGGCCTTCGCCACCAGTCGCATAGCTGATTTTGGCAATGCCCGTTGAGATAATTTCTGCAACACAAAAAAACACATTAATTACGCAATTCCAGACAGTCCACATCAACTTAAAACCGCCCAAAGCGTGTTTCACAATATCGGCTGTCTTGTCTCGCCTAAAGATTACAACTTACGTTCACATTTTGGGTCAGCGCACAATCGCTTGTCCGAGAGTGTCCCCTGCGCCCACGTCGATGTTGGAAGACAACAGCAGATCCAGACCAGGCCGATGAACAGGTCTCTCAGCTGGGGCTGCATTTTCGTTTTCTCGTTGGCCAGCCGCATTTTGCATTGTCTTTGGGGCTCAATTGGACGTGCAAAATAAACTTATTTGCTGCAGCTACAAATTTTTTGTGTATAAAAATGTCTTCACTTTCAGCTGAGTTGGCTTTTCAACGGTGGGACCGTACTTGGTGCGCCAATTTTAGTCATTTTCATCAATTGAATAAAAATACTGAAAAATACTATTTATTCTGAAATGTGAAATAAAATACATTTTGCTACCCTTTAAAATGTTATCGAAGAAATGTCTTCTTTAGCTGTGTTTAGTAAACAAATCACCGGGTGGTCAACAGGAAATAAATTTACTCTTTTACAGGAAATCAACGTAATGGGCACCAAAGTGCTGCGAAAGGTGACGCACTGCCTCTTCGATATGGACGGCCTGCTGCTGGGTGAGTTTGTGTGCGTTTGGAATGGACCTCTTATTTTAACAACTGAAATGTGCAACAGATACGGAGCGCCTTTATACGGAAGCGTCGAAAATGACACTAGGTCCATACGGCAAGACTTTCACGTTCGAAGTGAAGGAGCAAATGATGGGCCTGCAAACGCGGGAGGCAGCGGAATTCATGGTCAAACACTACGGCCTACCTGTACCATGGGAAGAGTTGGCCCAGCAGCAGCGCTCCAATACCGAGAAACTGATGCGGAATTCTGAATTAATGCCAGGTACCCCACTCCGTTCTGCTCTGCCGACCCGCACTTGGCGGAGATGAAGGCTAGAAGGTTAGCAGTACGCTTCAGTCTACAATGCTTTCCCTCCTTTAAAAAAGGCTTATTGCAACTCTGCTCTAGATCCTTATCAATTTGTATTTACTTTTGCCCGTTTCTAGGAGCTGATCGCCTTTTGCGTCACCTCCACGCCAACCAGGTGCCCTTTGCACTGGCCACCAGCTCCAGCGCCGAAATGATGGAGCTAAAGTTCACCGATCACCAGGAGCTGTTCGATCTGTTCAACCACAAGGTGTGCGGCACTGACAGCGAAGTTGCGAACGGTAAGCCCGCGCCCGATATCTTCCTGGTGGCTGCTGGCAGATTTGTAAAGCCGCCCGCTGCCGCCGACTGCTTGGTGTTCGAGGATTCGCCCAATGGTGTGGCAGCAGGCAATAGCGCCGGCATGCAAGTGGTCATGGTGCCGGATCCTCGACTGTCCCCGGAGAAGTGCTCTCACGCAACTCTGGTTCTGCGTTCCCTTGCTGACTTTAAACCCGAGCAATTCGGACTGCCTCCGTTCGAGGATTGATTTTTATTCCAGCTTAAGAAGCGTAATACAAACAAATATATATATAAATGGTAGTATTGTTGCCTTTATTCCAGCCTGGCCGACCGCCTCAATATTTTTGTGTATGTCGGGAGCAGCCTTGTTGGCTAGGGGCAAGGACACCTCTTTGCCGTTGCCTAGAGAGAAGAGTTTGAAAATATTTAAAGTTTCCAAGTACGTTGTATGACTTACCATAGCGGGCATAAAGACGGGGCTGGACGCCGGAGCACTCGCGCACTAAGATCGGCAGGTCTGGGTTCTGTTTCTTCAGATTTGGGTAAAACTTTTGGACATATTCCCTGGGAGGGTATATTATATAACGGGCATAACCGGAAATGAAGAACTCACCTGGCGCCCTTGGAGGCGACACCCTTGGGGTCTAGTATGATGCGAACTTCCTTTAAGGGGGGGTAAGGTTAATTCGGTGCAAAAATGCCCACTTTTCAAAAAAATGTTGTGGCGAAACGGCTAAAGCTAGCTTAACGAATTAAATACCATATAATAACACAACATTTGAACAGTTTGTGATAAATTTTGTATTGAAAAATATTTAGAGGTAGAGGAGTTATAGGGAATCTCCCGAGACGCCTCCAAAAAAGTTGGTTTGCGGTGTACATCCTAACTGTCCACAGAATCATCCGATCTACAAAAATTATACCTCATTCGTTAAAGGATAAGTGTCCCGAGGTATTCTCGAAGCGTTTTTATTTTTAAAATTTTTTCCCTATTTTTTATCAAAATTTGAAGTCAAAACCCCGATTTTTGACTAAAAAATTAAGTTAATTTGTTAAATAAAAAATATAAGAAAATTAAAAATTAAAAAAAGCTCGACGAGAATACCTGTAGAATTATCTAAAGAAGTTATGTTCCAAATTTCAAACCGATTGGTTCAGTATATTTTTAGTTATCGTGTACACCGATTTTCAAAATGGCATTTTTCAGGAGAGCGCTTTAAACTTTGTGATTCTCATGCATTGAACACCAACCGACCTTCGTTCAGCTCCGCATAACTTCGTCAATTTTACTATGATTGATGTAAAACTTGGACACAATATTCTTAAGATATTGAACTTTTAAAATAAAAAATAAAAAAAAATTTACGCAAAAAAAAATTAAATACCTTACCCCCCCCTTAAATTTGGTGTGAAACGCTAGAAAAAGCAATGAAACTAAAAGCCGTTACTGTATAGGGTTGTCAAATACTAAGTAATTCGCATCAGTGCTTGTCAAACTTTAGGTAATTCGCATCAATGCGTTTAAAAACATTTTGTTAATAGTGGGATGACACTGCCGCATTAATTAGAGACTTCATTAAAGATTTGACAGCGCTATAGCGTTTTACACAAGTGCGAGCAAGACGACTATATGGCGCTCTAATGCATTAGAACAATGCATTAGCTACTTCATTGCCGCGGTAATCGATAGATCTACATATTATATACTAGATATTCGATAACAAAATACGGGTTTAATGAAGAAAATTGTAATTGAAAAATGTATTAGCCAGTTCATTGACAGTATGGTCTCACAATGAGAATTTTATTTTTATATCATTTCGCTTGTTTTTTGAACTGAAAATATATTAGAAAATTAGCAAAAATAATATGTTTTGCGGTAGCAAGGTTCTTGCGCTGTAAAATTAATTAAAATGATGTTTTTTGTAATAATTAAAAAAATTTTAAGTATTATAGGTTAAAAACATAAATTTAAAGGATTCTGCATTTATTTATGCAATAATACTTCGACGAGAAATTCAGAAATTCATAATAATACGCCGCGAATGGCGGCCGTTTTTTTTTTTACCTTTTACGGTCGGTGTGACCGTAGTCGTATTACCAAAATAATCCAAGCAAAATTCAAGCAAAATTACACAAAATTACACATATAGTTGACTCTTTCAAGGTTCTAATGAAGTAGCTAATTAATGAAAACTGCATTACTGTATCATATGGGCATAAGGAATGTGAAACATTTTACGTTTCAAACTGTAACGTAATAAATTCGTTACGTTTCGCCACCTTTCAAAAATAATCGATAAATCAATCGATTAAGTATGACAGCTGATTGACAGCATTGTCATCACTACCTCCATTTAGTAAACAGAATTGCTCGAATTTTAAAGGATCGCAGTAAAACTCTAATTCAAGAAAATATGGCATCCGTTCATTGTCAGCTGTGGATGGGCAGCGTAAGTAGCCAACAGTATTATACAAAAAGATGGTAGTCAAGCCTCCTGCTTTGCCATTTCAGCTGGAGTCCTACATGACGGAGAACTTCATCATCGCCGCTTTTCGCAAGATGGGCGAGGATCCCACCACGGTGCGCTTGATGCGTAATAAATACACCGGCGAACCGGCTGGCTACTGTTTCGTCAACTTTATATCAGACGACCACGCCCTGGACGCGATGCACAAGCTGAACGGCAAGCCCATTCCTGGCACCAATCCCATTGTGCGGTTTCGGCTCAATTCGGCCAGCAACTCGTACAAGTTACCGGGCAACGAGCGGGAGTTCAGCGTGTGGGTGGGCGACCTCAGCTCCGACGTGGACGACTACCAGTTGTACAAGGTCTTTTCGAGCAAGTTCACCTCGATCAAGACGGCCAAGGTGATCCTGGACAGCCTGGGCTTCTCCAAGGGCTATGGCTTCGTGCGCTTCGGCATCGAGGACGAGCAGAAATCGGCACTGTACGACATGAACGGCTACATCGGCCTAGGCAGCAAACCCATCAAGATCTGCAATGCTGTGCCGAAGCCCAAGTCCGAATTGAGTGCCGCCCTTGGAGACACGAGCAGTAACTATGGCTACGGTTCCGGAAGCACAGCCGGGGGGTCGGATTTCTCGCAATACTACGATCCCACCAGCACATACTGGCAAGGATACCACGCCTGGCAGGGCTACTATGAGCAAGGTGGTCCCTCAATTACAGATGCCGCCGCCTACTACCAGCAAGCCATGTCGCAGTCGCACTCGAATCCGCAAACACTTGCTCAGCACGCAGAAGCCTGGAGCGCCCAGCGCAGTGCCCAGTACGAGCAACAGCAGCATACAAATGCCGCCGCTTCGAATGGGGCGGAGGGGGACTACGGGCTGGTGGAACACAAATTTGTTCTGGACGTCGATAAGCTAAATCGCGAAACTGCTGATGCGGATCGTCGCCTGTACGACGCTTTGGAGAGCTCAAAGTGGCTGCCCATAGAGCAGTTGGAGGTGTTCTAAGCCGCTGTTTCTACCATTTTAAAGTAATTTAAACCTGAAAGTACATGTTCACTCTTCGCCCTCTTAAAAAATAATTTCCATTAAATATAAAAATATTTAAGAAAATGTGTTTGTTTTAAGAAAATTAAATTTGAAATTAGTTCTTCGATAGACTTCGATAACGATAAGAAACTACGGCCGTTTGTCACATTTATCAAAACATTCGCCAATCTGGTCACATTAATTGAAAAAAAAGAAATTGAAAAGAAAATTGGGAAAAAGTTCAATTATCCTGCTCTCTGATGGCGCCCTTTAAAAGAGTGCGCCAGCCGAAAGTCACCACACAGGCTTTGCTGGACTTCGACCTGGGCGAAAGCTCATCAGACAGCGATTTCCTGCCTGACATTGATAACTGCTCCGATGGCTCAAAGGACGAGAGCGACGGAGACGGCAGCAGCGACGCAAGCAGCGGATCGGGCTCTGACGAGGACTCGGATGCTGAGAGCGAGGACTCGACGCTGCAGCTTCGCCAGCTGCTGGCTGAAAGCGAAGCTGCGGGCACAGCGGCGCCTCCCCACGAAAATGGCATCAATGGGATCGACCATACTGCGGTCGGAACCATTCGGGCCCCACTGCAGCTATCCAGTGCGCCCGCGAAGCGGATGTGCTGCGTTTGCCTAGGCGAACGCAGCGACGACGTCAACGAGATCGTCGAGTGTGACTCCTGTGGCGTATCGGTGCACGAGGGCTGCTACGGCGTCAGCGATAATGTGAGCATCTCCAGCACCAACTCCACCTGCTCCACGGAGCCGTGGTTTTGTGAGGCCTGCCGCGCTGGAGTATCGGAGCCCGACTGCGAGTTGTGCCCCAATAAAGGCGGTATCTACAAGGAGACGGACGTCGGAAAGTGGGTGCACCTCATCTGCGCCCTGTACGTACCTGGAGTGGCCTTTGGCGAGGTGGAGCAATTGTCCTCGGTTACACTTTTCGAGATGCAATATAGTAAGTGGGGCGCCAAGGTGTGCTCCCTATGCGACAATGCGCTTTTCGCCCGCTCCGGCGTCTGCATCGGCTGTGATGCTGGCATGTGCAAGACGTACTTCCACGTGACCTGTGCACAGGTCGCCGGCTTCCTCATTGAGGCGCATCACGAGGACGATGCAGCCGATCCGTTTTACGCCCATTGTAAGGTGCACTCTGAAAAGGAGATGATCAAGAAGCGGCGCCGAAATTACCACACCCTCCGTCTTAACATGTTGCAGCGAGCCAGGGAAAAGGAGGCGAAGACAACTGGACCCAACGAGGAACCCGATCCAAATCCAGCCCAGGCGAGAATTCAGCGCAAGCTACTTAAAATCCAGCACAAATACGCTCGGCACAAGGAGCTCAAGCCCATTCCGTGGGTACCCACACAGAAGATGTCGCGCTTGCTAACCACCTCCGCTTCGGCCTGCCGCCGCCTGTTGGCCAAGGCGGAGGTCATGTCGGTGGATGTGCAGCATCTGGAGCAGCGCGAGGCGCACATCAACGCTCTGACCGACATCCGGAAGAAGTGGCACATTGCGCCGGCCTTTAGCGTAGAGTTCACCGCCTACTACATGGATCGCATAGTGCGTATGGAGGACTTCCGAGAGCAGCAGCGCCAGCTCATCTCGCACAACGCCATCCTGTCCAAGGATCAGGATGTATTAAGAGCTCAGTATGACAGTGCTTTGGAAGAGCGCAAGGCTGTCAAGTCCACAAAAGATACTCTATTGGCCAGCATTAAGTCTCTGCACACTGCTCTGGCACAAATAATACCCAACATTGGTCTTCCCACCGTGGAGATGATAGCACATCCGCTGCCAGAGTCACATCCGGCCAAGACGAGCACACCCACTCCACCCCAGCGGCCCATCTCTGTGCCGACGGCAGCTGCTCTCAAGATGGGCGTGGGGTTTCCGCTTGGGCATCTAGGCCCGCCAGGCAGCAAGCTGGACGCGTCCCGCATGCTCAGCACCCATGCTAATAAGCACGGCAAGCAGGGAACTGGAAGCGTGGACGCCGCCCATTCAACGGCCTGCGGGATTTGTAAGCGAAGCAAGGATCAGCATTTGCTGGTCAAGTGCGACACCTGTAACCTGCACTATCATCTGGGCTGCCTGAACCCGCCGCTAACGCGTCCCCCGAAGAAGTCCAAGCAATATGGCTGGCAGTGCTCCGAGTGCTGCGACAAATCGGACGGTTCTGATGTTGTTACTGAAATCTCGACCGGGCCAAGGAAATCGCGTACGCGCTTCAACAAAGACGGCCACTTGGTGTATGTAGATCGGTATTCCCTGGACGATGTGCCGTTGCCTCTGGCCACCGCTCCACTGACAACTTCAAAGGAGGCAGCAGTGGCCAAGCGGCCGCTAAACAAATCATTGCCGCCGGCAACTACTTCCGAGACGGTCATTGAGGACCTGGCCAAGTCACCGAAGCGTCCCAGAATCCAATCGCCCCGTAAAACACCCATTAATGGTGAGTTAATGTGGGGAATTCACACTGCCAACGGTATCGGTGCTTTGTCCTTATTATCCTTGAATATAATTCCTAAAATTGATTCGGAGACTCCTCAAAAATTGTGAATTGTTTAAGTTTTTGGTGAAATATGCAAATGCAAATGCAGATATTTAGATCACAGAAATATATTTAGAAAAGAGAGCCATATAGGAAAGAAAATGAAGGAGCTGAAAACATGAAGGTTTCCTTGAAACAATTGTTTTGTTTCCACCTTTATTTGGTTCATGTTGTAATTTCTTGAAATAAATTTGGAATTAATCAAAAGCAAAAACATTACGGAACATGTAGTGCAAATACAAATATTTAGATCATATTAAATATATAAGATAAGAATCAAAAATTCGAAAGATAATGAATAGACTGAAAACTTGGAGGTTTATTTTGAAAAGCATAACAAAACTGTTTTATTATTCCTTATTTGGTTCGTGTTATAATTTCTTAAATTTAATTTGGAATTAAATAAAAACAAACAGAAGAAGAAAAACTAAATTACACAGCATGTAAGCTGGTTATTTTAAAACAACAACAATATTATGTATTAGAATATATGTAAAACCACAATATTTGCATAGTCGGTTCAAAATGTTACATTCAACTATTTGGCTTTGTTACGGAGTCCGAGAACACCCCTGGAGTAAACAGATGCGTGAGTACCGGGTACCTCATAACTGGGGAATATGCTTAGATAAAAATCATTTAAATTTAACCCTAATAACCATTATTTCTTGTCGTGATTCCTTTTCCGCCAGTTCCCGCTGCTAATGCCACGGCAGATACTGCTGCTCCTGCACCTATTGTAGCGCCCATAAACCTTTCTGGCTGTGAGGACTCCATTGACGACTCCAGCGGCAAGCTGTCCCGGAAGGGCAAGCGCAAGGACAAGCACAAGAATAAGCATAATCTGTCGTCGGATACCGAGAAGTCCATGGGCAAGGAGCACAAGCGGAAGCGGAAAAAGCGTGCCCACCTCGACGAATCGTCGTCTCACCTGGACATTGCGGCCAACTCCTCGGGCAGCACAATCAAGATCATCTTCAAGGCCCTCCGACTGCCCGGCGAGGATGCGCCCGAGTCGCAGTACTTCTACGTGCCGGCCAATGCGGTCCGATCCGTGGACGAGGCTTCGCGTCCCACCTCCGTGGAAACGGTCGAGGATAGTGTCCAGGGTGCGGAACAGGCTCTGACGCCGGTGGTGCTGCCGCCTAAGGTGCGGGAGCCCAAGGAGGCTGTCATACCCATCACTCCATCACCATCGCCCAAGCGCAAGGTTAGTCCGCGAAAGCAGAGCCCCCGAAAGCCACGTGTGGGTCGGCCAAGGGCGTCCAACACCAAACCGAATGTGGAGATTAACTGCTGCGTCTGCAGCCAGACGGGCAAGTCCAATCAGGTGGTAACCTGCGACGAATGCCATAGGCACTACCACTTTGCCTGCCTCGAACCGCCGCTGAAGAAGTCGCCCAAGATACGTGGCTACTCCTGGCACTGTGCCGACTGCGATCCCACTGACGAGGATGCACTGCCCAAGAAAAAGTAACTAAGAATATTTATTAACTATCTTTAGTTTTTTTAAGCCCGGACACAAAATATCTAATATAGTTTGCGATATTTGCAAAAAATTTCGAATTATACATAATGCCAAGATAATTTATACATAATATTTCAAATTAAAAAAAGTGTGTTCTTTTATATCATATTTCTGGGGAATCTTTCGGGATCACAAATCATGTTTGATTTGTTAAGTTAATTAAATTTTAGATATACGATATTTTACTCGTTTGAAAAATTGCGGTCTTTTACAGTAAAACATCGCTAGTGACAAAGTTCGGTCACACTATTTAGTGTACACCCTACAATTGGCACGATGGAGTATTTCCGCCCTAAGGAAATCTTATCCTTGAGTAATTTTAGAACTTAAAAAAAAAATCTGTTATTTTGTAAACAAAACTCTGGCACTGAGAGAATAATCAGGCAACAATTACGAATTTTAGATGAACCTCGTAGCCAGTCCCACATGCTTTCAGAGAAGAGAGCGCATTCTAAAGTCGACCTGGCCGCACAATGTTCTAATCCAGCGGCAGCTCAGAAAAATGGCCACGTAAAAACATAATTTTAACAGGCGCTGCGCAAGTACACAAGGTTCGGTTAGCTTACTGAATGAACGTAAACAAACATTAGAATATGCCACAGCGGCAAGCGACGCAGCATTTGGAAGCTGGAATGTGTGACGTGAACGGCAAGCAGTCAGATTAGGATCGTTCCGCTCCGGACGCAGTTGTTCCAGTGTCGCCACCATGGATGAGAAACTTAAGTATTCGCTGTTGCGCGGGGAGCTGGTGGACACACAGAGTATATGGACCAGGTGCGGAGAACTGGCCCTGACTCTCTAAGCATCAATATCTGAGAGTTCCGTTTTGTTGCAGGCACGAGAAGCGCGTGTGGTTTATCACCCTGATAACGGGCACCTGCATGCTGTATTCCACCCGCACAACCATGCCGCTGCTGGTGCCGGCTGTCGCCTCCGCTCAAAAGTGGACAAAAACCGACTCTGGCACTGTGCTCAGCTCCTTTTTCTGGGGCTACACCCTGACGCAGGTGGTGGGCGGCTATTTCAGCGATAGATTTGGCGGGCAGCGTGTCATATTGTGCGCGGCCGTCGGCTGGTCGCTCATCACATTCCTGATGCCCACAATTATCTGGTCTGCCGGTTCCATCAAGAGCTATGCCATTCCCTTCATCGTGGCCATTCGCATTCTGAACGGCGCCCTCCAGGGTGTCCACTTTCCCAGCATGATTAGCCTAACCAGTCAGGTGAGTAAGTGCCAAGCAGGCTTAATTAATCTCTCATCTAAATCTCCCATCTGCAGAACCTCTGCCCCAACGAGCGCAGCAGCTTCTTTGGGCTGCTCACAGCCGGCTCCGCCTTGGGCACTCTGCTCACGGGAATTATGGGCTCGTTCCTGCTTGACTACTTTGGCTGGTCGTATGTCTTCCGGGTTATCGGCCTGATGGGCGTCGCCTGGGCCCTTGTCCTACGTTACTACGCCATGGCTGGTGAGCGGAATAGGATCATCAACATTGCCACGCCATCTCGCCTGTGCGCAAACAAAAGTCCTGTGGAGACGACAGCCGTGCCTTGGCTGCGCTACTTCAGCCGTCTGTCCTTCTGGGCCTGTGTCCTGACGCACGCCTGCGAGATGAACTGCTTTTTTGTGCTGCTCTCGTGGCTGCCAACGTACTTCCACGACGGTTTCCCACACGCCAAAGGCTGGGTGGTCAACATGATTCCGTGGCTGGCCCTGCCGCCGTGCACACTCTTTGCCAAGTATTTGACCACGAAGCTACTCGCCCGCGAATGGCACACAACGACGGTGCGCAAGCTCATCCAGAGCTGCTGCTTTGCGGCCCAGAATCTAGCCTTGTTTGTGATGAGCCGCACCTCGGACTTCCATACGGCCCTCATTTGCATGACCATCATCATCGGTGGGACGGGCTTCCACAACAATGCAGTGACGGTTAATCCCCAGGACCTGGCCCCCATGCACTCGGGCAGCGTCTTTGGGCTAATGAACACGGTGGGCGCGATTCCTGGCTTCCTTGGCGTTTATCTCGCCGGCCACATTCTGGAGCTCACCCAGAGCTGGCCGATGGTCTTCAGCGCGGCGGCGGGCATCAATCTAGTGGGTTGGATAATATTTATGGTCTTCGGCTCAGCGGAGGCCATTGTTTAACATTCTCTCGGACATATTCCTAAACTTTTGGAAATAATCTTATTTATTTACGTTTATGTACGTGAGACTAGGTCCTTTGCAAAAAATTAAATTACTATTTAGTTGACGAGCGATTAACTGTCGTGAAGAGAATCGAAGCCGAATATATTGTACTTCGGAGTACTACCCTGCGATGCCTCGCTATCAGATAGAATCAAATGTTTCGACTCATTCGGTATATATTAATGTATATATTTAGGACATAGGTTTAAGTAGCAAAATCTTACTACTCCTAGCGTGATCAAATAAAAATGTTTAACTCCAGAGCTTCCGTTGTTTTTGGTCGCTTTTGCACCGAATCAACTAATACCAATCCTTAAGCCTTAAAAAACATTGTCCATTAACTAAGTGGATATTTATTTAAGGCCGGCCATTGTCAAAGATTCCATATTAAGCTATACTCTTGGACATGTAGGGCCCGTCAAGCTCATAGCCCAGCTTGCGGTAATAGTTCCTTGTGCCCACTCCCGATATGACCGCCAGCTTGGTGCTGCCGTGCTCCTCGCGAGAAATTCGCTCTGCCTCCTCCATTAGCAGCATGCCGAAGCCCTGGTGCTGGAACTTGGTGGGATCCCGGGCATTGACCGGCACCACTGACCCATACACGTGCAGTTCGCGAACAATGGAGCACGCACCCTTTAGTTCCGGCCGGAAAGTGTCCGGCGAGCACTTACGCAGTCTAAGGAGACCAACCAGAATGTCTTGCTCGGGGTCTTCATATGAGAGAAACGTTTCCCATCCGCCGTTGGCCACGTAGTCGCGGCGTATCAACTCAATTTCATACGGACGCACCTTGTTGTGGATTTCTTGGATTCCAACTTCACGCGTCCTTACGTCACGACAAGTCGTGCCCAGATCCTTCATGCGGGCCAGAGCCAGCTCGCGAAGATTGCCGTGCTCTACGCCAGAACTTTAAAGAAAAATATGTTAAATTAACCCAAAAAATAATTCCCAAGTCGCCAACTCACCTAACCAGCGGCATAGGAATGTCGCGCTGTACGCGGTAGACGCGAGTCCATGGTGGGACGAGTGCCAGGATCTTGGCCACTAGGTCAACTAGCATTGATGGCGGATAGGACTTGTAGCGCCCCGTCTTCCACAGCTCATACAGCCCGGTGCCGCGGATGACCAGTGTGGGGTAGATCTTCAGGCCGTCGGAGCGGAAGGCGGGATTCTCAAAATATTCGATGAACTGCTCGATGTCGCGCTCAAAATCAACGTTCGGCAGATCGGGCATCATGTGAGCCACGATCTTATAACCGGCATCCTTGCCCAGCTGAAAGCTCTCGCACACTGCCCGCACAGTGTGCCCCCGATTCGTATCCCTCGCCACGTCCTCGTAGACGGACTGAACGCCAATCTCCAGCCGAGTGCATCCATAGTTAAGCATGTCCGAGATGTGCCGCTTGAGGCAGTAATCGGGACGGGTCTCGATCGTGATACCAATGCACTTGGTTCGTGACTTCTCGGAGTAGCGAACTGCCTCCGCTACGTTGGCGCTGCTGTGACCTGAAAGGGCGTCGTGCAGGTTGCGGATGAAGTAGTCGCGGTACTCTTCTGCCAAACACATGAACGTGCCGCCCATCACAATGAACTCCACCTTGTCCACACTGTGGCCCAGTTGCTTTAGCTGCTCCACCCGGTGGCGGGTCTGCAGAAAGGGATCGTATCGCGCCCGGATTGCCCGCATCGAGGTAGGCTCATAGCCCGTGTACGACTGCGTCGAGTACTCAAAGTCGCTATCTGGGCCTCCGGGACAGTAGACGCAGATGTTACCCGTCATATTGATGTGCGGACAGCGATGTGGCTTACACATGACGGCCACCACAGCAATCTGAAGTGATGTATGTAAATAAATATATGTAGGTATTGTGAAATGGAGAATCTGACTTACCCCGCTAGCTGTGCGAATGGGCTTGGCCCGCAGCTTGGGGAGCAGAATCTTCTTGGCGTCCTGCGGCACGGCTGCTATGATGTCCACCAGACGCGGCGAGCTGTCCAGTCCGTATTTGGAGGAGACCAGCGACTTCATCCTGTTCAGGTTTACATCTTTCTTCGCTTCGTGCGCCTGAAGCAGCTCCTGGATTATTTCACCGATGACCAGCACCTGGCGCTCCTCCCGGCTCAGCCCGACTCCTGAAATAAGCGCAATGGTTAGTGGGCTGCCTTAAGGAGGTTATTTGGAGGCCCTGCAACTTGCCCAGCTTCTTCTTTTGCTTCATATTCCGTAGTTATTTCGCATAAATTGCACGTGTGACGCGGAGCCGCAGCTGTTTTGTTTTGGTTATCGGCCGATTGTCCTAGAGATGGACCAAGTGTTCGTGGCAATCGGTCGCAGAAGTTGCAGTTAGTAGGCGCACGGTCACACTGGCACGCACAAAGTGTTTTTTTGTTTTCGCAACATCGGGAGTTCTGGAAAAATGACTAGCTGCGTGCCAGCGCAGCAGGACAAGGACCAGGAGAAGTTGCTGGAGGCTCTGGCCTCCAGCAGCGACGAGATGGACGAACCGGATGATGCGGACAAGGACAAGCTCCAGCTGATCGAGCCCACGTTCTCCTTTTCGGTGTGTATACAACAAGCCCCAGTCGCCGCTCGTCCTCTTTAGCCACTAGCTGACGGTCGCAGTTGCCCTTCCTTTCGCTTTACAGAACAGCAACACCTGCTGGGTGTGCAACGGGTACTACGGGCCCAACTTCGGGGAACCGCTTTGTGGTGCCTGCCACGCCTTCCTTTACAACGCGCAGCGGGCGGAGGAGCTGCTGACGGAGCTATCCGACGACGAGGACTCCGGGAACGACGAGCCGCCGTTTAAGGATAAGCAGGAGGACGAGGAGAATGAGAACGACGTGGACATCATGGGCTTTGAAGATCTAGAGGATGCACAGCCGCCGGCTGTCCAACAGCAAGCGAATCAGCAGGCGGTGGTGGAGCCACAGGAACAGCAGCCTGTCGCCCAGCCTGCCGATCTGCCACAACAGGTGCCGCCAGAAGCGGCGCCCCCGCGCAGGGAAACGCCAGAGCGCGACTTCGAGCACGAGCGGGCACTGAATCCCTTCCTGCTGCCCGTCAAGCGGCCGCGGGCGACAGGTCCTCTGGCCCTGCCTCACTACATGCATGAACTGGCCGATGGACGGGCGCGCGCACACGAATACAACGCGGCCAGCGGCAGCGGCGCGAGTGGCAGTAGCAGGAATATCGTCAATATAATACCTGTCGAGGTGATGCTGAAGATATTCGCCTATCTGGACGACATGTCGCTGTGGATGGCCAGCGAGGTGTGCAAACAGTGGCATGACATCGTCGGCAAGAACACGGCGCAGGGCATGTGGAAGGCGTACATAAAGCAGCGCTGGCCGTTGTTCGAGAGCTTGGCCGACAATCCCGACTGGTACAAGCTGTACGGCGCTCTGATGTCGTCCTGCTTTTGCCGCACCTGTCTGATAGAAATGGGCGGCAGGGGACAGGCGGCAGAGCATCCCGATCTGCAGCTGGGCGAGCGCGAGCCGGGAAACGTGATGCGGTACAATTTTCTGCGGGGCGAGGCGAATCTGCTGAACAGCTACGACTCCGAGGGCATCTCGGCCATTCCACTGGACCGGCAGAATAACTATTGGCAGGCCACGATCCTGGGGCCACCGGGTAGCCCCTACGAGGGTGGTAAATTCTTTCTATTCATCTACTTCCCGGAGCGCTATCCGATGGCGCCGCCGACAGTGCGATTCCTCACCAAGATCCTGCACCCCAACGTGTCGCGGCACGGCGACGTGGGCATCGACATCTTTCAGCAGCACAACTGGTCGCTGGCGCTGAATGTGGCCAAGGTGCTTCTGTCGGTCCAGAGCCTGCTCACCGATCCGTACACCGAGGTGTGCATGGAGCCGGAGCTGGGATACATCTACGAGCACGAACGCGAACGGTTCGAGCAGCTAGTGCGTTCCTGGACCTGGAAGTACGCCATGTTCGAGCTGATTTCGCCGCGCTAGGCTCTAGGCCCTGGAAAGCGGCGCCCTAGGAGGACACTGGACTGAAAGTTGGAAACTAACCCCCTTTACGTTGTAACTACATATATGTCTGTGTATTTAGCTTAGTTGTGCCATTCGGTTTGTTTATTTTGGACTTTCTCCCTCTCTCTCACTTCACCACGTCCCCCGCCTAGGTCACAACATAGTCGAAATTACTTAACCTAATAATAAACGTAATCTCTAAGTTACTCCTGGCCTCTGCACTCCATTACTTCGTCCAGGACACCTTGGGGATGTCAAAGTGCTCGGTGAGGGTGTCCAAATGCTCGTTGAACTTCTCCACGCGCTCCTTGTGGGTTGTCTGCGCCTTGTCCATGATCCGCTTGTTGCGCATCTTCTCCTGCTGCTTCTTGCTGGCCAGCTCTGCCTTGGTCAGCTTGCGCTCGTAGCCAGCCGTGCTGGAGACAGCACTGGAGCTAGAAGTGGTGGCCACCTCTGCTAGTTGCTGCTCCACGCACGACCTTTGCAGCTCCTGCTTTTCCCTGTCCTTGCTCTTGTGCTTCTTCTTTTTCTTCTTTAGGTCAGAATCGTTCTTTAGCTTGAGCTTGCCCTTGGCCACGCAGGCGTACTCGTCGGACATGGCTCTGTTCTTTTTAAGTTTTTAATTAGAAGATATTTAGTCTTGATAAATTTCGTAAACAAACTTTGAGAACAACAAATGAAACAGTATGACCGTAGCTTGGATTTTTTAAAGATACCATTTGCGTTAGGGAATATACTAAAACATAGCGTTTGGTCAAATAAAGGATCTTTGAAATATTCCGTCGAGTTCTTTCCTAAATTTGTTTCCGTTTCCTTTCACTTAAAATAAATTTTAAAAAGAATTTTTATCTCATCTTTGCTCTGACCATTATCCAATAGCTTAATGATAAATTAAACCGATTTTAAATGTTTTGTATAAAATAAATAAATAAACTAAAATATTGAAAAGCAAAATCCAAAAATCATAGATAATGAATATTGCGTTTACTTCTCATCCATAAAATCTTATCCACTAAATTTCCGAAACTAGAATTCAACATCTAAATTACACTACAAAAATTTGTTTTTTTTCTACATAACAAATTATATTTCTTGTAAACATAAGCTAAAAATCTTTCAAACACTAAAAATGTCCAATATCTGCACAAATTTTTGAACGGTGCATAGATCATATTTAGATTAATGGCAGACCCCTCGTTCCGATCGAAGCTTTCCTTGGTTTCCCCACTTGGTCAGATAGTCAGTCGAAGCTCTCATTCGAAGGCATCAAGATGCGTCTAGCTCTGGTTAGTTTGATGGTCGCCGTGCTCCTTGCTTCTGCAACTGAGGCTGCCGTTTCCAGGGGCAACTTTAAGGATCCCGCCCACCCTGGAAAGTGTGTGGTTGACGGACTGGTGCTGAACGCCGGACAGCAAGCCCGTCATCCAAAGAGATGTGAGCGAATTTTGTGCTGGAATAATGGTGACGTAGAGTTTCATTCGTAAGTGTCATATTATTATCACTATGAGTATTTATTAATAATAAACAATTTCAGATGCGGTGCCGTTGGTCTGCCTCCCAACAAAAAGTTTGGAGATTACAAAACCCCAAATGCTGATTACCCTGCCTGTTGTGACCGCTATATTATAAATGCCTAACATTAACTAGATGAACATTGAATAAATTGAAAACAATTTTAATATTGATGTCTGTTTATAAATTACTACGGTCCTCTCGTTACCTCGAGCACCTGCCAGGTCATATACCTGTTTGTTTAGGAAGAAGTATTCTCATACTGCTGTGACCGAATTTCTGCTACGTCGAAATCTTCAGATCGTATTCAAATGTCTATATGTATGTATATGTTTAGCTGATAAAGTCAGCCTTATTAACGTTTAATCAGTAAAAAAATTACAAAAACTAACAATAAAATGATGTCAAAATATACAGAATTTAAGTTCGAATGCGCACAAACTAAAAACATTTTTTTTCCATTTCCAGGCTGTAAAAAACGTTGAAAAAAGAAACATTATTCATTCAATATTTCTTTCAGGCGTACAAGTACTAACTTTAAATAGCTCTAACTTTGGGAATAATTTGGATGGTTTAGCTCCTTTAACATTTTTTTTTAGATGCATATATTTGACTTATAGATAATCGAAATTCTATTCTTAAAATGTTTATGAATATGGTACAAATAAGTGTAACATTTTACTCTAAGGATTGGAGAGGTAATATTTATTATCCAAGGACTCAGAAAAGCTACAAAAGCAAAGTGAAAAGCCATCATTTTTATTTATTTTTCTAATAGTAATTTTACTTATTATACCCTTGTAGTCTCAAGTTTGCAACCAGTGTAATATTGATCATTATAAACAGCCGATAAGTCCACGTCCTTTTCAACTCAACTAGTCCCTTATTCAAAATATTCAAAAGCTATCTGAATGTAGTTTTGCAGAAAGAATGCTTTCCATTGTAGATGGAAATACTTTTATCTTATGGTTGTAAAAAAAGTCTGAAAATTATAGGAACAGATTTGTAGATATATGGTAATATTCCCGAATTATATTTTTATTTATTTATTTTTTTGTGTGCACTTATTTCGGGCTTTCGTGCTCTCTTTGGCGCTCTCTTTTAGACTCCCACGCCGAGGTCCGCGTGAAAAGCTCGCCGGACGCGAGGTGGTGCAGCTGGTGGACTTGTTAGCATTCCGCCAGTCCCATTCAGTTCAAATCTCAAATCCAACGACGGAGCAACACACCGTGTGTTGTGCTCGCTTGAGACGCGTTTGTAAATATTTAAAAAACATATTCATAAATGGCCTAAGTCGAACACTGTGCTCCAGCGAGGGATTCGGAAAATAACGGATTAATCTAGTGATTTGAATGAGAGGTTTCACACACGGTGACCAGTGCCAGTTGAAATTGTGTTTGTGGGCCTATGAAAAAAAATATTTAAAATCATAATAAATCTGTGTTGAAATATAAGAGTTTAAAATAAAAGTTAAAAAAAAAATAATAAAATTCAAAGTGCGAAGGTGAAAAATCCGCTCACTCTCTTTCTGCTCGCTCGCTTCCCTTTCTCTCTCTCTCTCGAACCCACGGTTTAGAAAGCTCTCTCACCTCGCACATGCGTGTGTGTGTGTGTGTGAGTGAGTGTGCTCGTGTTAGCATCCTGTAGCAAGTTCTTCACTCAAGGATAACAGTCGTAAAAGCACAACAATGTAATGAAAAATATCAGAAAATATCATCATCATCGCCATCGTCATGCTCACGGCGAGGCAAAAATATTACAATTTTATGTGCGAGTTTGTGTGTAATTCCCCGCCATCAGTGTATGCGTGTGTCTCTCGGTTTCTCTCAGCTCACAAACTTTAATGTCCTTCTTTGTCACTTAGTTTTATGCGACGTCGCCGTCGAATCCGACAATACGAGGGCATTTGCATACGATTTACGATTCCCGTAGCTCCAGCGACGGAGAGTCCTGCTCCGAAATCCTTATTGAATCTGCGGCTTCCCCAGAACTACACACACACACATAGAAGCTAGCCAAGGGCATGTAACAGGTAACACAACACAATCGACACCTGTCTCGCTCATCGACAAGTTCCGTCGTCTTTGTCCTTCTCGTTCGCTCTCTGCGCCTCTTTTGTGTAAGGTCCTGCAATAGTAGTCCTGTCAATAACAACAGTTGCCACAAAAAGCCATTTCAATGTCATAAAATGATGTTAAGTTCGCATTAAGCGATGTAAAGGCCAAGGAGACGTATCAAAAAATGATTTCCAAGCAAACGAATTAGCTACGATTACTTAATTCACAAATATTATTTGAAGATGGCTTATTTTTGGCTTAATCAGAGCTCATTTCTAATTTTAGAATAATTTTTGTTGAATTTTATTATTGAGTTAAAATGTTCTTTTAAGAATTCCAAAGGATAAGAGAAAATATATTTTCTGTCTAGTCAAGTTTTAAAGAATCCTTTACTCGCTTTCTAAGAATAATTTGTAATTTAAATACTCTTTTATGGGGATACATATATATTTACATTGCAATTCGGATATTATTTTCTAAGTTCTTTGTTAGAAAGAACTTTAAACTATACTTTGTTTGTTCTCTTAGATTTTCTTTATTGCTTTAATTGTAATATGAATAATTGTTTATTTGGAAAACGTCCCTAAATTATTTATATATTTATTTTCCCAAGATATATGTAGAAGTATTTTGGAATTGGGTAACTTTTGATTGCATATGTTGCTGCAGAGTTTTTCGCTTTGTTTAAAGGCCATTTTGCATGTACAAAGTTAAATAGCGAAGGGGAGGGCCGAGGGTTGAGAGAAAGTCGCCAACTTTTTCATTACTGTTGCACATCAAGTTGAAGTTTGTCGTATGCTGGATGACCTTTATGCAAATATGTTGATCCTAGGAACCGGAGCCCCAAACACCGAGCCCCAGCCGAACAACAAACCCCGGCCCTCGTCATTGCCGTGCATTATTAAACGCCAGCTTTTCTATTATTCAGCGAGCACACTCACACACACACACACATGATGTCTGTGTTTCGGGTGTGTAATAAATAAAATGCATTATTCATGCAAAGGCTTCGCTGTGGTCAGCCAGTTTTCCTGCTGCTGCGGCTGCTGCTCTTATTGAAATGCCATTAGCGAAATTCGTGCAATGGCCATTGCGCCGACGCGGCGTATACGCAATCTGGCATTGAGATAATATTTATATGCCAGGCTCGGCAGGTGTGCTGGCAAAGATTTGCATTAATATGAGCGAACAATGCTGGCCATAATCATTACGAATACAGATAACTGGAAATAATAATGTGAATTCGCCAGGTTATTGGGGCGAGAGTTGGGCCTAATTAAGGGAGGGGTTAGGGAGAGGGAGAGTAAAATGGGGGAGCGAAACAAAGGCCAAGATTGCCCTGTGGTGATGCGTGAATTTTTGTAACATTGGCAGCATTTCGTGTCCTTTTCAGTGAGCTGATTTCGGTTTTGTTTGTGTTTGCGCCTGCCTTACTCGAGCACGCGTGTGTCTGCGTTACCTTGGACAAGAATAAACCATCCAAACATCCTGCAGCATCTACTTGGCCATTGTGGTTGTTCTTGGCCCGGCTGTCCTCCGCCTCATCTCCGCCTTCGTCCCCGTCCTTTGTGAATCCTTGGCGCAGCAGTTTCTAGTCGGTGGCCTACTCTGAAGGTGAGTGCAAACATTCGCTTTCAGCTTTTCGGTTTCAGCTTTTAACCTTTTCCCATTTTCTTTTTCCGCGGCATCGCTCAATCGATTATTCCCTAACTGAATTCATTTTTTTTTTGTGACCGCAACTTAAATTAGCCATAAAATCGCATAAAAAAGGCAGATAAACAATTTGCATACAGCTGGGATACAGATCAGGCATCTGTCTGAAAAATTACGCACATAATTAAACTTTGAAATAAAACCGACCGCATCCACACAAATTATTCAAAATGTGTAGTTTGTATTCTCCAGGGATATATATTTTCATAAGGTTTATTTTTTTTGTAGGGCATTAAGCCAGCCTAATCAATTTGTCAGTTAGCTCACCGATGTTTTAGCATTATGTTTACACTGAGAAGGTTAAATGTTAATAATATAAACGATTGTATTTACAAAAAATGTGTGAAAGCCAATCAAATATTTGTGGTTCCGAATGGTTTCTTTTGGGTTTGGTTTTATTGATTGAGTTTATTTTCCTATTTTTATTTTCACAATGATTTAGGGCACAATAATATTTGTTTTATAATTTTTTACCACCAATAAAAATCTTGCTTTGTGCTGCAAAAAACAAAAAATAACAATTACATCGATTGTGTGCTCAGCTGTAATATATATTTTGTTTAAATTAAAATTTGATTCTTATTTTCATCCATCCCTCGTTTTCCAAATGTTTGCATAGCAAATATTTCCATTTGGCTCGCAGGGCAAAAAGGCTCACAGCCGCATAAAATCAGCGTAAAATGTCAATAAGCTTAACAAAGCCAAGTTTTTGGTTATACCCGTGGATAAGCGCGCTGCAAACACTGCGATTGACATTTGTTTCCGTCCCACTGTCTATATGGCAACCTCATTGTGGGGGCGTGGCATGATGGGCGGGATAATGGAAGCAGTTTGCTATAATTAGACACCAGTGCCCGGCTATTAGAGTAAACTATGTAGTTACTGTCTATAGCCACGACGTTGCCTACTTTTGTGCGCCCTGTAGAGCGACGGGCCACGGGTCGGATGCGTGATGGGCGTTTGCCCTACAAAGAACAATGTTTTCTAATTGCTTTTCAATGCTCACTGGCTATTGCCAATTATTAAATTGCTTGGACGATTATAGACAGCAATGAAAAAGGCTAGAAAAATGAGAGTTTAAGAATTAAAACGTATTAGTAGTAATTACTAACAATTTTCCAATTTCTATAACAGCGCTTTCTGTCGCTGCTAACACATTCGAGCAGCACGGGCTTTATATGCTCAACTTGTTGAGAAACCTTAGCTAGCTAAATATGAAAAACTGTCATTACTAATGCCTCTGACATGATAAATCAGAATAGAATAGGTAATAAATTCAACAGGAGCTTCAAGCATAAAAATTATTCATCTATTGCTATTTTTAACAATGTCAACATCTAGAATAAATTATTCTCTCCTATTGAGTGCAAGCCTTTAAATAACGAACGAAGCAGCTGGGTCAGAAGATGTCCCTTCATAATTCATGGAAACCATTACGTTGCGACTACTACAAATCATGGCGAATAAAATTTCGCCCGGATTTTCCACCTCCTTCAAGCCTCGCACAACAAACATTTTTATGGCAAGCAAGCATCTTTGCCAACAGCTCGTAAAACAAGAGCAACAGTCCGCAGTGCTTTTCTCTCATAATTTATTTTACATACACACTAAAACCCAACCAAGCAACAAAGGGAGACAACAAAATACGAGGGAGCATCGGAGGGGAAAATTCAATTTCTGGAGATATTTGTGAGGAGCAGAAAATGGCAAAAAAGCAGGAGAGAGGGGAAATAGTTCGCTTAGTTCTGACAACTGAAAATAAGATTGCAAGAGGATAACAATGACCGAATTTATGGCATTATTATTATTATTTCTCCTGCGTATTTTAACTATATTTTTGACGATTTATTGGCATCGTTAAATTCATGTAAATTACATATTTAGCAATTTACATTTAAAGAACAGACATATGCCGAATTATTATATGATATTGCATTGCATTAGATATTAATTATAATTCTAATCGATCGGCTTAAAGTAAATAAGTAAACGAATTTTATTACTAAAACCGATGGCTTCAATTTCAAGAGACAGCCTTTGTGATCAGATGCCTTTTGTATAAAAAATAATAATAAGAAAGGAAGACGCGTGAAACGTAATGAATAAATAAAGTTTGGCTGAAGTTCGCCATTCGAGCAGTTAAAGATTTTCTTCCCTCCGCCAAAATGTGCAAAACCCATGGAGATATTTACAAAGGTGGCAGAGTTTGTGCGTTTGCATATTTTAAGCTGCTCCTTTGCACCTTTTACATTTTATATGCCATGCGGCGGGTAAATTTGAGTTTGAGTTGTCGGCCGCCCCCCGGCTTTTTCCTTTCCAGCGCCGACTTTTATTTCAGTTTCCGTTTATGTACACATTTGTAGCCTGGCCAAAATCACCTTCACCTTTCGCCCGAACCCACACTCGCAAAAAATTTAAATTCACATTTGATTTTATGGGGAAACTAGCTATAAATTTAATCTTTGGTTTATCAAAGACATCTAACAAAAATATTCCTTCTAAAATAAATTGATTAAAGAGTATATAAGCTATATATAGGTAACTTCTTAATGAAATGAAGTAAAACCCTCAACTGGCTATGAAAGAAATCAAAGTTCTTTCAATAAATTCCTTAAAAATTATGCACATTTTGCTATACATTATTATATATACACCTATTATTTTGTTAATTTAAATAAATTGGCAAGGGTGATGATTCCAAAAAGCCCCAGTAAATCATTTTTTTGAGTGCACGCTCAAATTCGCACAGAAAGTGCAGACTGGCACGAGAGGTCACTGGGCCTCCACTCCTGCCAATTTATAAATGTTGTATGTACATGTTTTTACACACACTCTGGCATATACACACACACCACATACACACACACACTCGTGCTGGCTTTAACTTTGGCCCACACAAAAAATGGTAATATTCACTTTTTATGCTGAGCCTGGCGCTTTCCTCTTCTCGCATGCGACTAAAAACTTGCTGCGGTCCCTGAACACTCGTTCATTTTACGAAATTTTCCTCAACTTTGCGGTGCTGGCTGGGCTTCATGGTCAAGTTTCGGTAGAGCAAACAAAGAACCCGACTTCTTTGCCAGTCGCCGCCTTGTGGCGTGTTTTTTGGTCCTTCCCTCAGCCCAATCCACTCGTATTTAGGTTAATGGCCACACACAATAGTACATTTCTCATGCAATTCTGTCCCGAAAATTCCAATACAATTCAAGGCGATCTCTTAGCTCTGATAAGCCAGAATTAATTGTGATTGAGAACTCACAAATGACGTCTAATTAGGGTGTATATTTAATTTAAATCCGCTGCTAGTACACATACAAGCCTCCAGCGACTTTAATTAGGTCCACACAAAAACAATTTCACAATTTCAAATACAATTTCAGATTAGCTTAAATAGCTCGCATCGGGAGGTGTCACTGATTACTTCCAAAATGAACTGTTGTCGTCTTGTCGTCTTTACTAGTCCTTTTGATCTTCGTTTGCTCGCACTGTAAACATAACAATTTCCAGGGACACATGTCGTACATTATTTTACCAAATTAATTTTATAAACCATCTAAGAATATTTCTTAAGTAATGCATTTATTAAAACAAAGTCGGTTATATCACGCTGGCAATCTGCGGCACTGAATGTTGATGCGATGACCGAACATTGAATTGAATAATTAAACAATTGACCGGGGACAACTGCAGTCCGACAATCAATCACATAATTGAGATGCGACTTTGATTACACAGCAAGGAAAAACAGGCGGGAGATGCAAATGCAGGGCAGGGTCAGAGGGCAATTGGCTTTAAACGCCACTGGCGAATTGGGAGCAACTGCCAAGGTCGACACATTTGACCCGCAATGGATCCGGGCCTTAATCTGCCTCAGTCGCAGTTGCAGTCGCACTCAAATGTCAATTAGTGTTGTTGCTGTGGTTTTCATTTCTGCCCGCCGCCCTTTATCTTTCCGGCTCCGACCAATCCATGCTGCCCATCCCCCTGGAAGCCGTCAAGCATCTGAAGTCCGAAGGCCATGGCAAAAGGGCCGGGCCGGATCCTTGGCCAACGGTCAATAAATTCGGGCCAGCGGAGGAGCCTCGCCAAAAAACCATAAACCTCGCTGAGCTGTGCAAGCAAAAAATTATGACTGAGCTCATAAATAAATTTATGCAGAACAATTGCAAACTTGGAATCTGGAAATTTAGCATAACTCAAGCACCCAACTGGGTTTCGTCGATATCATTTCTCTTGTATGCTTTTGCTTAACGAATTTTGCAGAATGCGGCCAATTAATTTACTCTTAACCAAGAAAATCTTTCACAGAGAATTTTAATCGCACACTACTTTGCGCTCACAGCATTCAGGATATACGTTATCCCACTTTAAATATTCAGCAAAGCGACATCCATATGGAGGCGATTTCTTTTCACACCTGAGATTAGAAAATAAATCGTGACATTTAAGAAACTATATTATTCTGATATTAATATTTAGAAATATAATCGAACTCTCTAGAATATCCTTAACATTAGGTTGAATGAAACTAAAAGAAAATACTCACGTATAGAGCAACCCGTAGCCATCACCACTGCAAAAAATATAGGTGCAGGGCAGGGATTTCAGTCGGTATCTCTCACCGTAGTTGAGCAGCACAACCGTGGAGCCCACATCGATCACACAGCGACCTGGATACGCTGGTATGGATATTCCTGGGTTATTAATGGCCATCATTGTTTGCCCACTTGATCTCACCTGGATCCCCGTAGTTGTTGAGCGAAATATCAGAAAGTGTTTTCGAAACAAGAAGACAGCAGATAAGTCCGAATAAAAGAAAATGTTTTGTGACGATCAACATATTTTCAATGATTTCGAGTGATATTGAGTGGGAAATGTTTCGGGTCCTAGATAAAGTTCTTCGATCCGCCTACCTAGTTGCACAAAAGGGTGCGCCTACAACAGTCTGGATAGGGCAACTCCGAATTAACAGACTCCCCATACTGGCAGTTGGACGGTGGGATATTAATTCCGCAACTGCAAAGAGCCAATTAGCAACGACACTGGAAAACCTAAGCACCCACTCACCCGAGGAATGTGACCTGACTCATGTGTCCGCACACAATCTGACCACAGTCGTGCGTGGGATCCTTGACGCTCACCCCCGGATTCAGCACTAGCTGCGGATTGATGGTGCACTTGTCGGGATGTCCTGTGGAAGGGTGGAAAGTCAAGGGGGGCAACTGGCAACTACTCTTATTTTCCACTCACTGGGATCGCTGTAGAGTCCTTGCCAGGTGGCTGTTTGAACCGCGATTAGAAGGCTCGACAGCAACGTGATTGACAGCAGCCAGGAGAGCGCGCTCATGGTTGCCCTGGAACTTCTGTTCGATTCTCAGAGTAACTTTTAACACGATACAACTAAAAATGGGATTTTATTTCTGACGTTAAAGCAATAGAAATTCAAATTCACAGGTCTTTTCCCTTGCCTCACTGACACAAGCTCGGAAATAGTTATTAAAATATTTAACTATTTTAAAAGTATATGCGATGATTTAACGTCTTGATTTGCAACTTTGGACTTCTTAAATATCTAAACGTATTTCTAATGTGTAGACCAAAAATTTAATCACATCATATCGGAGTTACTTTTCAAACATTATTGCACATTTTGCAGCAATCGGGAAAGTCTAGATCGACGCATTCCTCTGGCGGGTCTCGTTCATTGCAACTGTGTATTTTACAAATTTACATTAAATTTGCGGCAAATAATCAGAATAACCTTACGTGTAAACTAAAGCCCAGCCATCCTTGCCGCACTCAACTTTGGCGCACTTGGTGGGATGACGAACCGACTCGAGGCTGTCTACGATCATTTGGCCCTTGCTTGTGTTGATTACACATTTATTGGGATGTTCTGAGGGTTAAAAAAAAAATCAAAAATTACAAATAACTTTTAAATTCTTCTTTTAAACAAATTTCAGATTACTAGGGTCTTCTGTAGAGCCCTTGATTACCATCTATTTTTAGAATTAATTGCCACTAACCGTCATCTGCGAATATCTCGTAATTGATGTCTGCAAAAGCGCTGTGAATCGTTATAATTAAAGCCAGGATAACAAAAACTTGGGATTGTGGCATCCTTTCAATGTCGCTTGCCGTTGTGTTGCTAGTGATTTTCAGGAAATTTGACTAAAAGATTCGATTTTCTGAGCTGTCTGGCTGTGCACACATATACACATATATATGCTGCTTGTCTGGAAAGTGCCTGGCCTGCCTCGCTGCCGATTTCATATGCGCATTTTAATTAAAAAGCAGACAGTCAGACAGCAGGACGAAGGGGACCAGGACGAGGACGGGGCAGTGCTGATGAAGCTATCGAATATGTTAATCCGGTTATTTGCAGCTGCATTCGCCTTGTGTCATCTGTTGATGTTGTTGCATAATTCGATTAAGTGACGCTGTCTGTGGGCCAATGTAAATGTTGCTTTGTTTGCCCGTCCGTCATTGTAAATTGTAAATTGTGATTGTTGTCAGCTCGCACGGTATATACGTACCCGAATCCATTTAAACCCGACCCGACTGTCTCTGTAATTATTCAGGCACCCAAATGCAGACAAATTTGTGGGCCACATAATTGATGCATCTGTGTTGCTGGGAAGGCCTCCTCCCACTGAGCGCGGCGAAGGCGAGCCTAGCTGGTGTTTTGTTTTGATTAGCTCTGGTCGGACTTGGGCCAATTAGCAACAACCTCCCATGGTCTCCTCCATTGGCCTCCATTGTTCGCCAGCTGAAATTAATTGAATCGAGTGGCCTCAGCTGGGCCTGAAATCTGCACTTCCATGAACTCGACTCGACCCCAGAGGTTGGCTAATTAACCGACACGCTCTCAGGTCAAATAAACGCAGGATAACTTGCCGGCCAGAACACAGAAATGGCTTTAATGGAGTGAATATAAATATAAAGGATTTTTTTTAAAGGCAATTGATTAAAGTGCTTGTCTCTTTGACAAACTTGTTAATGTTAAAAGCAAACAAAATTAAGCAAATTAAATTAATATGAGATATTCTAAAAATAAGATCAAACATTCAATTTAATATATAAATAATTTCAAACAAATATGAAAGGTAATGTAAGAATTTCCCAAAATAACTTTTCTATATGAAAAGGAACTCTGTCAACGTCAGGTAGCAGCAATACTTTTCACTGCCGCATTTTTGTTCGCACTCTCTTGCCTTTTTCCACACCTTTGCGCGCTCACCTCTGAGCCAACAACAATCTCTTATTTCCGCTTTGGCATAAATAAAGGCCAGAAATATTTCAATCGATAGAGCAATAGAGCTATAGTATCTATACACGCATATGGATGTGGTATTTGCATATATAAAGAATCAACACGTATACGCGGCATAAATAACAAATTGCCCAGGTGAACGAATTATTCGGTGGACTGGGAAAGGGACTGGGATTGGGTTAGCTAAAGGTGTCCGAATAAGGGTCAAATGCCGGTCAACTTCTGGCCCTGGCATCCCTCTATTTTGGGTGGTGCCTTCATGGCTTGGAGGTGACCAACCGTTGAAGTTTTTCCCCAGTTTTCGAGGCCAGCCTGAGGTCTGAATGGGAGATTGGGATCGGGTTGGAGGACTGACTCGGTCTCTGTCCCGGTCTCTGTCTCTGTCTCTGACGGCAACTCATATTCGGCTCCTTTTTTTATGGTCGCACATAAAAACACACATCATTATAATTTCAATGATATTAAAGTCCATATCAAAGTGAATGAGATACAAGCGGAATGCTTTATTTTTATTGCCATTTGGGTGGCTCTCACATGCTCTTTCTGTTGCCTTTTGCCCCGGCCTTGTATTTTCAGCGCTTTTAATTTTTGTGACGCCTGCCCGCTGACCCCAGGTGCTCACCTGTGCTCCCCGGTTCACACACTTTTCCTCTTAAATTTGTACACAGCCAAAGTGCTTCCTGTCCCAGTCTCCCAGAAGAGCGACGTCTGCGTTAAAAGGCCAACGGCCATGTGTTTTATTCGACATTTATTTACGTTTGCAGGCATTTCGCTTGCGAGAACCAACAAAAAAAAAAAAAAAGAAAAAGGGCGAGAAATGTATATGCTGGTGCGATACAAGAAATGCTTTTAGGCAAGTCAGTCATCCATGCTCACATATTTTTTACGGCTGCATACGTATCGCCGTATGCGAGTAATTCTAGCTTTCTACGTATTTATAGTCGAGGAAGAAGATATGACTCAAACGTCAGGCGGCGTGTGTGAATCGCCAAGGTCACCGTCGAGTTTTGTATACAACATTTACACTTTTTTTTCGGCTTTCACCTGAACGAAAGCAATGTTACTTGTTACACAAAAATGCGGCCTGCCAAATATTCCATCTCAATCGACGAGAACTGATCGAAAATCTGGCAATTGAACCTTTGTAAATTCAGCAGTTATTTCATTCATATTAAGTATACGCGGCGTTTCCAAAATACGCTCAATTCAATGACATACATTGTATTTTACTGAACATTAAATTGCCCAACTTACACTCTGTTAGCCGTATTAAATATAATTGCATTCAAAATATCAAATATTCAATGGCGTCCCGCCTCACTGAACAATTTATGGGCCAAAAATAAACCGGAGGAAAACACACACATGCACGCACACTCCGAGTGTGTAAAGTGCAGTAAACAAAAATTGCAATTTCGAACTTGGAATTCGGATTATTTATGCTGGATAACAACAGAATTTTGTGCAGTCCATCAAGCAGCCACTCTTGAATCCATATTATTATTAGTTCATGTGTGTCTGCACTGCAAGAAAATACTTAAAGTAAAGCCTAATATTTTAATATAATAATAATAATATTTTAATAATAATTTAAAACAATTTCATAAGGGGAAAAGCCTAAATTTTAAATAAATATTTCTTATTTCAATTACAAAACATATTTATTCCAAGTAATTAACATAATTGTTAATAATTGAATACAATAATCTCAGTGAAACTTGTGTTATTAATATTAATTAATAATATTTAAATTCACAAATTTGTAAATACGTTTTATATGTACTCGTTTACAGTGTACATCTTTTGTTGCCTTCAAATGCACTGGAAGCAACAACACACAAGCAGCATCAACTGCAGCAGACGACCTTGAAAATGCTACAATTGAGTCAATTGTTGTTGCTGCTTGTGACCTGCCAGTTTGTTTGTTCTTCCCGTTGTAGTTGTAGTTGTTCCTGCAGCTGCTGTTGCTATTGTTTATGACAGCAACACACTGAGTTATTAAAATTTACTTTTGCAATTGCATTCCACAAACCGCTTAGCCTTTGTTTCGCTTCGAACAACGAAATACTCTCGAAAATAGATCTCTGCTTTGCATCCAGCAGCTGAATGTAATTTATTTATAAACAATTTGAGTGGATTGAAGTGCACTTTGAGGCAGTAAATCATTATCTTTTGAATTTACTGTGTATGAATAACCAAGAAGAGGTCTATGCAGGATTTGGAACTATTAAAATATGTTTTATATTAAAATTATATTAATTAAAAATCTATTAACCTTTATTTTATTTTCATTTACAGGTTTGTTTCCCAAGGACTTTAGTATTTATAAAGTTTCTCACCGATTGGGCAAGTCTGCATATTATATATTTACTCTTAGTTAGAAATTTATATAATTAAAGTGCTTGATAAAATGCAGCAGGCGGCAGTCCATTTAATTAATTGAACACATTTAGCTCCCCTTGGAATCGTTATCCACCTTTTGATGGCTTATAAAACAGACCTTCACTTTAATGTATTGCTCCGTCGCCCAAACCCTTTGTAATTGTTTTAGGGAATTATTATCGGGGATCAAAGCGATATCAAAACGTTGTAAGCCGAGGGATAATGGACTTGTGGCTACACATTTCTGTGCGAGCGGTGGATTTAACCCAGACCCGGGAATTCGTCCTTGGCATTTAACAATGCTTGACTTGCCCTGCCACTGGCTTGTTTTTGCCGCTGTTGCTGCTGGGAAACCGCGAAACTGCGCTTCTTGAATTATTTAAGACACACAAGTGCGCACCACCCCCGGCATCTGGCAGGAATCCGGCCTGTAGCTGGTAGCCTGTACCCTGTACCCTGTACCAGCCAGCGAGTACAAGGATAATGCCAAGCAGATAAAAGTGGCCGCAGGGTAGCATACATTAAGGCGTCGGCGGCGTCGCCACCACTAAAGTCCTCTTTGGCAGCGGCAGCTTGATTATGTCTCGCGACTCGAGACTCGAGTGACTCCACAGGGCCACTCCCGCCCAGCCGCACAAAAAAGAAATTAATTAATTTTTAAGCGTAATTAAATGCAAAGCAGCACTCGGTCGCACCCACACCAGCATCAGGAGCCCACAGATCCCTTGTCCTTCCATTACGCTTAAGTACACTGAAATTTTTAAAAGACTTTTTCAATTTAAGAGAAATGGTGGGTCTAATTATTTAAAATGATGTGGCAAATCAAATGTTAAATATTATATATAAACTAAATTATATTTTATGATTTCAAATTCACATTTTCTACTTTCATTTCTTAACAACCTTAACTTTGCCTCATTTTCGTTGAGTGTAGGTCGAGCTCGCTTTGTTTTGCTGGCCATGAAGACGCAAGGTTAACACCCACTTGGGCAAGGACGCGAGGGATGCGCGCCTGTAATAATTTTCGAGCCCCAAACATTTCTTAAAGGATGTGATTTCTTTGAAATGAATTTCTGGCCTCCAACACCGAACATTTTCCTTCACGCAATTAAAAATTCCACTCGAATCCGTGCCCCAAAAAAAAAAAAAAAAAGGTTATCCACTCGAGCGCAGTTAATGGGCTTCGAGTTCGGTTTCACTGGGCTTTCTTTATTTCATTTTTTCGTATTTCGTATTTCGCATTTCGCATTTTGTGCTGTTTGTTCGGGCCCTGCGAGTGATTGGCAGAGGGCGGTGTGCCCCAAGGTGGCAGAAACTTTGTCTGCCACTGACTTTTGCATGTGGGCCGGCCAATCAACGCCCTGGAGTGGCGCGGTCAGGAGCAGAGTTGGGCTTCGACCGGGAATCAGGACCAGGTCCAATACGAGACCCTTGAGAAACCGGAGGAGCCCAGAGCACAATGGCTTACAGATTGAGACTTTGCTTTGGCTGCCGTTGCGGCTGCGGCTTCAGCGCCAGATCCAACTTCCCATTCAATTTTGATGGCTCGTTTCGTTCGGTTTTGCTGCTGCGTTTGGTCAATTTCACTTTTATGT